CATACTTGTGGTATGATACAAGGTCCATTCTCAGTCTGACCTGACCTTCCCTTCAGTCATGGTCTGTGAGTAAAGATCTCCTTTGCCTTAATGTGGGATTATGTTCCAACAAGCCCATTGTAAATTGAAAAAATCTTAAAGTGAAAAATGCATTTAATGAGCATCATACTTAGCCTAACCTACCGTTCTACATGCGTAGAACGTTTACATTAGCCTACAGTTTGGCATGGTCATCCACCACAAGGTCTATTTTATAACAAAGTATTGTATCTCATGTAATTCATTGAATACTGTACTGAAAATGAAAAACAATTCAAAATTTGAAGTACAGTTTCTGCTAAATGCATTCCACTCAAGCACCATGATAAAGTTGAACAATCCTATGTCAAGCCATCTTGAGTTGGGAGCCATCTGTACACATTTCCCCTGCTATCTAAAAGTAGACTGTTCCCTATTTGCTATGTATGGTTTGTTAGGTTGTTTTATGAGGTCTGGGAATGACGAAATGTTTTTCCACGTAATTTTGAGGTCTGGGAATTCTGAAATATTTTTCTATGTAATAGTGTTCCCAGACCCCCACAATAGCCTATCAAATCATATCAAGTGAGAATATCTTACTGTGGGATAATGGGGAAAACCTGTTTATGAATTGGCTTAGGTTTGAAGACTGTTTAAAAATCTGTGACTTTCCATTTTAGTGATTTAGGTCAAGTTTTTGGCCATCGGACCTGGAGTTTCTTTGTTATGTAGATCAAATATTAATCTAGTATCTGCTTACTTGTTTCATTCTTAGAGACACCATTACTTTTTTTTTTTCAGTTTTTTGTTTTTTTTTATTGGATTCTAGTATTATAATATCCACCTTCATCCTGGGCACACGTGACTATGCAATTTTGATATATCTGTTAGAGTTAATTTTTTTGAAGCAGAAAATTTTGTGATGTGCTCTCAACCCCTTGCCAGACCCTGCAGCTGGGCTCCTTTCATGCACTTCTAGGCAGTTCCTCAAGTTGGAGTCACTAGTGATGTCCATTTACCCTTGTGTTCAGAATAGGCAGTAACTTCTTCCAATTTCTGATTGGTTTATTGGTTTTCTTTTTGTTGAGTTATATGCGTTCTTTGTAGATCATGGATATTAACCCCCCTTTTGGGATGTATGGTCCACAAATATTTTCTCCAATGCAGTAGGCTGTCTTCACTTTAGTGAGTTTCTTTTGCTATGCAGAAACTTTCTAGTTAAATGTAGTACCATTTGTTTACTTTTGTTTTTGTTTCCATTGCCATTGTAGTAAAGTTCCCAAAGACATCTGTGAAGTCAATGTCACAAAGTGTTTTGCCTGCATATTCTTCAAAGTATTTTATAACTTCAAGTCTTATATCCATGTCTTTAATCATTTTGAATTATTTTGTGTGTGTGATGTGAGATAGTGATCTAGTTTCATTCTTTTTATGTGACTGTACAGTCTTTCCAATGCCATTTTGAGACTTTCAGAGACTTTCATAGCTGAATTTTTATCAGGTGTTTTAATTATTTTTTCATATTGTTATCAGTTTTTTCATATGGCATTAAGTATTACGTGATATGTTTCTAACAAGAGCATGCGTTGTTAAACTTTTTTTTTTATAATAAATTTTATTTTTATATTCCCCCATACAATTGCAAACGCCCCATTCTGACCCCAATCCTTCCCCTCCCGCCCCCCGAGACACCATTATTAACCACAAATAAAAATCCCCACAGGCCAAAACATTAATATTTTCAGTACATGTCTGCTGCCCATTTTGGAAAAAGACTCTTGAGTGCTGCTTCTTGACCTCTGCTCTGCCAAGATTGTCCCTGTTGAATCCTGGAGCCCATATTAATAGTGACATCTCTTACTCCTGACTCCATAGGAAAACAGTCACAGATCATTTCAAAGATATGGGTGTTGCACTTAGATTTATGAATTTCTCAATGCTTTTGTGAAGAAATTGTTTTCTAGACTTCGGAGGTATGTTTGGTGGATGGGTATTCAGGTTACATATGAAAAACCTATCTCAACACTTTTACCTCCCTAAACTTTTGGATTCCTTCCTCTCCATCAGGGTGCACCCATGCATCTAATTCACCCCACCTCCTGATTTTGTAGATAAAGAATCACAATCATGCCCGCTTATTTATGTATCTGCTTTTGAACTATAATAGCTGAGTTGAGTAGTTGTGAGAGAAACCAAAAGGCCTGCAAAGCTGAAAGTATTTACTATTTCATCCTTTAAGAAAAAGTTTACCACCTTCTGCCCTAGATCTTGCTGGGATTTGATTGAAATTATGAGTCTGGTGACAGCAGAAGAGTGCTTGTGGTGGTTTTTCAGAAGGTTCAGCATTCCCTTGCAAGTCATCTGCTCCAGAAAGTTTTCTCAGGCACAGGAGAACAAACTATTTGCAAAGGCCAGTGAGACTCAGAGAACACAGCAGTTTAAAACACATTTCAGTTTTATCTGAGTCCAAGCAAATGATCCCATTCAGTTGCTGTTATAAATTTGCAATCTACACAGTTAAATGTTGTATTTAATTTTCAACAATATCAACCCTGCCAGAGGTTTGTTTAGTCTTTCACTGGACGCTCTCTCTACTCATATTTGGACTTGTGTTGAGAGTTTAAAAACTGAACTTGTGACTTCTTTCTGTAAAAATGTTCCATGCACTCAGTGGAATCCCTTGCACAACAGAATTCTTGAAGTGGTCAAGTACAGCAGCCTCTTGGTGGTTACTTTATCTTACTAAGTGGATACTTGATCACATACATCTGCAGGAGATTACTATTTGTTAGCCAGTGTTAGCGTCCTGTTTCCTGTTGGCAGGGGCTCAGCACTGTAAACAAGCCCATAACCCTGCATGACTAAGTCAATTCCAAAGATCCTCTCCAGTGACAATTTCAGTCCCAATTCTGTATGAGTCAGAAGACAGAAACCACCTCCCAGTAACTTGAACACCAATTGAAAATTTAACTTGAAGTATTAGTGGGCCTCCCTGGTGGCGCAAGGGGTTAAGATTCAGCACTGTGAAGAAGTATTCGTTAATAGAAGATCATTAATTACTAAAAGGGGTAAAAGTGGACTCTACGAGTATAGAAATAACTGCAGAAAGCACCTATCACTAGAGGTCTAGTGAACTATGAACAAGGAATGAACTGAAAGGAAAGATGAACCTTCCTGTCTTCCCCCAGGCTGAGATTCACATCTCTGGAGAGGGAGCAGGTGCCACAGGAACACACAACCTGCCAGGGGAAAAGAAACTTGCCAGAAGGCTCATCTAGGAAACCCTCTGCTGTGGTGGCTGAGAAAATACGCCCTCCGTGTCCCCACCTATCCCTGTCCCCTCACTGATCCACCAGCTCCAGCACACTAGAAAGAAAAAAAAGTTCCTTCCTCCTGCTTTGACCTTACACAACCCCCTTAACTCCCTCAGCATGCTCTACTAGGAAAAATCGTCCGCTGGCAAAGGAAAAATGTCTATAGAGTCCCGATCCAGCATCAGAGAGTAGGAAAAAGAAGGGTGGGTTTGGTGTTGAAAAGCAATAAGTTAATAGCAGACTTTTATCCAGTTTCATGGTTGTTACTGTCTGTATGCTACTACCCCCCACGTTGCTTTCTCTCCCTTGAGCTCCAGAAAAGTATTAATATATCAGACTGACTCCTTGGTGTCTCACTTGGATTTCTCCTAAGCACCTTAACTTAATGGCTACAAAACCAAACACATCCTCCCCTAAGTTTTCCTGTCTCAGGAAATGACATCACCATTCAATATGATACCACTTTAGCCTTGATTATTTTTTTCTTACTTCACTCCTACTTGGTCAGATTCCTACCACTGTCTTCAAAATGTATTTAAATCCTAACGATCTCTCCTCACCTCCACCACTTCACCCTAGCCCAGATCATTATCATCGTCTCTCTTTTTTAAAAAAAGATTTATTTATTTATGTATAAAAGAACTGGGGTACAGGGCAGAGGTGCGGTGGGGGTGTGTGAGAGGATTCACCAGAGACAGAGTGGGGACAGAACAGGCAGATTGACTGAAATACACTGCTGAGGGGAGCAGCGGGGTGAGACCTGAGAGGTCTGCTGCACCTTGTGGGTTGTGCCCTGGGATCAAATTCATGCTGCAGAGGCTGCGGATTGCTTCAGAGTGCTGTGCTTAACCCCTTGTGCCACCAGGGAGGCCCATCATCATCATCATCTTTTGACTCAGGTCTCAGGAATCAAATCCTGTATTTCTTCGTTACGAATGTATACTTGTTAATTAGATGACCAGGTGTCAGTTCATTCTGTAACAGTCTTTCAGTAGAAGCTCTCTCTACTCATATTTGGAATTGTGGTGAGAGTTTAAAAACCTGAACTGGTGACTTCTTTCTGTAAAAATGCCCCATGCTCCCTCCCCAAATTTTATGCAAGTTTCTTTGGACTTTTAAATATGCTTGCTGCATCCCTGTGGTCAGGATAAGCCCGTGTTTTCTGCTTGCCAGCACAGCATAAGCCCTTAGTTTTTGAAATTAATAATATTAACATCATCATTTCTTCACGTGCAGTTTTGGAACATGTGTTGATCTTCCTAGCTTCAACCTTGCCTATGCCAGTCTTTAAAATATGAAAGCATTTTCACAAAGATGGCCTTCTTAAATTTGATTTATTGGAAACTAAAAAGGTGGTAACCTCCCTCCCGAATTTCCACGTCATTGTTTTTCATGTTACTTAAAAATCTCTCATCCCTTCTAATCAACTTAATTCTTTAAAGATAAAATATCAGTAGTTTATTTTGTTACATTCAGAAGAGGACAATAGTTTGTAATTACTGCTTTGGATTTCATACCTCTGATTTCAGTCAATAGATAACTTTAATTATGCGCATCCTTTGACTTGTAATATTGATTTGAGGCCATAGTAAATATAGAAATCCTCTTTGAAATTAAGAATTAAAGATTTTCTGTAGAATTGCCTGATAAATGCTCTTTCTTTTTTAGGTGGGAGATGTTGCTGTTTTTCTCCTGATGGTAAAGCTTTAGCTGTAGGGCTCAATGATGGAAGTTTCTTAATGGCAAATGCAGATACTTTAGAGGACCTTGTATCTTTTCACCACAGAAAAGATATTATCTCAGATATTCGATTTTCACCAGGTAAGATTCCATTGCAGTCATAGTCATATTTGATTATTAACTTGGTCTTGCAGTGAGTAAACATATCAGTGTGTAATTTTTATTATCTACCGTTTTATCTCAGAAATTCACTTTTTTGACTGGAAGAACCGGGTGGTAAGAAAGAAACTATGTATTAAGTCAGTGTCAAAGTAATTGGCTCAGTGCCAGCTCTGTTTTCTGTGTGAAAGGCCCTGGCACTTCTCTTGAGTTTCAGCTTCTTCATTTATAACATGAAAGTGGTTGATGGCTGTTTTCATTATATTCTTAATGCTTTTTAAATTACATTAATTTTACTTCAGTGCTTTCCATTATTATCTATGATGTTAGTATAGTATAAGAATTACTAGTGTTAGGGCTAAATTTACTTACGTTTGTTTACTTCTGCTTTTTCTAATCTTAAAGAGGGTTTTTTTAATAAATGCAAAATATATCAAAATTACATAGTGCATAATTTTTGACATTTGTTTTCCACTAAACTACTTCATGACACTAAAAAACTTTGTTTCATTTTGTTAATTATAATGCATATCTTTTAAAAATATATTTACTATTTGTCATTTGACACGTCTTGTCATAACTTATCAAACAACGAGTTCCTCAAAAAAAAATTAATAAAATAAACTAGTTGTAGAATATTAAAAATATTTCTAAAGGTGGAAAATGTTAAGCAAATATATTTCTATTATAGGTTCTGGGAAATACCTTGCTGTTGCATCCCATGACAACTTTATAGATATATATAATGTGCAGAGTAGTAAACGAGTAGGAATATGCAAAGGCGCTACAAGTTATATAACCCATATTGACTGGGATATTAGAGGTAAGAACTGAAAAACTTACTATGTGATAACATTTTCACTGATTAAGGATAGCTACTTAAGAGAAAAAGGTGATTCAACGGAGGGATTCAAAATCACAGTGAAAGAAAATTACTCAAAATTATTTTCCACTATTTTATTTTACATCTGAAGATTAATGCTAAATTCAGACTTTTTAGCACTTATTAGTGTATTTTCAAGTGATTTTACAGTAAATGATAAATTCTTTAATTTGTAAAATAAATATGCAAAAATTTAATTGGTCGTCCTGGTTTTTGTCAGGTAAGTTTGACATAAATAATAGCTCAAAATTTGGAAAACAGATGTTAATGAGGATTTTAATGTTATTTCTCTGTTCAATAAAATATGTTTCTTAAAAATATTAAGACATAATTGCATAGCATACATAATTTAATGAGTATCTTTACTCTTTCAGCAGAATGTACAGTATATGACAGTATAATAAATTTGGGTCAGTGCTAAAGATTTTAAATGCTCAGTTTTTAAGGACTTTTGTTTCATATATTTATCTACATAAATCTAGTATTATAAATTAGTTTTTCCAAATACGACTAAACAAAATGCTTACTTTTTTCCAAAATTTGTTTCTGATAGCTTTAGAAATGTTTTTATGGGCCTCCCCTGGTGGCGCAGCGGTTGAGCGCTGGGCTGCAAAGCTTCCTGCAGCCTCTGCAGCACCGGTTCGATCCCCGGGAGGGGTCCCACATGGCGTGCAGACCTCTCCTGCCATCCGCTGCTCCCCTCAGCAGTATATTTCATCAGTCTGCCCGTTCTGATCCCTGCTCTGGCTCTGGTGAATTCTCTCACCCTCCTGCGCTTCTGACTGTACCCAGTGCTTGTATAAATAAATAAATAAATCTTTAAAAAAAATGTTTTTTATGTGTGTACATAAAACAGAAGTAGCCTTTACGTATGTACACATGCAAAAGTTAAACCATTTATAAATATAATTGTTTATATAAGGATTAAGCCCAAAGGGGCAGCTTTGGGGCCTGGCTCCCAAGAAGGCTTGCTCCTCCAGATGCCTCTGCCCCTCACGCTCTTGGAAACAACCAAATCTTACCTTAAAGCTAAGGTAAACAACCAAATCGTACCTTAGCTCTGTTCTGCACTGACAAAACTGACACTTCTGAGTATTTAAGAAAAAAAAAAATCAATTGTTCTTATTACATTTGAGTGCAGAAGAAGAAAATTTTTATGTTTAAACTTCATTTTCCCCAGTTATTAGACATCATATCACTTATATGTATTTTTATATGTATATATTTTTTTAATTTTCTTTTTTAAGGAAAGCTCTTACAGGTCAACACAGGTGCTAAAGAACAGTTGTTCTTTGAAGCTCCTAGAGGGAAAAAACAAACCATCCCCAGTGTGGAGGTAGGAAGACCACAGTGCTTGTAATGTTGCTATAACTAAGAGTGATTAGGAAATTGATGCTGCCTCCCGCCGTTTAGTTACATGTGAAACCTGTTCTCAAGCCTGTTAAGCTTTGAATTTTGGATACTGTTTTTGTGAGTTTATTTTATTGGTCCAGACTATGTAGATAGGGAAAGGAGATACTGTATTATGAAAGGAATAAATTGCTTGCATGTCTAGTTAGGTCCTCAAAGCATAAGAAGCATGAATTAGCAGGCCATTTAAGATAGGAGTACTCATGTTTCTCAAATCCTTTGGAAGCTGTATACCTAAGATGCTTGTTGGTGAATTCATATTTAAAGGAAAAGAGAAAGCGTGTTTGGTTTTGTGCCTGACAGTATTAACATTTTTTGACACAGATAAGGAGGCAAAACAAATTTAACATGAAAGCTTAATAAGACAGAGACTATAAAAGTTCTTAATTTCAGGTAACAATTAATTGGAAAAAATGCTTATAACATATTAGAAATTTAGACATGAGATGTAAGAATAAGTTGATTATTTTAAGAGTAAAAAGTCTTACAATCACTGTATGTTCAATATCTGGAACACACAGTAGATATAAGTACATCTTGAATGATATGTTAAATTTTTTATGATGAAACTAGTAGACTTGGGAAACTACAAAACCAAGAGAACTAACAATTTAGCTGTTTTTCTTAAAATTTTAATTTTTCTTGTGTTACATGTAACTACAATGAAAAATACTCAAATTTTGGTTATTTTTTGGTTTAAGTATTACAAATTACAGCTTTTTTTTTCCTTTTTAGGTAGAAAAAATTGGTTGGGCATCATGGACAGGTGTACTTGGCTTATGCAGTGAGGGAATTTGGCCAGTAATTGGAGAAGTCACAGATGTAACTGCCTCTTGCCTCACCAGTGACAAAATGGTTCTAGCTACTGGAGATGATTTGGGATTTGTGAAATTATTTAGATATCCTGCTAAAGTATGTGTTTTTATTTTTAACTCTTCCAAATATAATAGTTACAAAAGCTATTATAATAGCTATAAAATATGGCTATTACATATGTAAGATGTGAGGTGATAATACAAAAGGTTCAGAATTATGTTTCCCATTCTTGATAGTGTGTCTATAGCTTTTCTCTAAAAGCATTAATATAATTTATAATCCCATGTCTTATATATCATATTGTTTTAAGTTTTCTCAATATTGAGTAATACAAATATCACTTTTAGAGGAATTAAGGGGATTTTTATCCTTAATCTTGACGAATAATTTTGGTATTGTTTTGATTAAATATATACCATAAGCAGTAAATATACAATGCCTATACAATTAAAATAAATAATACTAATCTAATGTGATGAATGTTGCAATTATACTAAAATCAAACTGTAAAGATTCTTTGGAGTTCTGCATGCTCATGCTGCTGTGTACTGCTCCATTCTCTTATAGCATTCCTCTATGCAGACTCCTTGGAAGCATTAGACTTTCATGTACCACTAAAATAAAATCTGTATATTAAATCCAGATGCATTTAATTATTACAAAGTTAGATATATGTTATAATCTGATACCAACATGAAGATAAATTGGAAACAGGGCACTAAGTTCATGTTACAATGTTCAGTTTGTGGTGCTCTTAAATAACTGCTCTTATTAATATATTTAGATCAGTACTGAAATGAAACATAAGTTTACAAGTTCTGAGAGAACTCAGGTGCCCACAAAAATATTCCACAAATCTAGTTTTGAATATACTTAGGTGGTTTAGTTAATAAGAATGTGTTCCAATAAAACATTTTTTGGCTAAAATATTCATTTTCAGCATTCTAGATGAGTGGTACAGATACCTTGAGAATAGATTCTAGATATGAGTCCACAGATTCCTTCTTCACTTCATTGTAGCAAGAACCACAAAATTTCAGGAAACTCCCTTTTTTTGTATTTCAACTAGTTTTTATTTAGCTGTGAACTTTATGTAGTATATACATGTTGATTCTCAATGATGCTCACCTGAATCTTTACTAGTGTTATAATACAATGTTATTTCAATTTTAAAGTCATCATTTCCAAAGAATTCACTGATTTACCTATCACTATGTTTTAGACATTTCTTACTTTTAACATACTTGAAAAGATGTCCATCTAAAACCTTTTGGCACCTTGATCTGAATTCACTTCATAGCTTGGTAATGCTAGCATTTAGTTTTAAAAGTTGTTGGTAACACTTTCTTGATATTTAAAAGAAAATACATTCCTGTGTATACAATTTATAAACAAAGATCATTACATGGGTATAGACCAAAATATTTGGTAATTACTTTTTGTTAATATGGCCATATGTTGTACATATATACTTAGGTCTTGACTTTCTCAGTTTGGGTATCTGTTTCCAGTAATATATCTGCATAATCATTGATTTTAATAGATATGTGTGTGTGTACATTGTCATTAACATTACTCCGTTGAACATTTAAGTATTTAAATTTTTCATTGCTATAAGTAAATACTGTGCTAAATATTTTTTGCATATTTTTAGCATATACGCCTAAAGGGTGAGTAAAAGAACATTTTTATGCTTTTGAGGCAGAATATCAAATTGATTTCCAAGTTATCCCATGACACTAGTAATGTCTGATACCATTAGTTGTGTGCTGTCTTCACCAGGTTTGGGAATTATTTTTTGTTCTAGTGAGTTTAAATAATTTTATATTTTTAACAAATGCCTTGATTAATTTCCAATCATGTATTAAGAAATTCAAAGTTATAACTGAAAGTTTTCAGGCAATAGAATTTCTCAAACTGTTTGAATCTTTTTTATCTTTAGGGAAAATTTGGGAAGTGTAAGAGGTATGTGGCCCACAGTACACATGTCACAAATGTTCGCTGGACTTACGATGACAGCATGTTGGTCACCTTAGGAGGAGCAGATATGTCATTAATGGTTTGGACAAATGAAATGGAGGGCTACCGAGAAAAAAAGCCTTGTGATAGTGAAGAATCTGATATAGATTCTGAAGAAGATGGGGGTATGTCATTTTGAAATATTTTATGTTAACAGAAACAGAAAAAATTAGGACAACTGATTTAAACTGCAAAAGTCATGGCCTAGTTTTTTTGGTCTATTTAACACCAGAATTGGTTCAGTGAGTCAAAAATAACAGGCTAGTATGTATTGATAACTTAGATGTTCTTTATCTACAAATGTATGGTAGTCATAATGTTAAATTTTATAGTATTGAATCATTTTAAAGTAATTTTGATTATTTTCCTAATATGCCAATAATACCAGCTCATCATGGAATTATTAGAAAATACATTTTGCAAGAAAAAATAACTACAGCATCCATAATTTGACCACTCAGAGGTAACCTCTGTTAAAATTTTATAGAGTTGAGCGCTAAGCTGCGCGCGGCCTCTGCGGCGCCGGTTCGATCCCCGGCTGCTCCCCGGCCACCGGAGGAGGGTCCCACATGGCGCGCAGACCTCTCCTGCCGCCCGCTGCTCCCCTCCGCAGTGTACTTCGGTCCTTCTGCCTGCTCTGCTCCCCGCTCTGGCTCTGGTGAATTCTCTCGCCCTCCCGCGCTTCTGACTGTACCCAGTGCATGTATAAACAAAACAAACAAAGAAACCAGCAAACAAATAAATAAAGCATGCCTCTATAAAAAAAAAAAAAAAAAAAAAAAAAAAATTTTAGAGTATACCCATACTGTACCAAACTGTACATTTATATACATTGTCTTTTTTTAAGAAAAATGGCATCATATTGAATTAATTAGTTATGGCCTACTGTTATCTATTAGTAATACTTTGAAAACATTGTTACATATTAAATATTCTTCTACACCTTTTTATTGGGTATATTATTTCATAATTGGGCTATAACACAATTTCATACTTTATCCACTTTATTGTATAATAGGGTTCCTCAGTTATAACTTGGAGAGTAAGTCTTATATTTTGATGGCAGGCTATGACAGTGATGTTACAAGGGAGAATGAAATCAGTTACACCATCAGAGCCTTATCAACCAATATTCGCCCAATGTTTGGAATCAAGCCTCATTTGCAACAAAAAGAACCCTCAGTTGATGAGAGGTAATAATCAAGTTTAAAACTAGATGAAGAAAAAAGATGTTGATGTTAAAAATTTATTAACTGAATGAAATATTACAAAAGCTAACCGTGATATGCTTTCATTTTACAGTTCCCAACACCTCTTAAAAACACATTTGGGTCAAAAATAAAACACTTTTTGGACGTGACACTAGCTTTTCCAAGTAGTTTTAGGTAATGATGCCACTCTATGAAGTCTGTATGATTAAAGGAATATTACTTGCTAGCTTTTGTAAATATGTGTGATGAGGTTACAGGGGATAATAAACATTGAATCTAATACCAAGTACATTTTAGGAAGCACATGAGCAGAGATATGATTAAATTTTAAAAAGATCTTGCCATCCATATGCCCTTAAGTGAGGATAGAAAATCATTATTTCAAAAATTTGGCAAGTATGATTCTCCTATAATGGTAATTATTGGTCTTATATATAGAATCAGCAAATCAAAAATAACATGTACACAGCAATTTTATGAAGAGAGAGAGCTGGGTGACATATCAAGAAAGGAGCTGTAAACCTGATGCTTAAAAGTCATTAGGGAACATGCATGTGGATCAGTGATGGCTTGGAATTCATTTTACAAAATGATAAAAGAAAGATATCCAGAAACATCGGTGAGGAACAAAGGGGGAATGGGAAGGGGACATATCATTGACCTCTTCTATAGAAAGCTGTGACAAGGAAAGCTTTATGATGAGAAATTAAGAGTATTTGAGGGAAAAGATCAAAATGAAAGGGAATTCACTCACTATAAAGCAAAATTTGTAGAAAATTCCAGTGATTGTATAGTCAGTGAGGACAATCCTAATGGGTAGAAATACTTTAAGAAAGCCTTAGCAGAGGAATTTGAGTTTGCACCTGTGGGTTGACTGTCTAATGCAAAGTAAGAAGTGGAAACAGTGAGGTGTGTGGGGGTGTTGGAAAAGGGAGAAGCAAAGATTCTGTTGAACATCCCAATCCAGAGCTCCCAGGAAAGTTCTGGATGGTCATGTTTCATAGCTCCTCTCCCAGGGGCAGGGTTTGCTGATGGCATAATAGTTGTTACCTTACAGAAAGGGGAGAGAGGGTGGGCACTGATTTAGTCATCACATATAAAGAAACAAATAATTAAATTAGATGTATATTTCAAGAAAGCTGACCACACCATCATGTAAATACTTGCACAGGATTCAAGGGTGAAGCAACTTGGCGGGAGGGGGTATCATATATCACATAGGGCATGGTTTCTGGAGTCCATTAAAATATTCTTTTTTTTTAATCACCTGAGAGTTGTGTGACCTTTAAAAACATTTTATTCTTTCTAAGTCTCAATTTTCTCAGAGGTAAAATGAGCACTATAATCCCTAAAATATGGACTACTTCCAAGTTTAAATGAAATAATATATATAAAGAATTTAGGTAGTAGGTCTTCACCAATAACATCCCTCTCTTGGGTGAAATACAGTTAATTGAGGAGATACCTGGTTAATGCTGAAACACTTCCTGAAATTAAATACCCACAAAGTAATAAATAGTACCTATATATCAATTCAGGAAATACATAGTAAGTATGCATATGTGGGTGTTCCTAATTAAGAGTATTTGTAGGATAATGCTTAATTTTTCTTAAAGGAAGTTATGTCTCACAGGTGATTTAAAGCAAAAAGCATACAGCGAAGAAAGAACTCTAGAGGTTTTCATAAATCATTTTCATTTATTGATTTTTTTAAAGAAAAATTATCATTTATCAGATTAATACATGATATCAGAAATCTAGATAGTCTGTCATTCATGGTGAAACAGATTCATTCTCTCCTCCACACACCTCCACCCCCATTATTGAAGGACAAGCTGTCACAGATGGAAATATTTTACTGCTCATGAGAAAGCTAACACTGTCATAATTGAGTCTTTGCTGTTAGCTTGCATTTTTTGCAACTAACTTTATCAAAATTATTTTTTAAATTTTTTTGTATTTTGTTTTTAATTTATTTTACAATTTCACCTCTGCTGCATTCTTTTTGCTTTTGTTTTCCAACTCACCTCTGTTGAATTCTTTTGAAAATGCCAAGGCAAAAGTCAAATGTGAATCACAATTGAGTCCTTATTTTCAAAAAATAAATAAATCATGGGAGAAGAAAATTAAGAGACATTTTTTACCAACTTTGAATATATTGATGCAGAGATATGCTCTTTATAAGTAATGTTTCATGTTTTAAATATATATATATTGCCATCAAGTATGAAACAAAATATTTTATAAGTTCTTTTTTAAAATGCTTGTGAGATAGCTTATTTGCTTAGAAGGAAGATAATTGTGGTTGATAGTTTTGTGGGAGTATAATTTTTCCAAAAGGACTTGCATAATTGTATGTTTTCTTCTATAAATAATTTGTAGCAAATTTTCTTTTAATGTGTTAATAGCCAAACAAATTTCTGATGTTTTTTAATAAAAATTTGCCAAACATTGTAACTTAAAATTTAGGTAATTTCCTTACAATTCTGTTACCATGTTGCCTTTATTCTGTTTACTAAGTTACTATATTTTATTCTTCATCAATTTTCATGTATGTTTCCTTTTTTCTTGTTCCTTTTGAAGGCAGGGCATAGTAAGGTAAGTGTTCTATTAAAGAAAATATCCTAAAATACACTCTCTTCTGTTTTGATTTTACAGTATTTTAAGGTATTGATTATTTTTTCCTTCCTCTTCAACATTAAACTACATTTGTTGAGAAAAAATTAGAAAGGGAATAGAACAAATCCTGCACCATATATACAACATGTAGATGTTGTGAAGTTCTTCATTTGATTATGACTTTTCACGAACTCATACTCTTGATAGTTTTAGTTTTCCTTAAGTTGTACAGGCTAATAAAAACTGTTAACTTGACATGTCAGTGAAAATATGGTTTAGTTTATGAACCTTTTAGTTTATATTTAATGTATGTTTATGATAGCCATTCATTTAAAAGTGTTAACATAGGGCAGTGATATTTGTATGTTTAATAAAGTGGTATGTACAAGAAAGGGCTCTTTGGGGGTACTCTTCCACCTGCCTGCCTTTAGAGAGATGAAAATGTCTTCAGTGTCTGAAACAGGACAATGTGGAATTGGCTAGACTGTTTTAGAAGTTTCAAAGAGATACCATCAGGAAAACCCTGGGATATAGTAGCATTTAGACCAGTTTTTATAGAAACTCGGGTATTAGGCACTCATTTATTCCTGAAGACAGCGGGGATCCGTTATCTTTCTTAAACAAGTGGTATGTACAAAGATAAGAGTCTAGAGTGTGAGGTCACTGCAAAAGAGGCCCATGTAAATCTTACACTATTTTAACAGAAATGAAACATTCATATCCATCCTCATATCTGAAATAGCTTATTGATTATAAAATAGCTTATTGATTGATATCTGCATTTTAAAGCAACATTGACAGTTTACAGTGGTCTAGAAGGAGGCACAGGATGAAGGAACACTGGAAACCACTTCTATAAAGAGTAATTAATTGCTCTGGGATTCACATGTTTCAAAACAAGGAACTAACTTTTTAAGCTGCTGTTGCTACCCTGGTCTGCAGCACTTGTATAGAAAAGACCCCCAGCACAGAATGTGTTCCGGGGAAATTTAGATGACCATGTGCCTTCGGTGCTACAAAGAGATGCTGAGGCTGTGTAGAGGGGTCCTCTTTCGAGTGGGAGGTCAGATGAGATGACATGTCTGAGTCCCTCCACTTCTGTTTATCATTTTGCTGTTAAGGGGAACTTTGTATTTTTTAAGTTACCTCCTTTACTAGCAAAATCCCAGGTCCAACATAAGTCCTCAGTGACTTGGGCTGCCTGACTGACCTGGGGTACCTCTCTGGTCAGTGTGGGAGGAGCATGGGCACCTCATACAGGCTCCTTAGTACAGTGCCACTGGCCTTCAGTTGTTAACATTTCACAGCCTGTTCTTAAAATTAAGCTTCAGTATTTGTTTGAAATTCAGATTGCAATGTGGAAAATTAAAGTGACAGACTTTAATGTTTGCTGTTAACATAGACTGTGTTGAATTCGCACTTGTTTTTCTTTTTCAACCTTTTTATGATTTCCCTGCTGTTAATAGAATAACTTATCTTTCCACATATATAGTAACAAATAAAAAGCAACGGTCCTTTAATATATAGTTTCTCTGTATTAAATTTGTGAAGTTGTTTTATTATAGAAGTATTTAAAATTCAAAGTTGTGCTGTAATCTCTTCTCTTTTTTTATCTGCTGCTGGAAAGAGGTTCCAGGTAATCCCTCTCTGTGATGTTTGATGAGACCCTTTTTTTTGTATTTTTATCATCTTTCATATTTACCATTAATGAGCTATGTTCTTTGGTATGCTTTATTTACCTCTCTTCAGTTTCCCACATTTTTCTTCTTTGAAATCAGTAATGAGTAGCATCTTATTTATTGGATTTATGCTACATAAGTAACCAAAATGGTATCCATTCAACTTATCTAGTTTTCAAGTTGTGTAATTTTATGTAAACAATATCTTATTTAAATTAACTTTAAAAAATTAAAATATGCTTAACTGTTACAAAGGATTATATAGATAAAAATCACTTGTTTAGTAGAGCTGTCAGATAACACTGAATAGTTCACCAACAAAATTCACTTGAAAGAAAAGACTGCTGTCATTCTTTAAAATTATCTTAGCAGAAATAATTATAAATGCTAAATATAAATTCAAATATATTTATTCCATATAGACATTTAAAAAGTATATCAAAAAGGTTTGAAATCAAAATTTCTGCAATGATTTTAAAAATTTGTTGTATGTTCTTGTAAGTGCATTTTATTTTTGCACCAGTTATACTTGTATAGTTTTATTTATTGCTTCATATTCCATAGGAAGATACATATATTTTATACTGCATGTTCAAACTGTAAGACTTCATTTACTTTACATAACTTGAAAATCATTTTCAAAATGCAAATATATTTTATGCCTTTAATGGATTTATTCATAAATCTTGGCATTTTCCACAGGAAAGTTCATTGGTATTGTTTCTTGACTTAGTTGTTAAAGATTGAACATTAACTTAAAATTTGGAGTGAAGAGTTGATACATGATTCATTTAGATTTGATTGATTTAGATTCAGTGTTCAGGTTATTAAATATTTGAATAATGGCTGTCTGAGAAAAAATAAACTAAATGATGTGGAGATTTTTTAAAAAGGAGTTTGAGGAAAGAGCCTCCACATTTAAATTGTTCAAAAAGGGAACTCTACATCTAGTGGGGCATTAAAAATATCAATAGATCCCAGACTAATAGTGGAAACAGTAGAGGGGATGAGATTTGAGAACTGTTGTATGGGGAAAGCTGGTAATGTTTAGTAAACGGTGAGAATAAGAGAAGAGAAGGAAATGGAGCCAACAGTGATCATGATTATCTTTTATGAAGTACGTGTTTTATAACACTTTGTGACTGTAAAATGTCTTGCTTGAGTAACTGATGGTGATACCATTAACCGAACTAGGGGCATCAGGAAGAAGAGGAAGTAAAGGGCATGGAGGAGCAGGTAATGAGCAAAAATTTGAACTCAGACATATTTTATGTTGCCAACAGGGTAGAAAATTCACAGAAATACTTTCGAAATAACTCAGGAAGAATGTATTGAGTACCTACTGTGATAGACAGTGCAAAACAATAATGCAGGCTTTGTTGATAAATGCTCCCCATTAAGTTTTTTATACATAGAGCTAACTTTTGGATATTTGTTTATAAGCAGAGTGCTGTTGTGCTGTTATTTACATTATGAAACCTATACACCAAAGAAATTAAAAGTAAATTGAATAAAATAACATTAAAATAACATTTGCATTCTACCCTCCTGCTTTAGATGTGTGTAAGAAGGATATGATCTAGGGAGGAACAGAGAGTGGGCTCAATTTTGTGAAGGTGTGTCAGATGTCTCTCTCCAGAGGGCGGGGGAGGGAGGCTCAGCAGAGGCAGCAGGGGTGTGTGCCTCTCCTCATCCCACCTCCCTGTTCCAGGCCCCCTGTGAGCAGGGCCCCACCACAGCCAGAGAAACTCCAAACAAACAATGTTGGCAAGAAAAAGAGACCTATAGAGGTGAGGAAAACCCACTCCCCCTTGTTAACTTGTACTTTAAAATGTATCCAGAGTTATTTTTATTTCCTTTTTGTAAAACACTCAAATCTTGTCACTAATTTTTATGAAAATAAATGTATTGAATAATTTTTTGTTTGATTGTAAAGTCAGCTTAACTGTCAAATCCGAGTCTTGATATGCTGTTTTTCAATTTTTTATTAGTCTTTATAAGTTGAAGGTTAATATTTATACCAAGCCAGGAATATTTATTACCATGTGTGAGTTAGTCACTGCAGTGTTCAGTGAAGTCTCTGCTTCCCTTTCTGTCTCTGCTTCCAACTAAAGAAAGCTTCCACAGTGGTTGACCCAGAAGAAACATCCTCCCAGGCATTTCATAGCCCTAATATCAGTAGCTAACAGCAACATATGCTAAATTAGGTCAAAAATAAAGCATAAAGCCTTACAAAGTTGATTGAAAATGGATACTTCCAGCAGCAGAATTATCTGCCAGAACTTCAGCATGAGTTATCAGAGATGGTGTGAACCATTGCTGATGTATTCTGTGAATCCTTAAAAAGTGTATCATGTGGACTTAATTTATCATTAGTTGTATATGCAGTTTAGATATTTTGACTAACAGTGATCACAAATTGAAATTTTCATCTTTTGGACAAAGTATCCCGATGTTTAACACATGAAATCTTAAAAACAAATTCTTGGAAGCAGAGGTCTTGTGATATCCTTTTCATTTTTATTACTGTATAGAAAAGTGTGGAGTGTATTTCAGCTGCCCCAAACAGATTACATATACAAATATGTCTGACTTAATTTTATGTTTGACGCATGTAAAACATCAAAATGCATCCTCCACTTTGACTGTATACAGTAGTGTATGTAACAAAACAATAGTGAACATTTAGATGTCAGAGATTGTCTTTCTCATTGTTATAGGACCTTGTATTGGAGCTTGTTTTTGGCTATCGAGGCAGAGACTGTAGGAATAATGTTCACTATTTAAATGATGGTGATGACATCATTTACCACACTGCATCTATTGGAGTTCTGCACAATGTTGCTACAGGTAGGAAACCCTGACTTTTTTCACCCTCCGCTTTTTTTAATTTAGAATTTTTTATCCAACATGTAAAACTATGCTAAAACTAAGTAATTTTTAAAGTATAATTGAGTCCGGAATATAAATATTCATACTTTAGAACTTTCTACCAACATTTCAAGTAACCCAATTTACAGTATTGAGAGTATAACATAGCAGAAAAGGATTTCAAAATGCAAAGTGCTAATAGGTCTCTATTAGAAGTAAAAGTGCTGTATGTTGAAACCATGTTTTATAGTGAAACCATTTGTGACTTTATTCCTTCATAACCTTAACATAAAAATGGATGGCTTACCTACTTTTTTTTTGTGATAGTGGCTGAAGGAATATGTGGGGGGGGGCAACGTGGGAAGAGGGAGGAGGGTGAGTATTGTTCTTTCTGAAGTGTTAGGAAGATAACTAAAGAAGCTGCTTACCTGTGGCTGTTTAGTTCAAAAAGATGAGAAAATATTTCTTGATGCTTATTTAACTCTGATTGTATTGTTAAAAGCAAGTTACGATCCCTCACCATCATCTGATGACCCATAAATGGACTGAATAATCTTTTTTGCTTGGGTACCCAAACAAAGCATTTTTTGTATAATCCTAGTGACATTCAGTATTTAATTTCAGTAATTAATCTAATTTGTATTCTTTGCTCTATGTAATTGCAGACTTTCTAGAACCTGGAAGTTGAAAAATAAAATCAGATTTTTCTAGTCCAGACATTTCTCTTTCCTTTAATATCTTTACTCTGAATAGGTAAAGAGTGAATTATGTGAGGTATAATCCCCAACCCTTGGTCAGTATTAATCATCACTGTGGCCTTTCTGTTTTGGTTTCCTCAAGAAAGAATTTACCAAGATCACACATAAATTAGTGATGAATTTCCATTTAATAATAATAAAATTCCATTTAATAATTTCTACATGGTAAAAATACCACTTAGAAAGTCCTCTTTAATTGAAACATCCAATATCCTTCAAAGAGAGCAGAGTAAGAAAGCACAGCTAGAAGATGAATGTGTAAATATACTTTCATGTTTATGCTTGTAATTTTCTTTATTTCTAATTTCCTGATTTGTAATTAATCACCTTACTAATGATGGGATGTACAGAGAGGACTGAGGGAGGACTAGGCATCTGCTCCAGTTCTGTTCAGTTGGTCTCTCGCCTTAGGCTACTTTGTTATGTTCACAGTGGAGGAAGTCTAGTTCTGCTAGTTGATCTACAAACTTAGCCAATAGCACATATAAGTACCTGTTCCTTTAACCAAATTCCCTGGAAAATATGAAACATTTCACTTTAAGAAGAGGTTTTAAATTAAGCAATATTAAATTTGTTAAATATTAGATAGTTTTATTTTGTTGGTCTTTGCTTTTGGGATGGCCCTCTATAATTGGGACCCAGCCCGCTGTTCTGAACTCACTTCCACTTTCTCTGTTTTACTTGTACCAACCATCTGCATTACTTCCTGCATGATCACACTCTGTGAAGGGCTTTTGACTGTCACTGCTGCTAGATGATCACTTTTCTTCTTCAGGTAGCAATCTTCAGTACTGCCCCACTGACTACAAAATAAATCAATGATTTAGTAATCTGGCATTCAGTTTGCCTTTCCAGCTATATTACTTTTCTTCTTCATGACTTAGGCCAAATAAGCCATTTGTATGCATACCCAATAGTTTCCTGCCTTTGTACCTTTGCTCTAAGTGTTCCTCTACCTGAAATGCCCTTCCCCACCTACCTTCCCATTTACACAGCCTATGGGGTCTGCTCAGCAGTGCCGTAAGCTACAAGTTCCCATAACATTTCAGTCTTTAACACTTGTGGCGCTTGATGTTTTCCACCTTCTGTTGCATGGCTTATTATGCTTTTCAGAGCTCTATTCCTTTAACAACTGCTGAGTTATTTTTCCATCCTTACAATGATGACACATATTAAGTGTTCAAAAATATGTATTGAATAAGCAAGTATGTTAAATAGTGCTGTTTTATTGCTCTGGATAAGTGTGTTTGACTTACACCCTTGACTTTCAAATTTAATTCCCAAATTATTTTTTTATAGGGACTCAGAGTTTTTATCAGGAACATAATGATGATATTCTGTGCCTCACTGTAAATCAGCACCCCAAATTTATCAACATTGTGGCAACTGGCCAAGTAGGTATGTTTCCATATTTTAAAAAGAAACAATTTGAAGTCATTGTCTTGTTCAAATTAATTAAATAGCCGGGGGGAATTAAAATATATTTGTTTATTGTTCAAAATACTTGTGTATATAACACATATACCCAGTTCTGCCTCATTTGCTTCTAGGTACCTTTCTCTCACTTTGGTTATCTGAGTTAGTTCAGAAAAGTTAGAACTAAGAATAAATTTACTTATGGTAGTTGAAATAACTGGAGTTAGTCCTTTTACGGAAATTCCTGATCGGCAAAAGATTTAGTTTAGTTTAATAACGTATAAAGCAGAAAGGATGAATGTGGGGGGTGTAAATGAGGGAAGCCAAAAAGTGAGCAAACTGAGAGGGGCAGAACACCTGTTCCCAAGGGGTTAAGCTAGAAAGAAGTCAAGTCTGATTTTTGTTGGTAAATTCCTTTTGCCCTTTTCTTTGGAGTAGGTCAAATTTACCAACTGTTTAAAAGTGTCTGTCTTGCTTTTAATTTAAAGTCCTTAACTCTACAAGCAAAATGAGGCTAGCAGGTCTCTTTAAGACATATCAGCCTATCAGTGTTGCATGATAGATTTCATCAGTAGAATCTTCACAACTCTGATCCAGGTTATAAAAATGATTAAAATCATTGAGTTTGTTAGATCTCGGTGGACCTCAATTGCTAAGCCAACTGTCTTTTTTTTTTTCTTGACTAGTTTATTCTTGTAATAGCTTCATTTTTCATACAGACTAAATTGGTCAGTCAGTTGGAAACTTATTCACTGGTTTTTAGTCCTACAGTTATATTATATTCCCTTGTACATTTCTTTCTGTAAAGCTTTCCACTCTTAAAATAGACCAGTGCTTCCACTTACCTTACGCAAAATATTCTGATCTTTGCATATAGATATGTAGGGCTAGCCCATTTGTGCTAATTTTTTAAAGTTAAAATCTTTTCACTCTGCATGAGCAATGTGAGATTTTCTTACCATTTTTGGTCATGAAAGTAACTCAGAATAGCTTAACATGCAGTTATTCTCACTTAATTGCTATTAAATAAATTATTCAGCAACTTTTTTGCAAACCTACCATATGCAAGTATTATTCTAGGTGCTGGGGATAGTGACAGCTTATAAAAAAGACAAAATTTTTGTGTTCATGGAATTTACATTTTGTGAATAGATTCTAGAATATATAATTCTTTCATTTTCCAACTTTGCTTCTCCTTTGTTTTACCTTACTCTTCCTGTCTGGAAACTTTAACATATTAATGATACAATTTTCTCCCTTGGTTAAGAAAAGTCATGGTCACAAATTAATCTTTGAGGAAATGTGTCACTCTTTTCCACTTCTTTCCTTGTCTTTTGAAAGGTAACAGTGTAGGGAATGTGGAATGGTTATCTCCCCTCCTCTTTCCCTCCAGATCAAATTCTAGGCTGCAGGGAGGTGAGTTTTAGATAGTGTGTATAGCGTGTGTTATGCCATACATGCTCTCTTCCACAGAAGACATAACAAAAATTCTTCTCCGGTGACTATCTAATTAAATATTACATAGACTTTAGAGAAGAGCAGATCTTCTGAATCCAAAGAGAATTGAATCAGTAGTTAATTTGCCTGCAAGCTCGTTTAAAAAACACAAAAGCATAAAACACTGACTAAAATGTTTATGGATTCTCTTTGTTGAAAATCATACAAATCCAAATCCTAGAGGAATTAAAGTAATTTATTCAATTTTTTTTTTTTTTTTTTTTTGGCTAGAATCTTGGAATCTCAGAGCCAAATTATACAGTGTATCATTCGTTGCTTGACTCTTCTCTGATTAAAGGTCTTCATTTGAACCCCATTATCACTAATGCTTAATGATGTACCCATACTCTAGGTATTCAAAACCCCAGAATTCTCTATCAGATGGTCCTAAATCTAACTGGGACCTTCTTGAGCCTCTTCTATAATTCCATTCTGGCACTGGTAAATTGTGCAATCCATGTGAACATTCTTGAGGGATGGCCCGTGGGCAGCGGTGCGTTGGGTGGTGGTGATGGGGTTTTGGTGTTAAGGTAAGGATAACTACACACAGCTCCATGGCTCATTGTGGCATGCGTGGAGCTGGGAATAGGAGGGAAAGGGGATAGCCCCGGTTGTATTGAACTGCTGCAAACTCAAAATTTGTTCTGAATTTGAACCACACCTTCCAGGTCATCATAGGTGTGTACTCGTCAAGAACTATGTGGTAATTTTTGCTATCATTTCTCTTAGACTGTATAGCTCTAATTCTTCCCCATAAGGATAGATACATTAAAAATCCAAAGGGTCCTATAAAAATTTGGTAAAACAAAATAAGTGTTATATCAGAGTTAATCATGTCTATTTCAAAAATGGTACCTGAAATTTATGTACCTCATTAAGTACAGAGAAATAAAGTTTGGATCCAGAGACTAAAGAATAGGCATATTCACAGAATGTTATGTGCATGTATTATGTACATGTGTATCACATGTGTAAAATTGAAATGAGTACTTGAACATTTTACTCAGTTTAACATAAGATAAATTTTGTATATGACATTTTTATTTCAATTATTTTAAAATTATTACTTATGGTAATTCAGTTTTTATAAATTTTACTTTTAATATTTATGTTATTTATAAGATAATTGTTTTCTGCTGGTTTTCTAATACAGGTGATTCTGCAGACATGTCAGGTAAGGAAAATCAATCCTCTTCTGTTTTAGTTATATTGTTTAGTAATGATAGCTCAAATTTTTAAACAGTAATAAGATACTTTTGAATCTGTTTTTTTAATGAAGAATATATCATTTTAATGTCATGATACTGAGCCAAATATGCAATAATACTTTCTTTTTATGAAAAGACTAATACATTCTGAGGTTTTTAATGTGCCCAACACTGTAGTAAACACCTTACTTCTGTAATCTACTTATTTGTCTCAAGAGTTCTTCATGGTTGATATTAACTTGCCACTATCATAACTGAGAAGAGTGCAGGTAGGATTAAAGCTTAATCTTAAATCTGAATCAATAAATGTTACTGTCTAAAAAGTGAAATCTTTTTATTGAACTTATTTTTATATACCATCCCAATTATTCCACATATCACATCAAAATATCATTTAAAAATTTCAAAATAACTTTTTATTATTGATTTTGACCATGGCTTTGTGAATTTAAGAAGCTATTTCAGAGCCTCCCCTGTGGCGCAGCGGGTTGAGCGCAGCGCTGTGAAGCTGTCTGCAGCCTCTGCAGTGCTGGTTCAATTCCCAGCCAGCCAGGGAGATACTCACATGGCAGGGCAGACCTCTCCTGTCTATCCTGCTGCTCCCCTCAGCAGTGTGCTTTGGTCTGTTCCCCACTGTCTCTGGTGAATCCTCTCACCCCCACACCTCTGCCTGTACCCCATCCCCAGTTCTTGTATAAAAATAAGTCTTTAAAAAAAAAGCTATTTCATGAAAGTATATCCACTGGTTTTGTTTTTGTTTTTTTTTTCCTTTTTTTATGAATTATTTTATATAATTCTTACATAATTTTTCATTTTTGCACAATGTATGCATTTTCATTTTGGTTATATTCCCCATACAATTCCCAGCCCACCTTTTCTGACCCTAATCCCTCTTCTCCTCCTCCCGCTCCCCACTGTAGTGTATAGAGACTACAACTATAGTTGCTTGTTGATTTTGATTTTTACTTATCCGTTGTTTTTAGTTACTTAATAACTAGACTTTTCAGCCCAATATTCAGCTTACATAAAACAGTGATTTGATAAGAAAACATTTCCCAGTGATTTTTATCTATTTGCTTCCCCTCCTCTAAAGTATGATTTTGTTCAGTGTAACTTGCAAAATGCATAAACATCTGACAGTTTGAATTTATAGTGTTGATGGAAGAAATCATTTTTAATGTGTACTGTAAAACTTGAAATACTCAGGAGCTGAGTGAATATGTTTGTTGCTACTTACAATCCCGACCTGTTAGTCCCAGTAGTTTTGTTTTAACATGGTCTTTTTCAACTTTGTTTCCTATTTAACTACAGAGGACTTCTGTTGTAGACTCACAAGTTTAACTGTTGTATTATAACAGTATTAAATGTCAACAGTGTGGTTATGACCTTTATTTATATAAAAACCAAATATTTAGTCAAAAAAAAAATAAAGTATGATTTTGTGACTTGACTATTGAACTATAAATTTATTCAACACAACAGGCGAAGTCTTGGCACTCTTGGTTGTACTGGGGGTCAGGGGTTGGCAAACTACAGCTCTTAGGGACCACATCTTGCCAACAACTGGTTTTGTTTATAGCCCATGAGCTATAAGTATTGTTTCTTTCTGATGTTAATAACTGGAAGGAAATCAATGGGATAAAATCTAAAGAATAAACTTTTCAGTTGAAAAGTATATGAAATTCACATTTTATCCCTAAGATAACGTTTTATTGACCCAGCCATGCCCATTCAGTTACAAACTGTCTCTGGTGGCTTTTGTGCTTCAGTGGCAGAGTTGAGTCATCGCAAGATACAGTCCTAAGTTGATCGATTTGTAGCACTGTCTACATCTCTGTGCTGCAATGCCACTCCTCAACCATAATATACCCCACACGGCAAAACACGGTGGGGGGGAGTGGAAAGTATACGTTGAGTATCACACTTTTAAGGCACAGTAAAATATGGACCATATTGTTATTGAATTAAAAGATGATAAAACATTGTATTTATTATTCAGTGACACTACCACTGTGCTAAAGAATACAATATACCCCAAATAAACTATCATAGTACTCCTAACTGACAGGAATGCAGCAACCAAAAAATTTAAAACAGACTATCTCGTCACAACAGAATTCACAAAAATGAGGCTACTACTGAAGTAAGTTTCTCATTGGCTCATCAGGAAAAACTGTTTATTGGTGGTGAATTAATACGTCTTTTTTTATTGCAACAAACATGTTCAAAGAAAATAAACTTGGTTAAGACTGTCAGCTTTTTGGCAAAAACTGTTGCTAGAATCATTGACTTTGGGAACATCAATAAGCAAAAAAAAAAAAAAAAAAAAAAACCCCACAACAGAATAATTTTGAATGGTTTCCTTTGGCTCTTGATAGGTTGACAAATGCTGTTAATATGCCAATTCATGTGGCTGTTGAGATGGACTGAGAGGGTGTCGGTGATATGAGGCCTTCGCAGGTCACGAGAGGAGTCTGGATTCAGGCCAAGAACAGAGTCCATCACTGGGGAGTTTTAAGCCAGGGGGTGATATGATCTGATTTCTACTTTGAGAAAATCACTCCTGGCCCTGTTTAGACTATAGAGGGGAGAGAAGTAATCTGAAAATCAGAAAGCTGTCATAGCAGTCTAAGCAAAGACTTCAAGCTAGGATGACTGGACTGAAAATGGAGACTAGACAAATAGGGGATATATTTTGGAGGTAAAGCCAGTGTCCTTTTTGATGAGTTGGCTGTGGGAGCATGATAGAAAGTGAGGAATCTAGGCTGATAATTTCTTGTCTGAGTAGCTGACTATGTGAAAATTGGGGTTACTCTGGGGAAAATATTCTGGCAGAGAGAAATTATCCATAGACATAATTTAGCATGGGTAGTGTGAGGGAGTGTACGTTCAAATGCAGAAAGGTGGGTTTGGGGGTAAGAAAATAGTCTGATGGCTTGTATTTTCTGTTTCATTAGCTGAGAGTGGAGGTAGGAAAGTGGTTAGAGGATGAAGTTTTGAGATTGTCACTTTGGAATGTGGGAGAGTAAATATATATATTGGAAAAGATATGGTATAATTAGTATTTGAATATATTAGATGTGTTTTGAGTAGACTAATAGAACATCTTTTTGTCTCTGACAAAGTTTTTCCAGCCCACTTGAAGACTATATATTGGGAGCTAAGAATTTTGACACTTTAGATCCTTAAGGCTATTCACAGGACAACTTTCTGTCTTGGTTACTTGTCATGATAGATGGCTGTTCATTAAATGACTTCAGTGGCCTTCGATGTGCCTTCTACTGCAGAAAGCAAGAGTGAAGAGTGAAGCTGATCTCCTGAGTGCTGATGCAGGAGCTCCACAGTGTCAGCAGGAGACTTCTGTCTCTTCTGCTCTGTTGTCCACGTGTTGGCTTCACCCATAAGGCTGGTTGCTTGTGTGGTTATAAAGGGACTGCAGTAGTTCTGTGCTTGCCTTGTCCAGTGGGAAAGAGGGTGAAAATACTCTCTTCAGAACTATGACCTGAGCCCCTCCTTTTAGCCTGATGAGTCATTTTAAGACATAATCCAAACTCTTCTCAGAAAACACCAGGGGAATACCATGTACTAAGTCTGGATTTCAGAATGCATTGCTAATTTCAGGGGTGAAGGAAGGGTTTGGGGGGTGTGAAGGAATGTGGGAGTTACCACCACAAGCTTATCTAATTGGTTGCATGTACAGTGTCTTTCTCCTGAACCGCTTGCCCTACACAAGAGAAGGGAATTCCTGAATAAAACTAAGGCTTTAAGAAGGGAGGAGGGGTGGATGCTGGGTACGCAGCAGAGTTGTCTACTACAGAAACTAAAGGGTGAAATACAGTTGGCACGCTGACTGGCCCCTATTAAATTTGTTTTAAAACATGGTTTTTATTATATAGCATCAAAGGTGAGCTAGGCGTGGGGAGAGATTATCCTTTAAAACTGATCCCTATGATACCCAGTTAGCAGCTTAAAGAACTTCTGGTATCTCCGTGCTGGAGACAGAACATCAAGAATGGTTATGACAGACTCTCTCAGACGCTGACGACAGTATGAAGGTCACTCCAACAGTTATGGCAGGGCAGGAGGAGGTGGAGGGCACTGGTGGTGTACAGTGTCTGGGCGTTTGGTGCTGGGCTTGGAGGGATAGAGTCGGTTGCTAAGGTGAGAAACTGTACACCAGAAACCAATACAGTATTGTAAACTACTATTGCCTCATTAGGGGGGAAAAAAGGTCATGAAAAGTTAGTGGGATGGATATTCCAGAGCCAGTGTGACGTGATAGAAGGAACAGAGTGGAACCTGGGTCCTGAGAACAGCGCTCCCTGTGGCTCTGCCCGCTCATTTTCCAGCTGGGCGCCTGAGCACAGCAGGACGCAGGGTAGCAGCCTGCAGGCTGGGAGGGGTGAGGCTTCCTGCAGCCTGAGCCACCATGTTCAATTACAGGCTGGAATCAAATATTTCCATGAACATAATTTAACCTTTCTGTAGTTAATGAAGCCTTGAGAATGTCCACTAATTTTAAATACTGTTTTAGAGGAAGTTAGAACAGTTGAAATGAGTAACAATTCCTTAACCTAGTCGTATCCATATGCTTTATTTTTTTTAATTTAAATTTTATTTTTATATTCCCCATACAATTCTAACCCCCTTATTTTGACCCCAAGGCCTCCTTTCCCCGCCCCGCACCCCCCATAGAGTGTCTCTGGTTCATAGTTGTTTGTTGATTTTGATATTTTCTTTCTTATAGTTATTCTTTTTCCTGGTCCCTTATTTTTCTAGATTCCTGCTATGAGTGAGACCATCCGGTATTTTTCTTTTTCTTTCTGGCTTATTTCGCTGAGCATGATCCCTTCCAGCACCATCCATGTTACTGCAAATTGCATGTGTTTATCTTTTTTGAATGCTGAGTAATATTCCATGGTGTATATGTACCACATCTTCTTGATCCAGTCATCTATTTTTGGGCATTTTGGTTGTTTCCAATGCTTAGCTATTGTAAATAGTGCTGCTATAAACATAGGGGTGCAGGTGCTCTTTGGAATTGATGCTTCTGTGTCCTTTGGGTAAATACCTAGGAGTGGAATTGCTGGATCATATGGAAGCTCTATGTTTAGTAGGTCAAGAAATCTCCACACAGCTCTCCATAGTGGTTGGACCAGTTTGCACTCCCACCAACAGTGCAGGAGAGTTCCTTTTTCTCCACATCTCGCCAACATTTGTGGTTGCTAGTTTTTTTAATATGTGCCATTCTCACTGGTGTAAGATCGTATCCATATGCTTTAAAACAAGTTCCTGGAATGAGCTTCTTTCCATCTTATTTTTTATAAAAGTTCAAAAAACTCAGTAATTCAGTTTACTTAAGATTATTTGCTGATAAAATTTTATCTAATTTTTTTTAAAAAGTTTTTTTTTTTTTAATAGAGGCATGTTTTATTTATTTATTTATTTGTTTGTTTGTTTTGTTTATACATGCACTGGGTATAGTCAGAAGTGGAGGAGGGTGAGAGAATCCACCAGAGCCAGAGCGGGGAGCAGAGCAGGCAGAAGGACCGAAGTACACTGCTGAGGGGAGCAGCGGGCGGCAGGAGAGGTCTGCGCGCCATGTGGGACCCTCCTCTGGGGCCGGGGAGCAGCCGGGGATTGAATCGGTGCCGCAGAGGCCGCGGGCAGCTTCGTAACCCAGCGCTCAACCGCTGTGCCACTGGGGAGGCCCTATCTTATTTTTTTAAAGATTTACTTATTTATTTATACAAGCACTGTGTACAGTCAGAAGCGTGAGAGGGCGAGAGAATTCACCAGAGCCAGAGTGGGGAACAGAACAGGCAGACTAATGAAATACACTGCTGAGGGGAGCGGCAGGCACGGCAGGAGAGGTCTGTCGCGCCGTGTGGGACCCTCGCCAGTGGCTGGGGATTGAACCGGCGCTGCAGAGGCTGCATTCAACCGCTGCGCCACCAGGGGAGGCCTTGCTGATAAAATTTTAGATAAAATCTTTGTAATTTATAGCATATTAAATTTGGAGACAAAATAATTGAGTGGTATTTTTTGAAAATTCATTATCTACCTCATATTTTGACAGAGGTGCATCCTTGTAAACACATAAAAATGTTTCTGTAAGATCTATATGATATTTATCACTAGCAAAAAAATTATGGTGATCTGATATATTATATATTTACATTTTAAATTTAAACCTACCATTCTTTTATTGAGATTAAGCTTACCAGTGTCTCATAACCTTTGATTTTTACTGACTGAGAAACATTCTAATTTTGTTTCAGTATGTAAGTTATTTTGATCAGTTTTTCACATAAATTTGTCCTATTTTATTATATGATAAACTATTATGTCTATTTCCATGTAGTTTTGATTTTTTGCAAGTACACAAGTCTTTGAACAGTTTTTGCTTAATATTCCAATTTAAGCATCTAGCTTAATAAATGTTAACTGCTTTGAAGGACTAGCAGGCTCAGTTTCTGACTGTATACTACAAATTGTTGCTGGTCAGTAATATAGTCTAACTCCATCAGAATGTTGAAAGACTAGAATTTCTTTCTGCCTCATATGATTTTATGGCAGCTTATCTTTAATGTTTCTGTGTTTTTGCAGTATTTATAACAGATTAATCTGATAATTTGAAGTGAATGCACCTCAGTGTTTTGGTAATTTTATTAAAAGTACATTTGTTTTGAGACTGAGTTAGCTCTTTATTTGACTTAACTATTAGGAAAAAATACAGAAAACTGAGGGGTTAAAGACATAGCACTATCAAGCTATTGGCAGCCACTGTAGCACAAGTTTGATCCCTGGCCAGGGAGCTGACCCACATGGCAAAGCAGACCTCTCCTGTCTTACCCTCTGCTCCCCTCAGCAGTGTATTTCAGTCAATCTGCCTTTTCAGCTCCCCACTTTCTGGTGAATCCTCCCACCCTGCCCCCCTCACACCTCTGGCCTATACCCCCAGCTCTTGTATGCATAAATAAATAAAATAAATCTTTTTTAAAAATCATTAATTCTTAAAAAAATAAAGTGGTATTAACTTAGCTTTTTACCAGGTTATCTTTCTATGTGGCAAAAAATTTATCTTAAGATCTACTCAGGTGATTTCTTATCTATTGCCTTTCTTAGTTTGTGTCTATTTTTCATTTCTCCTTTAAATACCATAAGTACTGAATTACCCTTGTATTAAAGTACTGTATAATATTTGTATATTTTTGCCACATAATTATATACAAATTTAACATGTATATATAACATGCATTATTTTTGCATAGTTAAAGTTATGGTTATGTGATTTGCTTCTCTAAATGCTATTTTATCAAAAGTGCAATTTAGACTTAAATAGCTGAAGAAGTATTGTGCAATGCTTAATTTCTCCTCTCAGGTGTTGTCCCTATTAAATTTAGTCTTAGTTTTTAGCAACAACAAATGTTGGTGAGGGTGTGGAGAAAAAGGAACTCTTCTGCACTGTTGGTGGGAGTGCAAACTGGTCCAACCTCTGTGGAAAGCTGTGTGGAGATTTCTGGACCTACTAAACATAGAGCTTCCATATGACCCAGCAATTCCACTCCTAGGTATTTACCCAAAGGACACAGAAACATCAATTCCAAAGAACACCTGCACCCCTATGTTTATAGCAGCACTGTTTACAATAGCTAAGCTTTGGAAACAACCCAAATGCCCAAAAATAGATGACTGGATCAAGAAGATGTGGTACATATATACCATGGAATATTACTCAGCATTCAAAAAAGATAAACACATGCAATTTGCTGCAACATGGATGGCGCTGGAAGGGATCATGCTCAGCGAAATAAGCCAAAAAGAAAAAGAAAAATACCGGATGGTCTCACTCATAGCAGGAATCTAGAAAACTTAAATAATGGACCAGGAAAATGAAAAACTATAAGAAAGTGAAAATCAAAATCAACAAAAAACTATGAACCAGAGACACTTTTAGGGGGGCGGGGGCGGGAGGGGAGGGATTGGGGTCAGAATGGGGGGCGGCAATTGTATGGGGAATATAACAATAAAATTTATAAAAAAAAAAAAAAAATAAAAATAAATTTAGTCTTAGTTTTGAGCTTAGACTGTGTACCTAATTAAAACTGTCTTTGGTACACATTTTTCCATGTCTTGAGGTGAATATGTGTCAACTTTAGAAATGGAAACTGTTGTAATAGTTGTATTACAGTGTTTGTATTTCATCTTTATTTAGCTACAGCCCCTTCTATCCATATATGGGATGCTATGAATAAACAGACTTTATCTGTACTGAGATGCTACCATTCAAAGGGAGTGTGTTCAGTCAGCTTCAGTGCCACTGGCAAACTTTTGCTGTCTGTGGGACTAGATCCAGAACATACTATCACTATTTGGAGGTGGCAGGAAGGTAGGATTCTTTTTTCTTTGTGATTTTAAAAATAAGAATTATAGAGTAATGTGAATTCTGTATTCTCATTTGCCTTACTTTGGTGATTGAAACCATTGATCAGTATATCCCTACACAATACTTTAGCCAGGTGATGTATTATAGGTATGCTGTACCAAACCCACTGCTCTTGTAAATGCACAAAACATAAATTAATGAAAGTTAATAATATATGAATGATAAACTGCTATTTCCTTTCATTAAGAAACTATATCTTTGCTAACTATTACTTAATTGGTTACAGAGAATCTTAAGATTGAAATTAAGTATATTTTAAGTGATAATGGAACATCAGTAGTGTAATATTAATATGCTTTGCACAGAACTTTTCAGCTGCATCCCTATTATAAAGAGTAAAGATCATAGATCTACATTGAAAAAAAAAATGGTTTCTAAATCTAAAATAGTCCTTAAGTGATAATGAAACGCTCCATAAATACATATAACTTTGAAAATAAGTGAAAAAGCCGATCTACTCCACTAATTGTGGATGACATGACTGCTAGATAGCAGTGCCGTGGGACCCAACCCCTCTTCTTATAAGCACTTATTGTTTGAACTATGTATTTTGAATAACTCTTCCCCTAAAAATTAGTTTAGTTCTTATACCAACATAAATGATTTTTTTTTGTATCTTTATCAGGTGCCAAAATTGCCAGCAGGGCTGGGCACAACCAACGCATTTTTCTGGCAGAATTCCGACCAGATTCAGATTCCCAATTTGTCTCTGTGGGAGTAAAACATGTCAAGTTCTGGACACTGGCAGGAAGGGCTCTTCTTAGCAAAAAGGGACTACTGAGCACACTGGAAGATGCCAGGATGCAGACCATGCTTGCTGTTGCATTTGGTGCAGTATGTCTCTTAAAATGCATGTGGAATGTGACTTTGAATTATGTAAATTGGACACCTTTGAATTTTTTTGTTTAGAAAGATAATCCACAAGTGTTGTTTTGTAGCACTGTAATCCTGGGCATGCATAGATTTCATCTTTCTAAATCCAATACTTTCTGAAATCACAGTGTGAAAGAAAGTTAATGATGGAGAAGAATTAGAATGAAACGTTTGAATCCTTGTGCCATTGCCATCCTCAAAAGCCTTCATTAATTTTGTAATTGTCACCCTAAACCTCCTAAAATTTTTGTTTTCTTGGTAGTCCCACATAACCCTAAAAATCTGGCAGAATACAAGAAAGATAAATCAAGAAATGTCACTTCCAAGTGTTTAAGGTGGTATCTAGGTTTGAGATTTCTTTTGCTTCCCGTCATGTTGACAAAGTGCTTATCATAAAGTTGGAAGCTCTTGGCCAATCTCTGTCATTCAGGGAAGGGAGGAGCGCGCAGCTCCTGGCCTCCGTGGGAGAGAGCTCCGGCTCCTCGCTCCTTCCCCACACATTGCTCCTTCCCTCTCGTTGTGCCTGTGGGTCTCAGTCTGTCTCTCTTGCCATCTCTGCCCTGACCAGGGTTTTGAAGTACCTTGGTGCATCAAAACCCTGAGTAGATTTCCTTACTGAAGTGATTCTGTGGGCCTGTAATACTTAAAAGGAAATTATAATTTTAGAACCTTTAAGTACACTTATGTTTTTTGAGAAAAAGGCCATTGAAAATAGGTCATGCCATTTCACACTTCAGATAAACATTTTGAGGATTCTTCATATAAGACGAGTAATTCCTTTCAAGAAGAAAAACCTTTACATTCAAATGCTTCTTGCATTTAGTATGGGTAGATTAATTTTCTTCACATATAATATTTTCTGTGCTGTCAGTTGGCCATTCCCATAAAAAAATAAAGTTGGAGACTAAAATATTAGTCATAACTGACTGATGTTTGAGGTAGCAGTGCAATCAGTGAGAATGTTTCGTTACATAATGAGGTAGGTTGTGTTCAGTCACAGCCTTTTTAAACATTCTCTATCCTAGGCCTATGAAAAGAAAGGGAGAAGTAAAATAGTTTCTGCACCTCAAACATTCACATTCTAATTGCAGATAAGGCTTGAATGAATGATACGTCTATATAAGCAATATAATTGTTTATCCAAATGAGAGAGAGAATATGCAGAAACGCGGAGCAATTCAAGTTAACAGTAAATTGTTGAGGAAAAATTAAACTTGCAAACAAAACTAGTATTCCCAGATTAAAGAAAATCTCAATCTGCTTTTGATATAATTCAGTCTTATTTTCCTGCTGCTTCTCTCCATACTGTTTTCTGTAAAAGATGTTATGATTTGCTCCAAAAGTCAAGCTAAAAAGTCGGATGAAAATTAGCACATAATGCAGGATTTGTTTTCTCCAATTTCCATATAAATGAACTATCTCAAGATTACAGTTCTCAAAGTGAGCTAAACTTTTGGTACCTTACCAAATTTATCTTATTTTAAATTGATTGCTGCAATTTATTAACCTTTGCTATTTTTAAGAAATCATGGAAAGTGTTAATTATATAAAGTTATATATAAATTATATATAACTATTTAGTGAAATCTCAAAAACTAACTGTGCTACATTTTCACTGACTTTGACAAAATACTTTCCCAAATCTAGTAAGAAGTTCTTTATTTTCAGTTCTCACTCCTATTCTTTTTTCACTGTTACTAATGACTGTGGTTTCTTGAGTGGCTGGAGTGAAGCAATCCGAGGGAATGATACAAATTAGAATTATATTTTATTATGGACTGGGAAGGGATTTTAGAGACAGAATCCCTTGTTTTACACATGAGAAAGCTGCTTGCTACTCATAGACGTTTCCAGTCTTTCCCAAGGTTAGTCCCACCAGTAAACGAGAGACTGGAAAAGAGCTCTGGCAGAGCTCAGCCGCAGGTTCAGCTTTGCTGACTCAAGTCCACGGTTTCTCAGCACCCGTGCTTGTGCATCACAGGGGAGGCAGAGCCACACGCGCATAGAGAATTGCATCTGTTCAAACCCTATTTGAACTTTTGATGAGTTTATCTCCCCCTCCCCACTCCTTTTCAGAATAACTTGACGTTTACAGGTTCCATCAGTGGAGATGTGTGTGTGTGGAAAGGGCACGTACTGTGTAGGATAGTGGCCAGAGCTCACAACGGGCCAGTGTTTGCCATGTACACCACCCTGCGAGACGGACTTATTGTGACTGGTGGCAAGGAAAGGCCGTGAGTCCACCCACTTTCAGTCTTGATTTATGTGTTGTGCTCTACCTGAGGTTTGCACTGAGTTATTCTGGTTCTTTCTAGGCTACATGGTTTATCCTGACTTTCCTCTTCCTAAGTTTCTCTTCAACTGCCTTCTGTGTTCTTTCTGTTGATCTTATTTCTGGTCTTAAATCACTTCCAATTTTTTTGCATTGTAATTAAACCTAATCTCCAACTAGGGTGATAATTTTCTGAGGTATTGATGAGTAACTGTCTCGAGAGTTAAGAATTGATTTTCTTAATGCCCATGTAAATAACAGTCTCCCATGAACCCAGGAGGCTTTCTTTTGTTCCAGTAGGGCACAGAGGGGTCTGATGCACACTGTTGCACTAGAAAAGGATGAAGATGCTAGAGAACAACTCTGCTTGTTTGCATTTGTTTGTGGCAAACTTGCTAGATAAAATTATTTGATATATAAGACCTTTGTGGAAAGACCGTTTTCTGATTTTTCAAGTCTCCCAACAGTAACTGGATATTTATAACTGACTTCCCACAAACATTCATATGCAAGTTCAAATATATAGGTGATCAAGAATTACATTTCAGGGCCTCCCCTGGTGGCGCAGGTGGTTGAGCACTGCACCGTGAAGCTGTCAGCAGCCTCTGCAGCGAAGGTTCGATCCCAGCCAGCCGGCAAGGGTCCCACATGGCGAAGCAGACCTCTCCTGTCTCGCCCGCTGCTCCCCTCAGCAGTGTATTTCTTCAGTCTGCCTGTTCTGTTCCCTGCTCTGTCTCTGGCGAATCCTCTCACCCTCCCGTGCATCTGGCCTGTACCCCGGTTCTTGTATAAATAAATAAATAAATCTTTAAAAAAAATTACATTTCAGCACAGGAGAGAACAGGCATATATTCAGTATAAACGCAGCAGCTTTTGCCTTTTCTACAAAGAATGAATAATGGCACATGGACATGTTTTTCCCTAAGATGAGCAGTTAAATATAGAAGAAATTAATGAATACATGATTCTGTATTCCAAGAGAAAAGAAAAAAACACTATTAAGTTTGACACTCATCAAACTGGCCTCGTCTTGCACACCCCTGTTCTTCAGTAGCCTACTAACAAGTTTAAGCCGTTTATTTTGACAACGGCAGGAAAGAATTATGCTTCTCTTTTGGTCTTTTAAAATACATTTGCTAGCACAGCGTCTGTGACCCTGTCGTCTAGCCTTACAATCCCCTACCCTTCTAATGCGAAAGGTAACCGTGTGGCCTCTTCCTGCCCACTGTCTGGAGGTCTTCTCCTTCCCTTTTAATAAGCCTGTCCTTTTAAAATATTTTTAAAAATTGTTTAACACACTTCCCTAGTCAAGAAGTTTTAAAAGTGAGGGTTAATATAGGGACAGGGAGAAGGGGTAAAGGCTAAATAAAATTGTATTTCTGGCCTAAAAATGAGTATTCATCCAAGAAAATGCACTTAAACTGAGTGTTTGAGATATAGAATATCTGAAAATTACTATAGAAATTTAGACTATAAATTGTAACTATCAGGCCTTTTAGTATCACTTTATCATTTAGTATTTATGTATAACAATCTGTAATACCCCATGATAAATGCTTAATTTAGTTCGGATTATTATTTGTATAGGTCAAAAGAAGGAGGAGCAGTCAAACTGTGGGATCAGGAACTGAGGCGATGCCGCGCCTTCAAGCTTGAGACGGGACAAGTCACTGACTGTGTCCGTTCTGTGTGCAGAGGCAAAGTAAGATGTTTCTCGAGCCATTGTGGGTGCAGCAGAAGACCGAGCACTTGTTGCTCTTTGCAGCTTGATGAAAAGTACTTAGCTGGGTTTGTTCCTGCGGGCTTCCTCACACGCACACTGCTGGCTCACGGGCAGTGTGCCTGGGCAGTGCCTCAGACCGGAAACTCTTCTCCTGTCTCAACACTGCATTTAGACCTCCAGGTTTCCTTGAATCTGCTAACTTGACTATGGACATAATTGAATTTCCTTGTCAGTTGATTCGATTTGATTATAGCACAGCTGTTTTTTGATGCATGTGTTGTATTTATAAACCAGACACACAGGTAGTGTCCTCATTTAATGTTAAATTTATCAGTTAAGCTTTTATTTACCTTCATTTTAACTAAAATGCAACACTTTGTTCTTATATCCCGATGCACTTACATTTCTTTAGAGATCTTCAGGTTGAAATAATCAAGTTTTGACTAGTGGAGAAGCCAAAGCCAAATGCGTTACCTGAGAGACAGCCTGTTCTTTAGCATGGACTTCGACATACAACCCAGCCCAGTGTTCCTGCAGATGTGCTTCCAGTCATAAAAAATGTTTGCATGCTGCTAGATTAATTCAGAGCAAAAAGTTCACAGAAACTTGGTCAGTAGTCATTCTTCTGTTAAAGAGCAACAGAGGTATGCATTAAATCTGTTGTTTCCACTTGTGTTTCAGGGCAAGATATTAGTTGGGACAAGGAATGCTGAAATAATTGAAGTTGGAGAGAAAAATGCAGCATGTAATATTCTAGTTAATGGGCATGTGGATGGACCCATATGGGGACTAGCGACACATCCTTCAAGGGATTTTTTCCTTTCTGCTGCAGAAGACGGAACAGTGAGACTCTGGGATATTGCTGATAAAGTAGGTCCAAACAGTAATTTAAAAGATGTTATTACAATTTCTAAGAAAGCTTGAGTCCTAAATTGCTAGCACTTTATCTCAGAAGTGAGAATTTTCAGGAGAAATGAATTTACTTTCTAAGTACTCTATTTAATGTAGTCAAAGTTCTCTATGAATTTTTTGCAGAAGATGTTAAACAAAGTGAATCTGGGACATGCTGCTCGTACTGTGTGTTACAGCCCTGAAGGGGACTTGGTGGCTATTGGAATGAAAAATGGAGAATTTATCATTTTACTGGTGAGCTCTCTAAAAATATGGGGAAAGAAGAGAGATAGACGATGTGCAATCCATGATATAAGGTTAGTGAACAAATGGACTAGAATTTCTACTATGCATTTAAATGCCCCAGCTTGCATTTTGAAAAGCCTGCCTTCCCTGCACCTTCAAAAACAGTTCCTTAGTGCCTGTAGGACCTTGTCACATCATAGATGGTGTGCTGAAATGACAGTATACTGCTCCTTGCTAACCCTGTGTTTAATAAAAGCAAATACTCAGGGAATGCTGGACAAATAATTATCACTTTAGACATGCCCAGTAAGTTCATCTTGCCAAGAATCATCTCCCACTGCACATGAGAGCCATCTGCCCTTCAGAAGTCACCAGCCTGGAGAACTAAAGTTGTAACCCCAGACATCATTTATTTCTCTGATCGTATAGTTCATTCACTTAATTTTCATTTAACATTATGTGTCTGAATCTAAATTAATTTAAATCTTTCTTGAATCTTTGGTTTTCAGTCTTTAAGGTTATTTTAACAGTGATTTCCAATTACCGAGCCCTTCTGTGTAATCATAAATTGTTGAAGCCAGGCCTCTCAGAATCTTGCACTCTTTTTACCAGCAAAACCCTTATTCAAATAAAACTTTCCTCAGAACTTTGATATATAAAATAGTGATGGTGGATTCCCTAAGCAACCCCCTTCCCACATGTCCCTATGGTATCTGTCTTAAAAAATAACTTCTTCCAAGCTACCTGAGTTCAGCTGGTCTATGTTCTTTGCTATTAAGAGACCATCAGGCAGATGAAAGAATCCTGTTATGTAATTACGTAATTGTTAGTGGCTGTTTGAAAATTGAGATATTTTTCAATTAGGAGATAAAAATTCAAGAACCATTTAAAATTGAAATAAAGGGCCTCCCTGGTGGCGCACGGGGTTAAGCCCCAGACTGTGACACTATCTGCAGCCTCTGTAGCACAAGTTCAATCTCTGGCCAGCCAGGAGGCTACCCACACAGCACAGCAGACCTCTCCTGTCTCGCCCGCTGCTCCCCTCAGCAGTGCATTTTAGTCAGTCTGCCTGTTCTGTTCCCCACTCTGTCTCTGGTGAATCCTCTCACCCTCTGCACCTCTGGCCTGTACCCCAGCTCTTGTATGCATAAATAAATCTTTGAAAATAAAAAAAATGAAATTGAAGTAAATAAAATGTAAAGGTTTGTTTTATGTAACAAAGACAAACGTGTGCATACATCAGTGTACCAGGTAAATCTAACAGAGGCCTAATCACACATATTTTTTAGGAGTCTGAGGCTCTATCACACATTTACTTTCTAGGGCTTGAAAAAAGTGTTGCTGGTCTTAAATATTTATACAATTTCATGTGGCATAACCCATCTTTCACATTTTGTTACATATCCAGATTTAGTCCAGATTCCCGGTTTCTGGCAGTGGGTTCTAGTGAGAACTCAGTGGATTTTTATGACCTAACGCTGGGTCCAGCCCTTAACAGAATCAGCTACTGCAAAGACATTCCAAGTTTTGTCATTCAGATGGACTTTTCAGCAGATAGCAGATACCTCCAGGTATGTATAGTGCCATCATTTACAGTAGTTCTGCTTTTAGTTTTTGTTAGCAAATGCATTTAAAATTCCTGAATTTGCTTTTAACTGCTTCTGAACTAATTCTTTAATATTCTATATTTATTAGTCTTTTCCATTTTTTCTAACAAATTTTCACAGTCATCTTTTATTAGAAATATTAATCAAGTAGCACTTTGGATCTTGCCTCACATAATGGAATTCTTGTCCCATTTTAATACAATGAAAGGTCTCCACTGGTTGCTATAAACGGCATGTCTATGAAGTGCCTTCTGGAAAACATCTTCTGGATCAGGCTGCCATTGACAGAATTACTTGGGCTACATGGACTAGGTAAACATTTCCTGTATTCAGATGGGAAGAACTGCCTGGAAGGCAGGCCACTTGCAAAACTCTATTTCTCAACAGTAGGGAGTAACTGAGATGGAGTTTTAAGGTTTTGTTACTGTATCTTATTCCAAAGGCAGCTTATGCTCACTGAAACTTCTCTGACTGAACATACTCCCATGCTTATCAGGTTTGTTTACAGAAAGAAAATCAAAGTTATCACCTTAAAGATGGTGTTTCCTTAACATGGGTTTAATAACAAGCAAGATAGTATTTTGGGTTACTGTTAGGCAATTGTATTCCCTATCTAAATGAATGCTATCTTGTAGCTGTTAGAAACGAAACCTTATAAATTTGTTTAGATTGTATATGTTACCATTAAGTATCCATCTTTTCAGTCAATTAAAATTGAAAAATGCCATCAGGGCTTCCCCGGTGGTGCAGCGGTTGAGCGCTGGGTTGCGAAGCTGCCCGCAGCCTCTGCAGCGCCGGTTCGATTCCCGGCTGCTCCCCGGCCACCAAAGGAGGGTCCCACATGGCGTGCAGACCTCTCCTGCCGCCCGCTGCTCCCCTCAGCAGTGTACTTCGGTCCTTCTGCCTGCTCTGCTCCCCGCTCTGGCTCTGGTGAATTCTCTCACCCTCCCGCGCTTCTGACTGTACCCAGTGCTTGTATAAATAAATAAATGCAAAAAAAAAAAATGCCATCAAATTCGCCACATTTCATTTTAAAAATAATCCGTTCTCAGTAATTGAATTTTTAAGGAATCTCTAAATCTTTAAAATTATAAAACTTCAGGGCTTCCCTGGTGGCGCAGGGGGTTAAGCACTGCACTGTGAAGCTGCCTGCAGTCCCTGCAACCTGAGTTCAATCCCTGGCCAGGGAGGTAACCCACTTGGCGCATCAGTCCTCCTGACTCGCCCACTGCTCTCCTCAGCAGTGTATTTCAGTTGATCTGCCTGTTCTGCTCCCCACTCTGTCTCTGGTGAATCCTCTCACCCCCTGTACCTTTGGCCTATACCCCATTTCTTGTATGCATAAATGAATCAATCTTTAAAAAAATTGTAAGACTTCATTAATGGGAGAGTTAAATTCCCTGACAAAATTCAGGCCACCGAGTAACTTCCCTTTTAACTTCCTGTATTTCAAGTGACAAGAAATTCCTTTCAGTATAGTAAACCTGTGTTTGCTATTAATTTTGTTTTATTCCTTCTAGTATTCTGGGAGATGAAGTGATGGGAATCTGGTCCAGACACACTGAGAAAGCCGATGTCAACTGTGCCTGTGTATCTCATTCAGGAATAAGCCTTGTAACAGGAGATGACTTTGGCATGGTTAAATTATTTGACTTCCCATGTCCTGAAAAATTTGTAAGTTTGTAATTTAGCATTTTATTCTGATCAAGAGAAAATTCATTTTTAATATATACTGAGCATCTATATTTTCATCTATTTTCCTCTAAATGAAACTAGCACTTCCGTAAAATAAAATAATATTCTCATGTAGGAGAAAAAAGTAGTGACATCATTTTTTAAAAGTGAGTCACCAATCACAGGGCTATTTGGATTATGGACTGAAATAATGCCCTCGAGGCCCACAGGTCAATCATTCTTGTCATATATGGCCATACTTCATTTTTTTTATTATGCATGCATGCGTCACAATTTCTTTACCAACTCATCCATCCATGATTATGGACACAGGTTATTTCTGTATTTTAACTAATGTATAAATAATGCTATAATGCACAAGGGGGAGCATTGCATTTAGTGTTTTTGTTTTAATACCCAGAGGTGGAACTGTTAAGAGTATATGGTACTTAAGAACCAGCACACTGTTTTCTGTAGTGGTTGTACCATTATATATCTGATCCAAATTTTATTTCCAATTTAGATGTCTGATCATAGTACTTTTTCCCCACATAATAGCTAAAATGTTACTGTCTCTTGACATCAGTGAGTCCCCTAAAAATTTTCCCGAATTCATTACTCAGAAAAATCTATTACAAATAGACCTTCCCTTGCCCCCAAGTAACACTGTTATCTTTTAAACCATTTTAACCTGAATTAGAGCCTTTTACCAAATCTTTAGTCACTTACCAAGTTTGAAGAGTTTTTTCCTCAGCAGAAAATCTTCAGATCACCAATGTCTGACTACCCAAATAACACAATGTTAGGTGCAGATCCATTACTGATTCTCAAAAAGCATTTAATTATTGGCTGTGGTCTTAACCGCCTGCTCTCCTCCCCAAACCTTGTGATGGACTCTCATCCCTGATTGGAACCTTTGACTTTTACGTGCCTTACATATCTTTTTCTTTATCTTAGGCAAAGCACAAAAGGTTCTTGGGTCATTCACCCCATGTGACAAATATTCGATTTACCAGTGGTGATCGACATGTTGTTAGCGCTGGAGGTGATGACTGCAGGTTGGTGACTTTCCTAGGCCAAGAACTAGTAAGAAATTTCATTACTACTTACTTCTATAGCTTCAGTTTAGGACACAGCTAGTCAATATAACGAAGTAGCATAATCATCAGATGACTCCAAGGAGTCTGAAAACTGTTGAAAAACCTTTGCAAATGTAGATACACAATGAATTCACTAACTGCTTCTCTGATTGCAGTTTGTTTGTCTGGAAATGTGTACACACGCCTCACTAAAAGATTCGGCTGCTGAGAAGACTACACAAATTAACAGCCTTTGACAGATCAGAATTACAGAAGAGGGGGAAAAAAAAACAGAATCAAACCTTGCATGGTGAAGTGGTGCTAACCTAAGATTAACAGGGATAAATGCCCAGAATCATCAAAATATGTGTTCAAAATATTTGCTATATGCATTGGAGTAACTGTGCATAATCCATACACTGCCACATAATTATATTCCAAGGAAGGATTGGGTGAATACTTGATGGTGAAAGCCATCCCCCCATTTCTGGGGAATGTGCAAATTTGGGCAGGCTTGATGGGGAGGTTTAAGGGACAACACTCCTCAAGAAACCAAAACCTTAAAAACCCAACTTAGATAATTATCTTTTTAGCAAAACTTTTTTTTTTTGCAATTGATGTTTTATTTTCACAGTTCATGCTTAATGAAGTATCTTATCCTTGTGTTTACATAGGGAAAGGAAAACACATCATCACTCTACCCTAAAGGATCAGTGTTCTAAAAGCATCTTCCCTAAGACACACACACTGGAAAATATGCTTAAGCATTAATAAAGCCCTTTCTATAAAGGACATTTTTTTTGTCCTGGCAGTTTTAAATTCAGAAACAAATCCAATGTTAGCAGTATGTGATTGCTACATTTTCGTTTTTGAACTTAGTCTTTTTATGTTCAGATGTTGTCACATCTATAATTAAAGCATTAAAACATTATAATTATAGCCCCTTTAATGGAAAAGTATGATGAACAATTTTCAGTGCTGTACAGTTTTTTAAGATTTTAGATAGCAATAGTATTAAGATGTAATCTACTAGGAACATTTGTTCAACATGTAAACTAAAGAATTAAGTTCACAAAGTTATACAATTTAGTAACTCTTGAAATTTTTATAGCTTTTTTCTATTGGAAAATTTTTAGTTAAATATATATGCCACCCATACACTGGCTAACTTCCAAAGTGAATGAATACAGGTTGTCCACGTGTAAAATTTGTCTATTAAAATTCCTTTTTGGTGGATTGGGGCTTAAACTCTTAGATCTTTATTTCTATTCACTTTCAATGCTGCCAAAGATCAGTACTTACCATTCAGGAATTTACTGTTTAGCCTACTTTTATGTAAACTGCTATTTTAAAATATATTTTTCTAAATGTGAAAAAGCTTAAGATGCTCCATTGGTCCTGTCAATGTTTAACGTGTTAATGGTCTATGTACCGTAATATTCCCCTCCCCCCTTCATGTTTCTGGAAATGTTTGGTTTAATAAGACATAGGAAGACTCCTAATACCAATATTCTATGTCCCGTACCTTGTAAATATTAAAAACAGAACTGGCTGAATTATATCTCAGAAAGCCTAGCCAGCGATTGAACCTGATCAGTTTTAAAGCTCTGATTAGTTGGTGTCTGAAGGATTAAGGCATTAAGAAACTTGAAATGTAAAAGATGTTACTTTTTCATTCACATTAATGAATTATCTAAAATGAAGCCAAAGTTGAGATCACACTACTTCTATTCATGTATATAGGTTCAGTCAGTACATTAGGGGGGGAAAAAAAATCCCCTGAAGTACTTTTCCCTGTCCCCTCCATTTTTGAGCTGGTTACAGTTACAGATTCCTTCCTGGGTCAAGTCTGCCAGCTCTTGGTTAACGAAAAATTCCGTTTCCATTGTAGCTCAAGTAGACAGTCTAGCTTTGAGTAAACGAGGGTGTAGCTGCTCCCGTTGCATTTGTTCTCCCAGTTGGCCAACTTGTAAGCCAGCCTTAATCACCACTGTCAACTCCACAACTAAAGCTCATGTTGCTTTTAAGTGGTCAGCCCACAACTATATTGCTTATACCAACCATTTACTGCGGGAAGGTGAGTACATGTGATAGGCCATACAGAATCTTTTTTTTTTTTAACCCACAGAATTATTTGTGTGGTGTTCAACTAAGCTCCAAACTCTGTTACCTGAGACCTCCTGGCACTTAGTCTGTCTCAGTACACAAATGCATGCCAAAGCACAGTGTGCACTCTGGTGCCACTCACTGTGGACAGCCAGCACTTAGGTTCCCTTTTGTGACCCTGTTGATGGTGGTAGAGTTTACATCATCGACCTTAGCTTGCCCATGCCTCAGCAACTGAAAAATAAGACTAAACTTATCAATGTGTTTTAGGCAGTGTCTATTAAATAGCAAAAGAAAAAGACTTTAGCATGTTATTTCCTTGTAAAATGGGCAAACTAAACTTAACCCCTTGTTTTCCACCTTTTCACAGAATTATGAGATATATATCATTTATAAATGAGAATATATTACTACTTATAAATGATACTGTTTAAAAATCTGGAATACAATTTTCTCCCACAAGAGATGTAAAAACATCTCACATACCATCGGAATGAACACATGCCTTAAATTCAATGTTGTACACTTTTAGAATGAAGTGGAATTGTCATTTCACCCAGGCCTACACCCATGAGTTTTATGTTCTTCACTGTACTTTTTCTAATGTTTCAAGTCTTACCTGGTTAATTCTTCTCCCAATGGAAAAACAATGTCCACAAAACACTGGCCTGTTGGTTTCACGTTCTTAAACCTGGGCTTTTACAAAACATTTTATTTCCCTTGGGTATGACTAACCAAGACAATGAACTTGCTTTGAAGTTTAATTTGGTCCTCAATGTCTTAAGTCTTTATTTTCCCTATTGCATTAATTCGCTCTATTCTAACAAACTTTTAGCTTTTTTAAAAAAAAAATCTATAATCAAGTCTTTATGATTAGTGATGTTACTTAATTCTAAAGCATTTGACACTTCTTGCCTTAATTGTAAAAACCACAGAGAACTCAATAGTCCAAAAGCTTAGTCCTAATTTGCAGTTTACCCATCTGATCTCTGTAATTATATAGTCTGCTATTTAAAACATACTAATTTTTACATTAAAAAATTATGTTCAGTAATAACTATATTTTCTGTGGAATTATTTCTGCAAATGTTATTTTTCACATGAAAATACAAAGCTATGATGGATCTTGTGAATTTAACGTTTTCTGATACCTTATGTATATAACTGTAAACAATTTTGTATAATTTTGTGATAATGTATTTTCCCCAAAATATTTAAAAGGCATATAGTACTAAATGAGAGTATTTTACGGAATTGTTTTTACTTTTTGCACTTGCCGTTCAAACTGTTCTCACCCTGTATGCCCACCACCCCCTCATACTCAGAAAACAAGACTAGTTATTTGGGAGCTATTTACTGAAGTGGCACTCAACCCTAGAAACCTGTATTATGCTTTTCAAAGTAAATTTGCTTAAAATTAAAAAGAATACTGAATGACTATTACAAGCCTCAGCACTTTGGGCCACTTTTGTTTTCATGGTAGTTTATGTACATTATGTAATCTTTGGGAAACGTGAAACCCATCATCTGGACTAAAGATGCCCTCTGACTACCTCTTTCCTCCACAAAGAAGGCAACACTGCAGCCCCAAACTAGGTTACAAGTATTGAGAATATCATGTTGTAAATGTTGGTACTTGAAACATCAGTGTAACAAACACACCTCAAATGTTTTTAATAGAATTTAGCTTTTCCTTAAACTGTCTTTTCAATTAACAAACACCCAATGTTAAAACCACTTAATAAACTTACAAACTTGAAAAATTAGACACTTCACATAGGCAATAAACTTCATAATATGAAAGCAATATATTCCAAGTTTCAAAGATTTGACAAGTTCTGTATATTATCTTTCATCCGCAGATGGAAACTTTCAAACTCCATGATCTTCTGCCAGGTAGGACTGAGTGTCATTCACTGAACAAAACCAAAAATTTTAATTAACTGTTTGCACACATGTATGTACACCATATACCTTCAGCTAAGCAGCTACTTCCACACAATGAATATTCAGTTCTATAAGTTTCAATATAAATAACATTTTTTAAAATTCAAGTATCTAAGGTACATGTAATAGGTAACAGGTAATTATAGGCCACACTAAAATATTTTGAAACTTCCTTTCAGTATTTTGTAAGCAGTGGTATCTATGAAGATCAATGTGAGATTTGTAAGCTGTATAACTACTTGAAGGCCTTATATATTCAAAAGCCCCTTGTATCATTAACTACCAAGAAAAAAGGGGTAATTTTCCCCCAAAACCATGTGATTATAAATTTAAGAAACTACATATTAAAAAAATTTGAGGGCCTCCCTGGTGGTGCAAAGGGTTAAGATGCAACTTGTGAGGCTGTCCGCAGCCTCTGCAGCACGGATTCGATCTCCGGCCAGCCAGGGAGCAACCCACATGATGCAGCAGACCTCTCCTGACTTTCCCCCTGCTCCCCTCTCAGTGGTGTACTTCGGTCAATCTGCCTGTTGTGTTCCTGGCTCTGTCTCAGGTGAATCCTCTCACCCTCCACACCTCCGGCCTGTACCCCAGCTCTTGTTGCATAAATAATTTTTTTTTTAAAAAAAGAAAAATTTGAAATGACATTAGAAAGTTTTAACATTTACCTGGTTTGAGGTCGGATCCACTTCAAGGCATGGCGTGGAGGTACAGTAATGGTGGGATGATAAAACGTGCAGTCAGGTCTTGTACACTGAGTGTTAAATCTACAATGCTAAATACAGAGAACAATATTTCAACATCTGCAAAACGCATACAAATAAATACAGGGAATCTGACATGACAGTAACCAGCCCACCCTAATATTAACAGGGCACGAGAACTTGTAACATTTACTACTAAGGCCTTGAAAAATTAATACCCTCCAGTCACAAAATCCTAGTGAAAGAACAGCAGCAGGTAAAATCACAAAAGGAGCCTTAACATAATACAAACTTCTACAGTCAATGTAACTGTCCCAGCAACATCCATACATTCCTTGCTGAGCACCTTCACCTATGTCCAACTGCAGCTGAGGCAAGCGAAGCCTTCCGTGTGGCATTCAGGTTATTTTGGAGAGATCATTGTGAGCAACTACACAGCTGGAGATATACCAACATATCTTTAGAATACATACCAATAAATAAAGCACACAAGTACAAGTGTGAATGGTATTAACCATCATTACTCTCAGGGCCTCCCCGGTGGCGCAGCGGTTGAGCGCTGGGTTGCGAAGCTGCACGCGGCCTCTGCGGCGCCGGTTCGATCCCCGGCTGCTCCCCGGCCACCGGAGGAGGGTCCCACATGGCGTGCAGACCTCTCCTGCCGCCCGCTGCTCCCCTCAGCAATGTGCCTCGGTCCTTCTGCCTGCTCTGCTCCCCGCTCTGGCTCTGGTGAATTCTCTCACCCTCCCGCGCTTCTGACTGTACCCAGTGCATGTATGAACAGAACAAAACAAACAAACCAGCAAACAAATAAATAAAGCATGCCTCTATTAAAAAAAAAAAAATAAAAAAAAAAACCATCATTACTCTCTCACCTCAGTTTTGGCATGAGGTGGGCAAAAAAAAAACAAAACAAAACAGGCCAACATGCTTGCTTAGGGGCAGTAAAGAAAAAGCAAACTGCCGGGCCATAACTGTCACTCTCCCACCTGCTTACTAACAACTAAATAGCTTCAGATCACTTGGCCTACTAAGTCAAACATTTAATTTGCTAGTGATCTTCAGGTCTCAGAACTAAGAAGTCACCACTAGGGCCGCCCTGGTGCCACAGGGATTAAGTCTCAGCACTATCAAGCCATCTACAGCCACTGCAGCACGAGCTGGATCCCCGAGCAGGGAGCTGACCCACATGATGCAGCAGACTTTTCCTGTCTTTCCAGTTGCTGCCCTCAGCAGTGTATTTCAGTAGATCTGTCTGCTCTGCTCTCCGCCATCTCTGGTGAAGCCTGACACACACACACACACACACACACACCCCCCACCTACCCCGCACCTGCACCTCTGGTCTACACCCTAGTCCTTGTATGCACAAATAAATAAATCTTTAAAAAAAAATGAAGTCACCACTCTAGTCATTCTTGGGAAAATAAAAGTCTTACTTTTGGATGATAGAAGGGACATTCCATTTTCTTACAAGCAGGGAAGTAACGGCAGAGCTGATTATTAGAAGGTGGTGCTGGTGTTGTAACTGCTGACAATGTAAGAACAAAGACTGATCAAATTTGGCAAAAAAATTTTTAATGCACTATACTGATGTTTTTATGAGACCCAATTTTACCTGAAAATACAGTAAAAAGCAATACAGTAAAAAGCAATAGTCAGATAATTGAGAGTGCTGTAGAATACACTGTTGCTTTTTAGACCAGTCAGATTGTGCCAGAATGATTTCTAAACCGATTCCTTTTTTTTTCTTTTTAATTCAGTTTATTATAGTCCCAAAATGCAGTAGTACACAAAATCACTAACCTGGTTTTGGAGGCAGTACTGGAATTCTTCTACTCATATGAGTGAAGGGACAATCCGCTTTAGTACACTTTGCATCATATTTACAATTTGGATGAACAAACAAACATTTTTCAGCAAATTTACAATTGGGGAAAGCTCTATAAAACAAAGAAGCACATTATTCACATTTAATTTTCTCTATGCATTACTAGTTTTGAGAAACACAGAAGTAACAGAAAAAAAAGGAATACTCATTTTTAATGAGGTCAGGTCTGAAAAGAACTATACATTCCAAAACCTGAACTAGTATTTTCAAGTCAAGCCACCACAAAGGACAGAAGGGCTGTCGGTGACACAGAATCACACCACTTACTCTATAATTAATGTCTATGTAGCCCTTTATGAAATAAATCAAACAGCACAAGGCATGTGCAAGGCACTGTGCTACCAAAACTCATCTTCTGGCCTTCCTGTGTGACAGTAACCATCCCACCCTTAAGGACACATCAAAACGTCCTTGAGTTAGAACATGGAGAAGAGATCCAACCTACAGAACCAAAAATTTTTTTAGTTGCAAAAACCTAAAGCCATCTCTCCAAGCTCACTGCACTGAATCAGCCCTAGTCCAAAAACATTTTATTACCTCTAATTTCTCCCCCAGTGGCTTAAATCTGTGTGTGTATGTGTGTGTGTAAATAATGCATACAAACTTCTGCAGTAATCGCAACCCCCTCAACATACAGGCCCCCAGGGAAACCCTGCTGTGTCAGTCTTCACGGGCTGTGACACAGAGAAGCCTCTCCTCCATCTCCCCACCCACAACGCGCACGGGCACCCAGGTCTGCTGCCACGTGTCACCGCATTCAGGGATAAAGCCACAAGTGTGTCCATGAAAAGAAAAAATAAGCAACAAGATTCAGAAATCAACCTGGAAACCAACATCAGCTCACGCTACTTACTTGCACGGTGACACGGGGTGGTGGTACGCGCACTCGTCCCCATTCTTACAGGCGGGCCAGTACTTGCAGCGCTCCAGCAGTTTTTCCGGTTTCTGTGCCATACTCAGGTCACTCATCTCAGCTACAAAGGGAAAAAGCAAAGTATGTAATTGTGATCAAGTCAACCAATACATGGCACTTTTTATGAATTTTCCTAGAAATCCTAAGTTTTTCTATGATCATACAGAATAAATGAGCCCAAATAATCTGAATGAATAGATATAATACTATAAAAAATGGACAGAAAAGTAGACTAATCACTCACATTATGAAAAGTAAACTGAGTGGGGGAAAAAAAAAGTGATGATGCAACCAGAGCCAAAATTCTCACCAAGAAATTCTAATTCTCTGTAATTTCAGAACTAAAATACACAGGAAAGGATGTCCATCAGGGAGCCAAAAAAAGGAAATGGAAATAGAACACACAGAAGGTGACGAAGAACGTGAACTCTCCCCACTTGCAGGCAGGATTGCGAATGGCCCACACACAGAAATGCCCTGCTCCCGAGGGAGGTTTTCTAAATCCCAGTGATAAGCTCACATCAGTGTCTACAAAGGAACCACCTGGGTCCCAACTGCCATCACCTCCCAGGGAGCTTAGCAGATCACTTAGCAGTGTGGAGGAAACAAAGGTGGGGAAGAGCAGACGGCAGATGAGCAGCCAGGGCAGGTGGTGCCGTGCACACGCCTGCTGCCCCTCCATGCACCCCATCTTTACAATCACAATGCCAATTACCATCAAGTGCTCAGGCTATTTCCTGATTCAGAAAGCCAAGAACATTTTTTACATGACATCTGAATTTTAAATGCTGGCAAATAATTCCAAATTAAAACGGGAAAATTGTACAGAGTTGGCAGAAGTTGAGATGCCAACTTCTGAACCAACACCCAACAGGTCAAAAAAATATCACAAGTGTTACATGTTAGGGTTCACATGCTTATGAAAACAAGTATCATACTCCACATCCCTCTATACCTCTTGCCCAGTTCAAATTTAGTTCTCTGGCATGCTAGCTGAGCGAAATACTTCGGCAAATATTAGCTAACATCTGTATTTCAGTTTCCTCATTGTAACAAAAAGAATGTCTGCCTTCAAGTGTTAGGACTTAAATGGGAAAAATAGGTAACCAGTGATACCCTAACAGCACAGAAGCTAGCAATCCAGTGACTCAATCTCAGTCTTCATTACTGGAGAACAGAGGGATAGGTGTAGCTCAGCACCCAGACCAATCATCACCAGCACATGATCGTCACTCGGCCCGACAGATGAGGTTCCGTGCTAGTTTAAGGTTCTAGCAAAAGACAGTAAAGCTCCAAGATATAAAAGTATCCTTAGTCTCAAAATCTGATAGTGCTAGGAGGGGTTATTTACCCCAATTTCAAATGGTTTTTATGTCATTCCAGCAGGGCAGATGTGTCTTATACCCCCCAAGAACATACTTTAGACTAAGATGTACTTTTGAGAACTCAGTCTCCATGAAAGAAGTTAACCGAACCCCCAAGAACAGGTTGGCTGGGAAGTGAAATAAAGTGGCCAGATTCTCAGGAAAATTGTAAAGAAATTAAAAACAGGAAACTATCTTTCTGATGGAAATGTTAAGTCATATTTACAAAGGTTTTCACTAATGTAATTAAAATTCTTCCAGTTTAAGGCTTATGAGGCAAACTCCCTCTTTATTCAGAGTTCTGAAGTTTGTCATATAGTGGCCAGTAGTGGTGGCTTAAAACAGATTCTGCTATTGGTAGCATCCCTGAAACTGGACAAAACATCACCAAAAGCAATTACATTTCGAACTCCCAGGTTGGAGGGAAGAGTAGACAAACCAGCTTCCCTGCGGCCTTTTTTACCCAAGAGTCTCCATGCCTCACCCAGTGTTCTAACTACTACAAAGCTTTATCCCTGAGCAGCAGTGAAACACTGAGAGTCCCAGATGAAAGCGACAGCAGAGGCGGCGCACCACTCGCCACAGCTGTCTCCACAATGGCACAACACCCGTGTAATCTAGGCAAGAATTTTCACTAATGTGTTACAGTGTCACTATGATGATATATATACCAATAAACCTAACATGGAAATCTACATTTAAGCAAAATTAGACTCTAACATGCCAAAAATGAAGCCACAAAGTTGAAAATCAAAGCAAAAACACCAGTTTTCTCATTTCAGAGAAAAAAAAATAGAGTCAAGAAATCTGCACTGCCTGTTACCATCCTTACCACTTAATATTTTTTCTTCCTTTTGACAGGGTCAGGTTTTCAACTCCTTGCACTAATCAAACCCATGACACCACCCTAATGCTCACAGCAGAAAACGCTTTTGTTCAAGGTTAACAGTGACATCTCTTCACGCGTGTGTAATCTCACCCGAAAGACTATATTTTATATTTCTCTCTTTTTTTATTTCTTTTTTTTATTTTTTTATTAATTTTTTTTAATAGAGGCATGTTTTTTTTTTATTTATTTGTTTGTTTGTTTTGTTTATACATGCACTGGGTACAGTCAGAAGTGCGGGAGGGTGAGAGAATTCACCAGAGCCAGAGCGGGGAGCAGAGCAGGCAGAAGGACCGAAGTACACTGCTGAGGGGAGTAGCGGGCGGCAGGAGAGGTCTGTGCGCCATGTGGGACCCTCCTCCGGTGGCCGGGGAGCAGCCGGGGATCGAACCGGCGCCGCGGAGGCCACGGGCAGCTTTGCAACCCAGCGCTCAACCACTGCGCCACCGGGGAGGCCCCTCTCTCTTTTTTTAAAAAAGACAATTATTTATGCATACAAGAACCAGGGTGTAAGCCAGAGGCGCGGGGGGTTAGAGGATTCACCAGAGAGAATGGAGAGCAGAACAGGTGAATCTACCGAAATATGCTGCTGAGGGGAGCAGCGGGTGAGACAGCAGAGGTCTGCTGCGCCATGTGGGTAGCTCCCTGGCTGGGGATTGAACTCATACAGCAGTGGCTGGTGATAACTTGACAGCGCTGTCTTTAACACCTGCGCCACCAGGGAGGCCCATATTTCACATTTTTAGTGTATAAAAATAGCATTTAATATATTTTCCCATAAAAATCTGTTTTTCCTTTGATACTATTTCACTTTTAAGATTCAGTCATTGTCTCCCATGTCAATGAAAGCGTTCCTAAAATTTGTAGAAGTTATGAGGAGCACAATTATTCTCTATCCTGAATGAAAATCATCAGCACTACTATTATCCAGCAAGAGAGGCGACAGAGATACAAGGTTCCCCTGCCTAAAAGGATGCCACTATCTAAATTGGATTCCTCTGAGGCTAAACACTACACCACAACATTAATTTAAACATAAGATCATGTCTAAACTTCCAAGGTACAGCTGAACAGAATGTGTGAGAAACTCCTTTCAAGGGAATTTCACTGAGATAGAAATAATATCAAAATCCAAATTCATTTTTGTCAAGTTAATTTCAAAAGACACTAGTAACAAGTATATTTCTAAAGAGGAAAAAAGAGCATCAAGAATGATGGTTCATTTTTTAACAAGCATGATTAAGAGGTGTTTTCTGGCCTCCATAACTGAACTCCATTTTAGCACTGGAACAATAGCTCGCCTACAAATACACACACAAGAAAGAGTCTCAATTTTAACTGGTCATTTTGTCTGAAAAAAAACCAGGGGCCACCACTGATTAACAAATTAAGGCAAGGACTCCAACCAATATTCATTCAAGACAGAGAAACATGTCAAAAGTTTTCCTGCACAACGACAGACCCTGAAAAGGGAAACTCTGAGCTCTCAACACACCGTTGGAAAAGCTACCATTTGGGTCATCAAGCTGCCTGCTCATCAACTGCAACTGCTGTGGGTGGAGGAGGCCTCTGAGTCCCTTGTTTGAGGCTGCAGTTTGGTTTACGGGTTTCATTCCTTCAAAGCACATGTCCTCCTCTTGATCTGACATGTATCCTGGGGGGCTGGGGACACCATCCAGCGTCACTATAAACTTGGGACTTGCAGGTTTATCTGGTTGTACAAGATCTCTGCCAGACAGATAGAAAATACCATAGAATTAGGGAAACGAACACAAAAATCTGAGCCTCCTAAAGTGCTCTTCAGCTGACCTATCCCTTACTTAGTGGTTTCCTCAGTTTAAATTAAAAAAAAAAAACAAAAACAAAAACAAAAAACCTTGGTAGGTCTTGGTAGGTCCAGGTACAGTTTTAGTGGATTCCTATTAAAACGCAATGCTTACAGCCAGTCACAATGGCATCCTCTCCAGCAACACCTGAGGCTGCACTAAGGACCTTCTCCCCTCAATCCTAACCCCCATCATACATTTGATCCTCAGAGGGTCACATGGAAATAAACTGGAAAAAAAAAAATCAGCATCGACGCTCAACACAAAAGCAGTTCTACATTTACACTGATTTTCTATCTGTATGCATGTTCCTTTACAGAACATTTATAGTCTTCTTTCTAAGGGAAGAATCACCCCAATCCAATCTGCTAACTCTCTGGAGAGATTTCCTGATTTCTCATCACCCGGCTTTTAAATGCCATTCATGGATAAGAATAAAGAAAAGAATCTTATTAACAGAGCTCAATCATACAATGAGTTACTTGTAGGTTAAATAATTTCTCAACAAGAAAGATGAACTGTAGTTTTTGAAAACTTAATTCCCTTTTCTGTTCATGCCCAACAGTAAAATCAGTAACAGCACTCTACTCTGGGGCTAGGGACGAGGGAAGCCGGAAACTAATGGTTAACCTCCACTATCTAGTCAACACAAATGAGCTACACAAGAAAAAGAAACCATCTACCGTGTCTGCATAAGGTGTCCTGAAAGTACCCGAAGGGTATCTGCAGTCTTCATCCCCGACTCTTGGTTTGGTGCCACTACTATTTCCTCAGACAGCTTTGGCTTCTTCAGAATAAATGATCTTGTGTCTGCATGGACCATGGATTCCATGTCATAGTAATCTGAGCCAAAAAAATTGGCCACAAATGTTTACTTTTACATATACCTTGCATCCCCAACATCACACATGTGAGAAGACTGTCAATCTTTTATGTATTTCTTTTTATTTTCAAAGGAAAACCACAATGGTTCTTCTCAGGAACAGAGCTGCAATTCTGTGCCAAACATCTTTTCAAAGTATTCCTTTCCTCATACAGCACATTTATATTAAGAGATTTCAGTGAACACTCCCTATCTAGGGTACAGAAAGAGATATTAACATAAAGTACAATGTTTTCTAAAAGCTTGAAAAGGCCTAATGCTACCTAAAATCACAACAGACTGTTTAAAAGTGTTTCTAAAATCTATTTTCATTTGGCACAGTAACACAAAGAATACTTTCTAATAAAAAGAATTCAACAGGCACAATAGAAGACTACTTTGAAAAGGAATTTGAAGGAGAATGGGCATTTTAAAAAAATACAAGGAAAACACTAGTAACCATAGTTCACACCATTTACAACATGCTTTTTAAGCTTGACTACATTATAAAATATTCCAAGACCTGGAGGCCAGAATGGCAGGCCTACTGATGTGGCATCAACTGGGCAAAGTTAATGAATTGCAATTCTCAAAGTTAATACGCTAAGTACACAAAGAAGAAAAAATAAGAAAAACAGATGTATATACCATTTCACATCATACTCAAAAAGGTGATCCAAAACAGACATGAGCAAGGAGCTGGGAGACTACAAAGCTAGGGAAATCAAGGGGAAGCTTAGAGAGTAAGGACCCTTGACACAGGCATTAAAGGAACGAGCAAGAATAAAACAGTAGGAAGAAAACGAAGAACAGAGCATTTTAGACAGAGGAAACCGCAGAGTAAAAGGCAGACGCTCTCACAAGGCACAAGGACCCTGGGAATCTGAGACATCTGGTGTCACTGGAGGGATGTGTATGGTAAGCTGAGTGACAAAGATAAGTGAGGCATATAAAGGACGATGTGTCAATGAGTTTGGATTTTAGACTAAAAGTAATAAAGAATCAAGAGATTTCCAAGTAGGGGAGTGACATGATCATGTGGTTTTGAGAAAAACTGCGCTAAGAATGGACAGTCCTAGGTCTTAGTTATGAGACTGTTGCCCAGAAGACATGATAAGACACTAAATTAAAAGACATTCATCCTTCGTCCTATTTTAACACACCCAAGAGGGTCTGAAGACACACTGTCGACCTCCCATCACCACCAGCATTTTACAGCAGCTGCACTTTACACTATCAGCTGAGGAAAGTGGCATCCTTGCCTTTCCCTAAAGCACAGTAGAGGTGGGAAAAATGTAGCTGGAGTGAGATCAGGACGAGGGCAGGAGAATGTAGACTTAAAAGGGAACAAAGACAAATTTCAGTTTTGGATTTATTTAGTTGTAAGTCTCTGTAGACTGCTCATGTTCAGGAAGAAGTTAAAAATGCAAGTAAGACACTCATGAGGGGAAGAATCCTAAAGAAACAAGAGTCAAAACTGAAGGAGAAATAAAAATGTTCAATGAATTATACGTATTCAGTTTAGCTCTCAATGAGTCTCATGAAAGACCCTAAGTAGTTAGATTTTCCTCCCATCTTACAGATTACTGATTTGCAAATCCAAGTTCTTAAGTGAGTTTTTCAGTTCTCACAGCCAGCAAACATGGAGTTCAGAATTGTGTCCAAAGACTGCTGCACTCCTCACTGCCTTGTACTTCTTGAACCAAAGCAGTTCTGCTAGTTCAAAGCTTGACAGTATACAGAAAAGATGAACAGAATGTGGAGGTCAGAGCACAGAGTAAAGTTAACATTTAAGGGGGAGGAGAGGAGAGGGAATGAATAAAGAAAAATGAAAAGAAATTAGTAGAAGAATGGTGATAGTTAAGTCCTAGGAGCCAAAGGATCAAAGATGAAGAAAATACAGGGACCCAAGTATCACATACTATGGAGTTTAGAAAACCAGGCACTGAAAGTAGAGCTTTTACATTATACACAAAGCACTGTTGTCTCTGCAAGACTGATGCCAGCAGCCTGGGTCACCTAATAGAAAGTAGCAGACAGACAGGAGAAAAGACTGCAGGGTAAACCCATGAATTTACTTGTTTTCCTCTGAACACAACTAAAATGTCATTAAAAGTTACATAAAAAACAAAAAAGCGAGATCAACAAATAATTGCACATTTTTGAAAGTGGAAAACTGAGTAGAGATCTTTGAAAGCAGAGTCCTAAGCCAATCATGAAGCAATCCAATGTGAATGCCAAGATTCTCCAAGGCCAAGAAGCTGGCAGCACAAGAGACCATGGATAGAGGTGGGATCAGAACAGGCAAACACAGGTGTGTCCAAGTGTCCATTTCAGAAGCAGTTCATCCTCAACTATTTTGTTTTCTTCAGTTCTGACCTCATCACACTTATTCCCCACTCTCTATGTTGAATACATGTGGATTAACTGGAAATACACCTTCCTATTGAGTATGATGGAAAAAGCCTAGGGATGAAGCAGCATGGTCTCTGATGGAAGGTGCAACAACAAAATTAACTAATTATTCACTATTGAAACTTTTTAAAGGTAGATTTCCTGATAAGCTATGACCATTTTCTCCTGGAAGAAAGGTGGAAGTTTAGACTACTGGCAAGGTAATAACGGAGGATTCCCGAACAAAAGGATGCCAGCCGTATTGAAAGCAAAAGTAACATTCTGAAAATAGGAAGAGAAATTGTTAAGACAAATCACTTTCCACTGCAGGATCAACATTTGGTATAAAGAAAAAAACAAAACAAAACACCACATGCCCAACTAATAAGCCTCGAAGACCATTCAGCTTTTCAGTGCCCCATTCTTAAAGACAATAAATACAGGATCCCCACACATTTGGGGGAAACATCTGTAAAGTGATCAAAACAACCAACCTGAAGAAAACGAGGGAAGGGAGAAATGATTTTTAACATACTCAAATAAGAGAAAAGTACTGCACACATGAAACAAAATAAGTGTTTTAAAAAAAAGGATTAGTCAGAAATAAAACACATGATTGGAGGCAAGTAAAAGTAAATTCATCAGCCTCACAGAAGTACTTGATGCTTAAACTGTATATGCACTGCTGATGAAAACCATAAAAATGAAAGGAAACAAAAAGAAAACACAAGAGCTGATGAAGCAGATTCAATGCATTTTTGAAAAAAATACTCTTATGTAGAAAGCAGAATGGAATGTTGAGAGAAGGGAGATCAAAATCAAAGATGGGAAATAACTAAATTTTATGGGTAACAGAAATCAGGAGAGGCAGGACTAAAGCTAAAGTGTGGCAACACCAGAATGCTCAGCAGTGAGTAGGTGGTGGCATGTGAGTGAGTGGAAGGTGATCTTCTGAGGGGATGAGTCCATCTTTTTGAGAAGGAAGACGAGGGGAAATCAGCTGTTGGCTGTGGAGTCTGACTAGGGTTGGGAGATGGGGATTCAGTTAGAAGCTGACAGGGAGGAAACAAGGGACTAGCGCTCCCAACAACTAGCCATTTTAGGGGAAAGAGAAGGAAGCAGGAGATGATTTCTTAATTCAAGATTTCAGGTATCTGATGGCTGCTTGCATATATTCACACATTCATGAGGCACTGAATATACACCTGGAAGGGACTGGGTACTGAAAACACAAATAAGTAAGGCACTAGCCCCAGTCCTGCAACACCCCATGGTATACTACGTGTGCTGGTAAGACAGATAAACAAAATACAGCGGCTCAAAGAACAAGTTCTACATGGGGTCCTGAAAATGACAGTTTAAAAGTAAAATAAAAATGGGGTCAAAGAGGCGAGAGGGCACTAATGCAGCTCAGGGAAATGGCAATGGTCCGGCAGGAGAGAAGGTAGGCTCTCCGGCCGTCCCTAGAGCAGGGAAGCCAGCAGGCCTAGATCACAGGGACCCAAGTGAAATGGCATCAAAGGAAAAAAGGTTTTCAATGAGGTGAAAAAATACAAACACCAGGTAAAATGAAGACAATGTCAATCTTATTTCCTGGCCCTAAAATATTTTCACAGATTTTTAAACACAGCATCTTAGGGCAGGATCTAAGTATTACAAGATACATTAAATGACATGTAAGGGATGGAAATAGCAACTGAAAAATGCTAATTACAGTGAAAATTTAAGGCTACCAACCTTGACTGATCTGCAGAGTTTCTGCCATTACTGGGTCAATTTGCAGTCGGGATAACAATTGCCTCTGTTGAGTTCCTAGAATATAAATTTTAAAACTTCACTAAACTTAAAAACAAACAAAACCTACATGTGTTTAAAAGAAGTTATGCCCAAAATATTTCTTATTCATTAGATGTTAAGTCCTAAAAAGTTCCAACAATACAATCTGACAGTATCTACAGCCTAAAAGTCTCCAAGACAAAAGGCTCTACTCAGGATTAAACCAAAATGGCAATGTAGGACATTGCCGGTCCCCCTTGTCAGGAGGCTGGTTTTCTTGCACTGGAGGTAAACCCTGGGAATGAGATAAAGAAGGTGAAATAGTCATGGGTAGGTACTGCACTGGCCCACAGCTCACACCCAGAGACACAGTCGGCTGACATCTGCAAGATGAAGGTGAAAACACCCCCCTCCATCACCTGAGTTCTCACCATTACAACTCATTCCCCCACCCTTGGATTTGCAAAACAAAATGCCCCAGTTATGGCTGTGGCGTTCACAAAATACGAACTATGGACTTGGGTAGATACAAAGAGAACAATGAACAAGTAATGATACACTGGTAACTCTGCTGTTCAGGTCCTGATTCAGCCAATGACCATTTGGATCTTCCGTAAGACACTCAGCTTTTAATTCTTAAACAAGCTCTTAATTTCCTCATAGTTACATTACAAAAGAAAACAAAGCAGCACTACAGTAGTTATATACTCTCTTGAATTCCCTATATTCAATCTATCTCTTCCCTCCTTAGTGCTTAGCAGACATTACGTGCTCCTTTCTTGATTCAATACAAGTGTTATAGTACAATGTACAAAGGATGTGACTTTGGGTTCCAAATACTCAAATATTTAGTAAGATGCTTGCATGGTAACTTTCAGTGTATCTGTTTCTGTGGTAGTTTCAAAAGGACAGTCTTTGTACAAACATGGAAGCTGGCAATCACCTGCCAAACTACCATGTCTCATTAAAAGGTATTTTCAAATTTTAAAAGCTATACTGCATTCAAATTTTTGTCGGCTTTCTACTTTTTATTATAACTTATATTACTCTTTGGTAGCATGCCCCCCAAAAGTTAATTCCTTCCAAAATTACCATGGGGCAGACCTGAAACACAGATGTCATTTGTCAAGCTATACTGTGGTAAAGCAGCTTGGGAAACCAACCCATTTTAGATTAGAATAAGAATATTCTTCCAGTACAAACATCAGATTCAAATACAACAGATTATTGTGAATACTGTACAATGAAACACGTTTTAAAATAATTTCTCATGAAAGAGGATTATTCTCCCGCATTTCACGTTTTTTTTTCATCTCTATGCCCTTCTATTTTTTCAAAACATCCTTTCAGAGATCCACTAAAAAGATGAAATTCTGAGACATTCTAGGCTCCTAAGTTAAATCACATGGAGTGCAATTTTGTCACTAAAAGGTCCATGAAAATGTCAAGTTCATTGTGACCTGCTGCCCCCATGAGAACTACAGCCAAGTTATGACACAGATCACAGGGCAAGTACCTGGGAGACAGCACACACTTCAAGTTTACCTTTCTCAATGTTTCTAAGGAAGCCAATTATTTTTACATCAGTTGTCCTTGACTGAGAGTCAAAATCTACTTCGTCTTGAAGATCTTCAGAATGTCTGTTGCATTCGGATGTTGTTGAACATTCATTCATTTTAACCTCCAAAGATGAAATTTTTGCTTCATTCTTTGACACTCTAACACTTAGATCGAAAAGATTTGCTTCCACTGTCAAAATTGCTGTTTTCATTTCCTTAATTTCATTGATATCAGTTGATATTTTCTTTAAAAGATGGGAAATACTGTCTAGCTCATTCAGTGAACAAGAGGAACTTGTTACAGACCCTACATCAACTGGCCCCGGTGAGAAAAAAATTGGTAAAGATGGTGACGGAAATTTTGAAGACATTTTCATAAAACTCTCCCTTAATATTTGATAATCTCTCCTTCACAACCCATTAAAACTATTTCATCAAAGTAAAAGCAGTGATAAAGGCTGCTGCTTTAAGAAGTATTAAGGGTGAATAACATTTTTAAACAAATATCTGAACAGACAGGGTTGTGCATTTCTAGAGTCAGAAATCAAATCTGAAAATGCTAAACAAACCGGACCAATATTCACTTTGCTACAACTAAGATGCCCTAAACATAGCCCCTTGTACCCTGTAAGCCTTACTTATAGCTCCCTCCAAACAATAAACCCTATTATTACATACAAAAATAATTCTGGCTTGTGATTGGCTGAAAGCAGACCAGTGACACACAAGAGAATTTTCTATTATTGACCTCATGTGACAAGGAGCACTGCAGACCTGAAGCACAAATTAAGCAATATAGCATTAAGAACTTTACACCTAAATATGTGAATTTAATGTACTTTTGCCCCTGATTTATTCAACTATTATTTTCAAGCATCATTATTTCTAAATTGTTACATCTAGCATTCCTGAGTTTCATATCCCCTTGGGAATAGTTTAAGATAGTACTTGGCATTTCCTTATAGGGAGAGGATCCATGATCACATATAAATCTCTTAAAATATATCCGTGGTGATAAAAGGAGTTAAACTGCACTAACAGGATATGAATTTATAAAGACAGGGGAAATGAGAGAACATGGCCTTGGTTTGATATTAGACCATTATTAGGTACATGTTTTTTTTTTCTTTCACTGCGTAGTTTGTCTTTATTTCCTTGACAGTAACCTTGGAAATACAGAATTTTTTAACTTTGACAGACCAACTAATTTTTTTCTTTGGCTACTTATACTTTTGGTGTCAAATCTAAGATTATTTAAATTTATACCTATTTTGGGGCCTTCCTGGTGGTGCCAGGAATTAAGTTACAGCACTTTGAAGCTATCCTGCCGCCACTGCAGCATGAGTTCATGCCCCGCCTCCCCCAACCCGGCCAGGGAGGTGACCCACATGGTGCAGCAGACCTCTCCTGTCTCGTCCGCTGCTCCCCTCAGCAGTGTATTTCAGTCCACCTGTTTTATTCCCACTCTGTCCCACTCTGTCTCTTGCGAACCCTCTCAGTCCCCACACCTCTGGCCTATACCCCAGTTCTTCTATACAAAAATAAATCTTTAAAAAAAAAAAAAATTTATACCTTTCCCCCTAAGAATTTTATAATTTTACCTTTTGCCATTTAGATATTTAATCCATTTTAAGTTCATTTTTTAAGAAGATTTATTTATTTATGCATACAAGAACTGGGGTACAGGCCAGAGGTGCGGGGGGGGGGGGTTGAGAGGACCCACAGGAAATAAGTGGGAAACACATTAGGCAAGTAACTGAAACACACTGCTGAGGGGAGCGGCAGGCAAGACAGGAGAGGTCTGCTGTGCCATGTGGGTAGCTCCCTGGCCAGGGACCGAACTCTTGCTGCAATGGATATGGAGAGCTTCATAGTGCTACGACTTAGCCCCTTGCGCCACCAGGGAGGCCCTTAAGTTCACTTTTACTTATAGTTTAAGGTAAAGAGTACAACCTTATTCTTTTGCAGATGGCTACGCAATTATCTAGCACCATTTGTTGAAAAACCTGTTCTGTCCCCAGTGAATTAGCTGTACCTGTGCTAAAAACCAACTGATCATAAATTCATTGGTTCATTTTTGGATTTTCAATTTAATCACACTGGTCTACATGTATATACCCTTGTGCCAGCAGCACAGTCTTGATTACTGCAACCCTGCATTAAGTTTTGGATTTGGAAATATAACTTTTACTCTTTTTCAACAGTTTGGCTAGTCTTTCTATTCCCACCTGGTTTAGGATCAGCTTGACAGTATCTGTAAAAAAGAGGTCAGACATTTTAACAGAGATTGAGTTGAATTTATAGATCAGGGAGTACAACCACCTTAATGTTAAAGTATTCAAATATATGAATAAGAAATGTTTTTCTATGGTTTTTGCTTCATTTTTACTTTGGTTTACTTGCCAAGCTACAAATAAGTTATACAAACAAAAGATAAGGATACAAGACAGTGAACACAGCTCTCTAGTCTCTCCAAAATCATTCTTATAAAAAATTGTAGCCTTTGGTTTCCCAACTAAATAATGTCATTCCTAATAAAGGGATAAAGATTTGCTGAAGTTTATATAAAAAACTTTACTCGTTTGTCCAATCTGTAAATTAATTCTTTAAAATTCTCTGATAAAAAATTTCAAAATTTACATAAAGGCTGTGGATTTACAGAATTTTTTAAAGTACTAACTACAGGAAGACATCTACAGTAAACAGTCCGTCTTCGGCAAATTGTCACCTGCACACCCATTAGTTCACTAGAGGGCAGCAAACACACCTTGAATGAGAAAAGGGGAAAAACAGTCTAACAGAAGAACTATCACAAAGAACTAAGGTCCCCCAAAAGAACCCGCTTGAGGCTTCCTATTGTCAATCATTGTTCCCAAATCAACTTTAGTTGCAAAATAAGCAAAGATCCTTTCACACATTCCAATTTAAGTATCCAGCAGAGGATGTTTACATACTTTAAGGAAACTGAAGCACAAAAACATCAAGGTCAGCTAATGAGTGGAAAAAGCCTGGATTAACACCAAGACAATCAGGTTCCCAAGTCCGTATTTAGAATCAATGCCTTCTACTTCTCTCCATGAAACATTAAGTGGAACAAAACACGGCACAGGGAAATTCAAGTATATTTCCTATTTTATGCATACAAGTATGTGCACATAAAGGTGTGTGTGCACGATTCTTACTAGAGAAAGCATGCACATGTACATAGGAAAACCATGCCAACAAGATTGCAGACCGGCGCCAAACTATCCTAAGTGCAGTGCTCACCTGTGTGGACTGCAGCGGGCCAAAGGAAACGGGACTTTCCTTCTAAAGATAAGAATTCCTCTTTACTAAGAACCAGACCTCTCCTGTCTGGCCCAATGCTCCTCTGAGTAGTGTATTTAGTGGATCTGCCTGTTCTGCTCCCCACTGTCTCTGGTGAATCCTCTCACCCCCTCACCTCTTGCCTATACCCTAGTTCTTGTATGCATTAATAAAATAAATCTTTTGGGGGGGGGGAGGAAGATATATACTTAAAAGCATAAAAACAGAAAACTAGAAAACTGAAAAAACAAAGATCAAAAAACATGAGGCAAATACTAACTGGCTATATAACATATAAGACAAAACTGACTTTACAATTGAAATACTACTAGGTAGTGATGACTACAAAGGTTTAAACATCAAAAAGAGGCAACAATTTTAAATATGTACCTACCCCAGTTCATTACTTAAAACAAATGAAACAAAAACTAATAGAGTACAGAGAAATTAAATTTGTCATCCTGCTAGGCAATCTTAGCACCTCTCAATTATTAAGTCAAGCAAACAAAAACTCAAGGTCAAGATGTGATATGCAAAATGCAATTTTTCAACCCAACAATTAGAATCTTTCTTCCAACATGCATACAAAGCTGAACTGGAAGGGATCATGCTCAGCGAAATAAGACAGAAAAAGAAAAAAATCGGATGGTCTCACTCATAGCAGGATTTTAGAAAACTGAAGTAAGGGACCAGGAAAAAGACTAATTATAATAAAGTAAAAATCAGAATCAAAATCAACAAGCAATTATAAACCAGAGACATACTATGGGGGAGAGGGGTAGGAGGAGGGATTAGGTCAAAATAAGGGTGGTAGGATCCGCCTGTTCTGCTCCCCACTCTGTTCTGCTCTCCCTCTGTGTCTCCGGTGAATCCTCTCATGCCCTGCATCTCTGGCCTACACCCCAGTTCTTCAGTGCATAAATAAATTAAAAAAAAAAAAAAACCCTTTAAAAACACTTCCAAACAACACATGGATCAAAGATGAAAATTACAATGGAAATTAAAGATATTTAGAATGAAAACATTACGTATCAAAATTTGTGCTGTGCAAACAAATGAAGAGAATTTTACAGTGTAAATACTTACATTTGGAAAAATGTCAATGATGTCACTTAATATTAGAGCAAAAATCAATGGAACAAAAAAATGAAGATATAAAAAGAGAATCAATAAAGCCAAAATTGTGTTAAATCTTTGAAAAGACCAGCAAACAAAACTTTTGGTCACAGACTAAACCAAGACAAAAAGAGACAGCACAGATAGTGTGAGGGGAGCAGGCCGGTAAAAGCGCAGGTGCTCAACAACTCATGCATGTACATATATAAAATTGTAAAAGGTCATCACAAACTTGTAATACAGTAAGCGTATTAATTAATGGCTGTTTGCAGTATCACTTTGCACTTGTGAACATATAAACCACCCTCAGCAATAAATGTACTTGATATCATCCCACATTTTTGTCCTTTTATATTAAAACAGTATGTGAAACCATACAACATACAGAGCTTAATGAGCTGAATAAGGCAAATCACCCTCATACAACCAAGAAAATAGAATTGTGCTGGTCACCCCGGAAGTCTCTACATGTGGTCTATTATCACTCCTCTCCAAAATAACTAATGGACCTTTTAATTTAAGTCTTTTAATCTAGAATTCTCAGCCTATTTGACCTATATAGAGTCCCAAAGACTTTACCCATTGCATATTCAATGTACAATTCAACCAACAAATTCCTCTCCTGCAAGCTGGTGGCTGGACCTGGGACTCAACCACTCAGGTTCAAATCCTCTGCTAAGATTACGGAGCTTTTATTCTTATGTCAGGAGGTACAAAACGGCCAGGCTATACCTCTATTTAAAAAAGATTTTAAGCAGGGATGGGATTAACATCAAGAGGGAAAGGAAAGGGCCTCCCTCCTGGCCTAGGAACGAAGTTGCAGAGCTATCACCACTATAGCCTGAGTTCGATCCCTGGTCAGGGAGGTGACCCACATATGGCACAGACCTCTCCTGTCTGGCTCACGGCTCCCCACTCTGTCTCTGGTGAATCTTCTCACCCCCTGCACCACTGGCCTATAACCCAATCTATTAAATAAATATTATTTAAAAAATGAAACAGCTTTTAAATACCTTGACTTTTTTCGATGTTATCTTCTTTTGTTTCCTCTTCTTTAACTGGCGTACTTATTCTGGGAGTCCTGTTTTGGCCCTGGACCATTTCTGCTAGCAATTCTTCTTGAGAAGTTCGAGTTCTGGGAGCAACTGGAAGTGTCTGTTTCTGTGAGACTTTTATATGAAAGCAAAACATGGAAATGCAAAAGCAGAAGCACATCAAAACTCAACAGCAAAGATGTCATGTTAAACATCAGTGCCTCCTTTTGTTTAGAACATGAGAATAGTTCATAAATAGCACCGTGTTTTTTCTTATGATAGTCCCCAAAGATGGGGACCTGACTTAGATGCCCACATGTACGTACACAAACATCTTCACATTTTAAACCACATACCATACATACACTGTAGAACCGTATTTACTTCTTAAGATTCTGCTTCCACTCAATGATCTCATAACAATTTCAAACTGTAATTTAGATAACCTAACAGTTTCAATACTGTTTCTCAAAAAACTTGGGGAAACACCAACTAATGCAACAGTAGGAAATTTCAAGGTAACAGAGTAAAATTCTCTGTATTTCTCATTCTAAACAATAGTGCTGGGCCTCCCCGGTGGCGCAGCGGTTGAGCGCTGGGTTGCGAAGCTGCCCCCAGCCTCTGCAGCGCCGGTTCGATCCCCGGCTGCTCCCCGGCCACCGGAGGAGGATCCCACATGGTGCGCAGACCTCTCCTGCCACCCGCTGCTCCCCTCAGCAGTGTACTTCAGTCCTTCTGCCTGCTCTGCTCCCCGCTCTGGCTCTGGTGAATTCTCTCACCCTCCCGCGCTTCTGACTGTACCCAGTGCATGTATAAACAAAACAAACAAATATAATAAATAAATAAATAAAAACATGCCTCTATAAAAAAAAAAAAAAGAAATAAAAAAAAAAAAAAAAAAAAATAGTGCTGACAGATCAAAAAAGGGAATGCAAATTATGACAAATTTGATCAAATGTGGTTTTGCCTGATAATCTTATCTACATGCCAAAACCTGTTTAATTTTATGTTCAAGGTTAAATTAGGGTTGAGAAGTGAGGGGACAGATTACTGGGATCAAAGCTTCACAGTTTACAATTTATTCCACTTCAGGAAAGGATCACAAAAAGAGGTGCATGAGAAGGGAAAAGCAGAAAAAAGCTGAAAGAACAGCCATCAAATGCACAGCAAAAATAAAATACAAAATATTTAGAATGTGTAATCATCACAACTTATTAACAGGTTTAGACCAGCTATAGCACATGCAACAAAGCAGAAAACATGGCGGTACAGCCTGCGTCCCGTCACTTGGCTCGTATTTTTGAACAAGCATTTTCTAAGATCAGATAATAGCTGACTTATCTCCCTTGCTTCAAAATCATGTAATACCTTTATAGTCTGTAAGACTGGGGCAGGAACATCACAAATGAGTCAGTTTACTGCCTTGTAGTCTATTAAAGGGTTCTACTGAAAGGAATCAACCTGTTCATATACTAAACTTAAAATTTTTCCAACTTCAGCCTCTTAAAATTATCCATTTTGCTCCCTTTTATTTCATAAATCCATACTTAGTGTTGAATCAAATGCTGTGAATATTAAAATCCCATTTTTATCAAAACTCCCGTTAAAGTTTCTCTTTACTATAAGGCATTATAGTTGCACAAAGACTAAGTTCAAACTTGTACAATCTACTTTTAAAATCATTCTTCTCTGGTCCTCGTCTTGGTGTTGACATCCTAAAGAAGGGACAACTTGGAAGCCATCATCTAGCTTACAAAGAGTTACAGAAATCTCTAATGTAAACATAATAGATTTAAATTACCTGTAGAATAGTTAGTTGTTTTCGTTACAGATTCTTGAGCTTCAGATATAGCCTTCAAAATTAGATTCTTATTAGCTTGCTTAGAAGGTGGAAGAGAAGGTCTAGAAAAGTTAGTAACAAATAGATTAAATTTTAGATCTGAGGTCTTTTTACATGCTAGCCATCCATTTTGTCTTTACTAAAGTTCTGTTAGATTTTGAACAGACCAGCTGTAGCTTTTAGGAAATGCCAACTAGATCAGAACCATGTAACTTTTTTCAATGATGAACCTGAAGCAAATCTCCCCCACCCCCACCTCATTAGTTTTTAATATTCTCTGCCATCCTCTATAATTAAAAGCAATTGTTTCATTCATTTTAGTGTTTCTCAAAAACACTAAAGTCTACATCACATACTATTAATTTTTTATTCTCATAATAAAGATGACTCCATCAGACAAAGATTAATTTAGAGACACGTGCATGTACCTCCTCTCGGGCTTTGCTGGCACTGACACACTGCTGGAGATGCTTCCTGTTCGGGACCCACAGTCATCATCTTCCTCCTCCTCTTCTCCATCATGATTGAATTTTTTTACTTTAATAACTGAACTTACCACCGGCAACTTTCTCTTTCGAAAGTTTTCTTCCTGCAATCAGATAAATTTAGACTTACCTAAACTCAGAAAATAACAAAGTTCTACCACAGAACGTATTTTTCTCAAGAAAAAGCCAATGATATTAAAAATTCATGGGATATTTCCTGTTTCTTATGAAAGTATTATACCTAATAGCTAACCTTAGTTGACACTAAAACTAGAGTTTTAATATTTACTTAAAAACAGCGACATAAAGCACACGTTAAGGAAACTAGTAAAACTGGAGTTACGGTTTACTAGTAACTGCTGAGAAAAAAGCTAAAGTCAACCTAAAATCTCCCAAAAATTGTAAGGTAAGGTTGAAGCTGTCACAACCATTGGCATCTCAGGAAAACAAACAAGATGTAAAATATCTGTAGAAGCCAGTTGTGGTGCAGAAAACCTGACTGGTATATGTGGAGTAGCACAGAAATTACTTTAAACATGAAGTATGTGTTATTTCATAAACTATTTTGTTTCAAGAATTATCAACCCAGAGTTTGAAAGTACAAACCTCAATACTCATTTTTTCTGAGTTGTTTCTAAAGAAGGGACTGTAAGTCTCTTCTAAGCTGTTAAGCACTTCTGGTTCACACAAACGTCCTGTTTCATATACCCGGCTGTTCTGTATATCGAGAGGCTTGGCAGTATGAATACTGTTTTGCTGTTGTTGAAATTGCAGCCTGTTTAAATGAGTACCACCATCTGCATTTCGACTTGCAGGTGGGCGATAAATTTCAATAGAAGGACGAGAAGAACCGTATGTAAGTGTCACTGTAGGTTTTTTCTGAGATAAAGGATTCTCCTGCACAAAATTGAGGTCTTCATCAATGAGATCATCTGGTTCCGGCTTAATATCTATCACATCTTCAGATGGTGCCGGCTCCCTCAGAGGTTTCACTGTTGACATTAGTCGGGTTGCAGCTCCATCATCGTAACTCTGTCTATTTAAAAACACATATACACACAAAGTTACATCCTATTTAGAGCTGTTAACCTCAAAAAAAGTTCTGATAGTCTCCTTATCCACTGAAAACTAATGAAATCAAATTCCTTTTTTAAACTTTGATATACTACATTTAAAACAAGATACCTTGGTCTTATTCATTGTTTGATTCAAAAAAATGCTCTGTCTTAATGTTTCCAAAAACAACTGAAAACAGCAATTTGAAGATTTAAAACGAAAGTAAAAGTCACATACAAATACCCATGTTCCCACAGCACGTCTACATGGGACTCTTACCTGACATTAGTGGTTTTCTGCTCCTGTGAACTTGTAGAAACTCTGGAATCTCTTTTTTCAGGTCTAGTGCTAGAAACTGCAAGGGGTGGCACTGCAGCTTCGTGCCTTCTCTCATCTCCCCGACTGAAACTACTCTTATTTGAAGGCACGTTACTATCAAAGATGTTGGTATCAGATGACTTTAGACTAGATGGGTCTGGAAAGAAAGAAACACACTACTTCACTACTTATCTTACTTTGACCCTTCTTCACACCAAAATTTATACTTTTTTTAAAGATTTATTTTATTTATACAAGAGCTGGGGTACAGGCCAGATGCACGGGACGGTAAGAGGATTCACCAGAGACAGAGCAGGGAACAGAACAGGCAGACGAATGAAATATACTGCTGAGGGGAGCAGTGGGCGACACAGGAGAGGTCTGCTCGCCATGTGGGTTGCTCCGAGGCTGGTGGGGATAGAACTGGCACTGCCGAGGCGGATGCAGACAGCTTCACAGCTCTGCCCTCAAGCGCCTGCGCCACCAGGAAGGCCCTGAGGCAATACATGTTTTAATGGCCTAGTATTATTCCATGCATAGTAATATAATTTACCCATGTACTATTACTGGACTTTTAAGTAATTTTCTACTTTTTCTAAAGATTTTATTTATTTATTTATGCATACAAGAACTGGAGTGTAGGCCAGAGGTGTGGGGGTGGGGCATGAGGGGATGAGAGGATTCACCAGAGACAGAGTGGGGAGCTGAACAGGAGGACTGACTGAAATACACTGCAGAGGGGAGCAGCGGGTGAGACAGGAGAGATCTGCTGCACCACGTGTTAGCTCCCTGGCAAGGGATTAAACTTGCGCTGCAGTGACTACCAACCGCTTCATAGTGCTGTGACTTAACCCCTTGCGCCACCAGGGAGGCCCACTTTTAAGTAATTTTCAATTACAAAGTATTGAAACATCCTTGAAGCTAAATCACTACACATATCTATAATAATTTCCTTAGGATAACTTACATAGTTCCTCTTCCTTGTTTAAAATGTCTCTGAATCGTATTAATTTCTCTTAAATTCATAAAAATAGGTGCTTCCTAAAAATGGTCAAATTACTACTTTCAAATTTGTTTTCCCCAGATTAGCACAAATAACATTAGAAAAAAGAAATCACATACTATAGGAAATTCCAAAAATATACTGACATTTTAATAAATTTTACCTGTTGTAACAGAGCGAAGTTTATCTAATACACCATGAAGCCTGAAAGAAAAAAAAAATTAAAGCTTACTTCAATCAAGATTTTATTTAAACTGGACATTTGAGGGCCCTCCCTGGTAGCGCAGGGGTTAAAGACAGTGCCATGAAGCTATCACCAGCCACTGCCGCACAAGTTCGACCCCCGCTGGCCAGGGACCTAACCCACATGGCACAGTAGACCTCCCCTGTCTCGCCTGCTACTCCCCTCTGCAGTGTATTTCAGTACATCTACCTGTTCTGCTCCCCACTCTGTCTCTGGTGAATCTTCTCACCCCAGGACCTCTGGTTTATACCCCAGTTCTTGTATGCATAAATAAATCTTTTTTTTTAAAAAGATAGATTTATTTATACAAGCACTGGGTAGTCAGAAGCGCAGGCGGGTGAGAGAATTCACCAGAGCCAGAGTGGGGAACAGAACAGGCAGACCGATGATATACACTGCTGAGGGGAGCAGCGGGCGCGGCAGGAGAGGTTGAGCCAGTGGGACCCTCGCCGGCTGCCGAGGATCAAACTGGCGGCCGAGAATCAAACCGGCGCTACAGAGGCTGCAGACAGCTTCGCAGCCCAGCGCTCAACCACTGCACCACCAGGGGAGGCCCTAAATAAATCTTTAAAAAAAAAAATAGACTTGACATTTGAGTCTCAAATGTCAGATAAATGGTACAAAGTGGTATTCTATGACTAATATTTTTCTACAGATTTATTTATTTATACATACAAGAACTGGGATGTATGCCAGAGGTGTGGGAGGTGAGAGGATTCCCCAGAGACAGTGTGGAGAAGAGAACAGTCAGATCTACTGAAATATACTGCTGAGAGGAGCAGCAGGTAAGACAGGAGAGGTCTGCTGTACCATGTGGGTCAGCTCCCTGGTCGGGGATCAACTCATGCTGCAGAGCTAGTGATAGTTTGATAGCACTGAGATTTTAAACTGTGCACACCAGGGAGGCACCGACTAAATAGTATTAATGTTAACTTTCAAGTTTCAGTTTTTAAAAGTTTTTAGAATAATGCTATAGAAGCTAATCAAAAATCCTATTTTTCCATCACTTATTTTCAGATCTAACCTCTATAAAAATGAGGACAAGGTTATCATGATCAGTCTTGCAAATAAATTGTTTCATAAGGACTAAAGACATAATGTTGCTTAAAGTAAAATAAAATATCACAAACACAATACACTTTATTTCCACTGATTAAGCAGTTGAAATTTATCTACTTATGAAAGGTTTCTGGGAAAAATTAATTTTGGTAAGCAAAAAAAGTATATTCCCAAAATACACATTATCACTTGACTATAACTATTACCAAAAAAACTAATGGCTTATGCAAGGATAAGTCACAACCTTACCTATAAAATATATCCTATTTTAGTGGATATGTACATCGCAAATTTCCCCTAAAGTCCTTCCAAGATGCTGTGCCTACTAAAAACATAAAAAAAAAACTTTCTTTCTTTTTACAATGTTTCTCTCAGAAACCTAGTCACATGACAATGTCTCCAAGGACAATTATGGCAGGCCTCCACAAAAATGGGTTTATGTTTGCAGTTGGTGGGTGGCAATGAACACTTAGGAAAGCAATGTGACACCATCACTTGTATTAGTATATGTTGAAGAACTGAATTTACGGGAAGATGAGAAAATTAATTTTATTTTAAATTCAAATCCACTTAGCTGTCTGCTTGTGTAAGAATTTATCTAAAGCATTCCATCAGGTGACCCAAAGGTTGAAGAAAAAAGTCAGGTCATAAAAAATGCACGCGAAACAAAAGACTGAAGAGTTTAAAAAAAAAAAAAAAAAAAAGGGCACTCATGACCAATGATAATCACCCCAGTCAAAGGCACCACGCTCTTTTTTGACTTTTTTTTTTTAATGGGGGCAGGGGTGGGTGGGGAGGGATAAATTCTAGGAACAAAGTGGGTCAGGTCACCCACACAGTCTATGGGCCGAAACATCTGAAGGGCTACCACACATTCAATGTTCTTCAAAATCGTTATATGGACCTAGAGATTTCCATGTGGAATTTCAAGAAAGCTTTGTAAGAGTTATAAGGCATATAATAGGGGCAAAATGTCATTAATATCATCTTTGGTTTCAAGGCAAGAGGTTATCCAGTTCTGTTTCCTTCCTTGGAGTCTCCTAGTTCTTCACCATTCAAATTAAGCAGGTCACTTTGCTCACTCAACGTCTGCCCCATCATCAAATTGCACTGTAAATGAAGTTCCCAGTGAGAGCCTCTACGTAAGGATGTGCCCCATTCTCAGCAGCATTATTAACCTCTCCTAGCCATGACTCTACCTCAAACCATAAAATTGAATTTTATGTTTTAGTCAGTATTCTCAACTAAAGGCATATGGGGGCTTAAAAAGATACTGAAAATTATGTTAAATTTACAGTTGAACATAAAGCTGCCTATTTAAAAATCCCAAACTTTACGTTCCATAGTTTTATAAACTGATTTGAAATTTTGTCAAGAAAACCTTGCCCCCTAAGAGTTAACTCACTGGACAAAGCAATTTTGGACATCAATCTAGTCCAAAAAAACCATGGGGAAGAATGGGAGTAAGATGCAGCAACATCTTATGGGCCAGGCACATTAGCTGTGAGGACATTACATGTATTAGCTCATTTAATCCTCACAACAATCCTATAAAGGGGATTTACCATTTCCATTTAATAGATGGAGAAACCAAGGTATGAAAAAGATCCAGGATTCAACCTCAACAGTCTGGCTCCATAGGCTGTGCTCACAACCTGTCTCTCTACAACGAAGCTGATATGCCTATCAAGAACCTCTTTGATAGCAGAAAAAACACCTACTCTGTCTCATACCAAGCTTTGGTCTGAGGGGTAGATAATTCAGAAACCTACCATACGGTGAATCGAACTGTGTTGTTCCCTAGAAACAGGGACAGGTCCTCTGTCATTTGGTCCTGACTTTTCTTGTTGGCCACCATCACCATAATGTAATCAGGAAGTTCTTCATCTATTTAAAAGGAAAAGTATATAAAAACTTTTTTATGTTTTCCTTAATATTTTCTTCTACTTAGAAGTTGTCTTGCTTGAAAATACATACTTAGTTCTAAGAATTAACATGTCAGCTATACTGGAATATGTTGAACAAGAAAGTTTTCTCCATTCCAGAGGTATTTCAATTACTAGAAAAATGGGAATAAGGATTAATACTTACAAAACTAAATAATCTAAATTACAGAATCAAACTTGAGAGTGCATTTATTCCTTTAAGTCTTCCATAAAATGCTCGTTAGTTTCAAAGAGGCTTCCAGGAAGCACATTGGCATTCCTTAAAAATAACTGAGTTTTGCGCTTACTTACATTCCAAAATGTTTAAGAAAATACTTTTATCCTTGGTAAAGCAAAGTTCAATCACTCAGGCTAACACATCTGCAGCAACGTAAATGAAAACTACCCTAAAACCCTACACATCATTGTAAAAGTCCCATCTTACAATTGGTTAAATAACTTTACTTCAACTGATTTAGCCTCATTCCCTCCTACACAGTGATTATGACGTGAGGGTTAGGGACAAAACAACAAAAAAAACCACCACTCCAGTAAGAAGAGAAGGAAGTAAAGACCGTTTATCAGGTACTTTAATCCCTACCCGCCCCCCCCCAAAAAGCCCTTTAGACCTGACACCTTAATAACCCATAATACATCTCTGTAGACAAAAGGTTCATTAAAGAAATACTCAGACATTTATTTCAAGGAAAAATATCGAAAATATAGTTCAAAGAAAGCACAAATACAATGAAAAAGCCCCATCTACAAAGTGAGAAATTACAGTATTTGATGGAAACGTGCATATGACAAAAGAGACAAATAATGAAAAGTCATTTATTATTTTCTTTGTAGACTTATCAAAAGGTTCCCACTGCTTTCAGGGAATTACAGTCAATACATCCGCTAGTCTACTTATGCAAAGTGGACTTACTATAAGCCACCCTGGTAAATCAGGAAAGGTCAACAAAAAAGCTTAACTACTTTAGCAATCCTGACAGTTTTCCTCCCTCATAATGTCAGTGACAAACACAAACAGACTGTGTTTTCTGTCAATATACATTAACTTGCATTTTCTAAAATTTTATATGAACAGGACCACTGGTTGCCTGGTTACAGAGTGGGAGGCCAGGGACAGGGAGCTACAAAGGAGCTCCAGGATACTTTGGGGGGGGCAATGAATATGGTCATTAATTTGATTAGCGTACATATCAAGACACAGCAAAATGTTATACTTTAAGCGTGTAGTTTAATATACAGCAGTATCTTAAGAAAGCTTACTAGAAATTTATATTGTTTTCTCACTAGATACAAATGGGAAATAATCTAACAAAAAATGTGTTCACAATATATTTTCTACATAATTCTAATCTATTTCTCAAGTTCACTTGAAATCCACATACCGAAAATTTTTTTTAAGATTTCTGCTAGTATTTCTAAATGTAAACTGTTCTGAATCATACTTTGACATCTCACTAAAATGTTCCATTTTAAACACACACATGAGTAAAAAGGGTTGTTCACCATTGCATTGCACCCAGTGCCTTGAAAATAAATATTAAAAGATCGTATTCATAACCTTAAAGGTTTCCAAGACTCCTTCCAGCACACAGAAAGGGATTAGAAATTCACCCTTTTCATTGAGAAGGACCAAGTACAAATAGTTAAGTGGCAAGCTACAAACATAAATAATGTATACTTTTAAATAGAGCCTAATGGTGACCTGTTTACTCAGTTAACATTGATGGAAAAAAATCATGCTTTCAGCTATGCCACTGGGACACTTGGTATTTACCACATTAGAAATTACTACTGAGAATCTTTTATTTTTTTTAAAGATTTATTTTTATTTATATATACAAGAACTGGGGTGTACGCCACAGGTTTTGAAGGTGAGAGGATTCACCAGAGACTGAGTAGGGAGCAGAACAGGCAGATCTAATGAAATACACTGCTGAGCGGAGCAGCAGCACAGGCAGGAGAGGTCTGCTGCGTCATGTGGGCCACCTCCCTGGCTGGGGATAGAACTCATGTTACAGTGGCAGCAAGTAGCTTCAGAGCACTGAGACTTTAACCCCTATGCCACCAGGGAAGATCTTTTAAAATACTTTAACTCACTTATAATACATCTATCACATTTTAACCATACATATTTATGTTAATATAATTAAAATCAAATTTTCCATAACAAAAAAATTAGTGCAAAAATATAAGTTTTTTTTTTTTTTTTTTACTCTCTTCACTATCTGGTTAAAACAGTTGGGGGTTCTAATTTCTGCTTCTACACTTATTCTTCTCTGATCTGCTGTTCTGAGTGAAAACTCAGGAAAAAAATCTGTTCTTACACAGATAAGAAATTGCAAAAGGAGTATTTTACTAGCCTTTCCAAAAAATGTATATATTCTTCTATAATACTATGCCAAAACTCAACAGATAGTTGCTTAAAGGTAAGCAGCCATTTGGAGACTAAAACTTATTAACAAGTTTTACATACTCTTTTATATGAAAACCCATTGATCCATCCACACTTACAAAGGATCTGTTATCCTTGTATTAACACCTTGAATTGGTCTTTTGGAAAAACTACTCCTTTGCTGAGCTACAGAAACCATGTGTTGGTACATTTCATTACACAATATAAAGAATCCCTTGCTAATATCCCATTAGTTTTATCAAAAATCCCTTTTTTCCCCTTGAAGACTTATTTTTTACGCGTATAAGAACTGTTGTGTAGGCCAGAGGTGGGGAAAGGGGAGGGGGAGGTATTTCACCAGAGACAGAGTGGGGAGCAGAACAGGCGGATCTACAGAATCACACTGCTGAAGGGAGCAGCTGGTGAAGACAGGAGAGGTCTGCCCACGCCATGTGGGTCAGCTCCCTGGCCTGAGAACAACTCATGCTGCAGTGGTTGGTGATAGTTTGACAGCGCTGAGACTCCTGTCCCACCAGGGAGGCCCAAAAATCCTTTTAAGTACTGGGAAGTTCTTAAAATTCATAAAGGCAGCCACAATTTTCTCAAAATCTTCATTACGCTCAACTTTTGTCATTAGCAACAATACCAACCTGGTCTTTGACTTTGCTCATTTTCAAGGGTACAAAATACCCAAATGTAACTAGTTTATCAATTCTTTAAAGTTAAAAAAAAAAATTCCAAGAAAAAGATGACTTATGAGAGTTATATAAACAACTGGCAATTAAAATCTGAGATTAAAAAAGGAAAAAGGTGGTTAGACCAGTTCACACAAGTCCTTTTCCTCAAGGCAATGCATCTTGCTTCAGTGAAGGGCAGAAATACTCATATTTTCTCACACTGCACATTAAGATGTAGTCCAGGGTCAGAGTTAAAAAAACATTTTTACTGCTCCTTCAATGACATTCTTAAGCAAAACAGACTTTTAAAAAAGTTTTTGGAAGGAAAGGTGGTGAGGAATATGGTTTCCTGTAGTTTAGTGTAAGATGCTAAATAAAAAGTTTTATCCACCACTTTCTGCAGAATCTAAATGACAGCAAACCAAAACGGTTCTGTACCATCAGTATTATTTAAAGGTAAGTTTGACTTAAAAGAGGCAAGACCTTGGGGTCTCCTGCATCTAGAAAACTACTTAGAACACACCAGAACTTTGGAGCCAAACAGACTCAGGTCTTCAATCCTAAGACCTTGCTCAAATAAGCATTCAAAGCCTCAGTTTCCCAGCTTGTGCAGCTGGAGACAGCACCACTTACCTTCCAGTGTTCTCCTGGGGATTACACGACCTAACGTATATACAAGGTTAAGCACGGTGCCTGGCCCACAGTGAATACGCAAATTATAAATCATTTAAAAAAAAAAAAAGTGAGAAAAGAGGACACATTACTGTAGGAGATGAACGGGGCAGGGGTGTCAAAACATCTGAAAGTGAAACTCACTGAATCTTAACAGAGGCCAAATAAATGCCAGAAATGATCACTCACTCCTCTGCCTAACAATTCTGGAAAATGAAGATGAAGAGAGTGAGAAAGAACAGAGAATTAAAAAAACAAAAACAAAAAAAACAAACATCAAGAAAAACAGGATGCTGAACAGAAGGTAGCTCTGTTTGGCTAACCATTTTCAAAACCTTCTGAAAAGGGGTTTAAAACAAAACACGAGGCCGCTTTCAACGAAAGCAATTTAAGGGGGGGAAAAAAAATAAACCAGGGATCATCAGCCTGGAAGGGGGGGGGTGACAGGGGAGGGGGGATCTCGTCAAAGTCAAAAACTACGTCGTGGGGTGGGGGGGAGGGGAACCGCATCCACTAAAATTTAATTCGCTGCCAGGTCTAGACTATGAGACGCACGACGACGACGACAAAACTTACCCACGTAGGCTCCTAATTCCTGCAATTTCCCCTTAATGGCACTCTGTGGGGGCGAAGACAAACATGGGGGTGAGAAAGCCGGTCGCGGCAAGACAAGCCGACCCGCCGCGCTCGGCTCCATGGCGGGGGCGGGAGGCGTCGCGCCCCCTCCCCCTCCCCCCCGACCTCCCCTCCCCCTCCCCAGCCCCTCCCCCCTCGCCGCCGCCCGCCCGAGCCCCGACCACGGCGCGCGCCCGCCGCACCCCCAGAGCCGCCCCGCGGCTCCCGCCGGCCCCCACGCCTCCTCCCGGCCCCCGCGTCTACGCCCGCAGCAGCGGCCCCTCGCCCTCCGCGCGCCCTGAGGCGAAGGGGGCGCCCAAGGCCGAGGCGGCCGGGCCCGGAAGACGCCCCTCGCCGGCCCGCGGCCCTCAGCGACCAGGCCGCGGCGGCCAGGCCGGGCCCACCGGCCCCGTTACTCCTAACAACCGCGCGCGCGCCCGCCGGCCGAGCCCCCGCCCGCCGGCCCCGGGCCTCACCCGGATCTTGCGGCTGATCTCCGTGCCGATCTCCATGGCGCCGCGGCGGGCGGCGGGCCCAGAACCGCACGGCGTCCGCTCCCGCCCGGCCACCGCCGCCGCTCCCGGCCGCACGATCTGCGTGACCCGCCCCCACCACCGGCTCCGCGCGTCGGGGCGAACCGAGTCGGCGCGCCTGCGCCTGCGCCTGCGCCTGCGCGCCCGGGCCCGCGAAGCCGGCGCTGCGGCGCCCTCTACTGGCGTCCGGGCCAGCGGCAGGCGGCTGCTTCCGCGGCCCCGCGCCGCTCGCGGATCCCGGGGGGCGGGGCCTGCTTCCCTTGCCTCGCCCCCACTGACTCATTTTACTCGCCTTTGGAAAATAAGGATAAATTTAATGTGCAGCGGAGAGGTCCCTGACTTTGGTTTGAGATGAGGGTTCGAATCCAGCCTTCGCTTACTGAGAACGTGATGTGGGTCTAGACGTGCACATGCAAGTCCTTCGTTTTCCTGCTCGTCGGGTAGACTGCCCCCTGGCGGCCGCGCTGGGACTGCGTCTGCAGGTAGGAGGGCAGGACACAGGGGCGACAGAACCAGTCATGGTCCCTTCTTTGGCTGCAGTTCCTGGGATTCTCCTGTGTATGGTTCTGCCTTTCTTCTACAGGTCCGTAAATGCTCCCCCTCCTGCGCCTCTCTAAACCCCTTCTCTGGAGGACGTGTTTTCAGGACTTTGACTATCACTTATATGCTGATGATAACCGAATTTTTCCTTGCCCAGAGTTCTCACCTATACAAACCACACTCCCAAATGCCAGGCTACAGGCATTTGTATTTTCTCCAGATTCAGCACATCAGAATTGCAGTTTTCATCTTCCCTTTCCCCCCACCCCTCTCAGATTGGTTTCTACTCCTTGAGTTCCTACTTTTATAAATAGTAACTTTGTCCTCCCTGTCCATGATCACAAAACCTTAGAGTCAGAGTAAGCACAGAGTGAGATCTTCCTTCTCCCCCATGTCCACTGATTCCTGAAGTGGTCCCTCTTTCTTAACCAACCATTGGCTACATAGCAGATGACCACACTTCAAAACAAGTCTTTCACCCACCCACGGTTTGCATGGATTGGGAAGGTGAGCTTAGCTGGATCCTGTTCAGGGTGTCATGGGCTGCCCTTGCACTGGCAGGCAGGCCGTGCTCTCTTCTGGAGGCTCCACGGAGGACAAAGCCATGTCTGGTTAATTCAGGTTGTCAGAAGTCATTTCCATGCAGGTGTATGAGGAAGGGCCCCAGCTTTTCCTGGCCCTTGTCTAGAGGCCATCCTCAGGTGATGCCAGTTGCTCACAGTTCTACCCTGGGCTTCTTCAACACTACTGACCTCAAGCCCTCAAAGAAAGTCTCTCAGCTCAGGAAGGCCCAAGTCCTATTTAATGGGCTTTTGCTTGACTAAGCCAAGGCCTCCCGAGACCTGCACACACAATCAACTGATTTAGGACCTTAATTGTATCTGTAAAGCCCTCACCTTTGCCATATTCTTTAGCTATAGGCAACTCACAGGTGCTGCCTATACTCAAGGGCAGGGGATCATCCAGACTGTGAATAGCAGGGGCAGGCAACGTGGGGTCACCTCAGTCTGTCTGCCACAAGACCCTTCATATCATATTCTTTTTTTTCCTTCTGAATTCATATGACATCTATGCAGGAGCGACCAGTATGATAGACTTAATATGCTCTCTGTAATGTTAATTTTTTTCATTTTTTAAAATGTATTTATTTATGCATAAAGAACTGGGGTACAGGCCAGAGGTGGGGGGGTAAGAGGATTCACCAGAGACAAAGTGGGGACCAGAACAGGTGGATCTACTGAAATACACTGCTGAGGAGAGCAGCCGGTAAGACAGGAGAGGTCTGCTGCACCATGTGGGTCACCTCCCTGGCAGGCTGGGGATAGAACTCATGCTGGAGTGACTGCGGACAGCTTCATAGGTTGTGTCTTAACCCCTTGCGCCACCAGGGAGGCCCTAGTTTTGTCCTTTTTTTTTTTTGTAATGTAAATTTTACACGTGTGTTTATCCTCTGGAACAAAATTATAAACTACTAAAAGTCTCCAAAATTTCTTTCAGCCTGCTCGGCATATAATAAGCATTTATTAAATATTGGTAGGATAAAATAAATTAATGACCTATTTTACCAAAGTGTTCCTCATTGATAAACACATTCAACATTGATGAGAGGCCCCAGAGCAGGATAGCTGAGAAGAAGGATACCAGAGCCAGACTATCTGGGCTTGAGTCCTGATCCTACTACCTTCCTCTAAGACTGTAGGTAAGTTGCTTATCCTCTCTGTTCTTCAGTCTCTCCCTCATACATAAGTATGATACCAGTGTCTCCTTCATAGGTTTATTATGGGAGGAAATAAGTTAGTATTGAGGAAGTGCTTTTGAACTGTGCTTGGTTGATAGCAGTACTGTGTTTGGTGATTAAAATTTAAATACCTTCCCCAAGGCAGATCCTGTGCAGGGAGCCAGAGTACAAAGATGAGCAAGACCAAGCCCGGGTTCTCAATGACACAATCCAAATGACACATATGTTATCTCTACTTCTCTTCCTACCAACTCAGAACTAAAAATGAAAACACATGTTTTACTATTACTGGATACAAATTACATACTCAATAGTTAGATAATAGGCAAAGAACATTTTATAAAGAAGAATGAATGATGTCATGAAATGGTATTCAAAATAGGGAAACTTACTGACATGTATTCAGGAAAGAGTTCACTTTCAGGACAATCCACTTACAGCTGTGGAAAAAGGACTTGCTGGCTGCAAGTGTGAACTTGCACATTTCAATCACAGGAGTTCCCATGTCTGGGTATCAGAGGGGGCGTCTTCACCAAACCGATGGGGGTTGGTGGTGCAGCACTGTTGCAGGTGCTTCCCTGTAAGATTCAGCTTTACAAACCACATGGAATCTAGAGGAAGATAATCAGGATGGCCTCCTGGTATCTCCAGCCTCCTCTGAGGGCAGCATTCCAGTCTGATGTGACTCATCATAGCGTGTGTTTGAGTGGGGGTGGCAGAAGTGGGGGGTTTAGGATGGCTTCCTTCGGTCTGAAATACTTCTCTTCTATTCCTTGAATGCTTTATTCACACTCAGTAATAAGCTGATCACAGTGCTAAAGCAGGTATTACTACTCCACTTGGAATTTATACCCATAAATATATGTGTAGCTCCATAAAAAGAGGTGGTACCATGTTCCCTGCCTTAACTGTGGGCAGAACTGAGCATCCAGGAAGGCAGGTGGGATAGAGGGGAAACAGGAAGAAAGACATGTGGAGAACTGCTTACTTGTTTCTAGGCTTTGCACTTACACCAGGAACTTGGGGGAGTTGGAGGAGATACGTGGAGTAGAGACATTTGGAAGAGCCGTGGGTGAGAGACACATGGAGTGGGTGACAATGAAAACCTTCATCTTAACTTGTACTTTGATTTTGCTCCTTTTGTCTCAAACTTGCCTGGCTCCTTCACCCTTTTCCTATAGTTCCCTGCCAGAAGGTGCCATAGACTTTAGGCAAGCTTTGGGCTTCAAAGGCCGTGCTTTGGGCCAACACTGTTTGGCCGGACATTTACCCATGAGGGAATGGGTAACTTTGGTATGTTTGTTTGTTCATTTTTCTGGAAACTATTATTCTTGCTTCTCTATGCACAACTTTTTAAAAGATTGATTTATGCACACAAGAACTGGGGTACAGACCAGAGGTTAAGGGGATGAGAGGTGTAAGGGGCAGGAACGGGCACAGTGCAGTTTTTCTGATCCCATGCAGACCAGGTAAAGGAGGAGTCAGAGTCCTCAGTGGTTTTGCAGGTCTTTTATTGGGGTTCACCAGGCATATGGCAGGCAGGGGTGCTGGCTGGGGCTGGGAGGCTGGCAGGCCTCCCAGCCCCAGCAAGTCTTCACTCTATCTGGGCTCTCTGGCGTTCTCTGCTTCTGCTTCGGCTTCTCCTTCAGGTTCTGCTGCTGCTGGCTGGGGCTGCTAGCGTCCCCCCGTGACGCCGCCCTTAAAAGCAGTCTTAGCTCAGCTGAATCCCATCTACCTATGCCCACACCCTATTCAGGTGCCCGCCATCAGGCATGCATTCAGGACAAGGATCCATCATCTATCCTGATGGCGGAAGGGCAGAAAAGCTGACATTTTCTTTACCTACAGTCCACCCCCTCAGGGTTTCTGCCAATAGTCTATACATATATATACAATTTCTAAGCAAACAACAATGCAGCCATGGCCCACAAAAGCAAATACATCAATATAACAATACAATATAAAAAAATACAACAGAATAAGTCCAGGCAGGGCACCACCAAGTGCAAGACAATATTGGTACCAGCAGATGAGCCACCAAATCTGCTGCCGAAGGCACTGCTCATACGAGGGAGGGGAATCACTCACGCATCTACTATATCACACCAGGAGCCGTCAGGCTTCCTGGCCTTCTCTGGCTGTAGTCTAGGCTACAGGCACACACAGCATCCACCCCCAGGATGCACTAGCTCTGGGTTGGCAATTTTATTCTGTTGGGGGTAATCGCCAACCCTCAGGGTTTCTGTCTGCAGTCGCTCCAACACTCGGCCTTCATGGCCACCCATGCGATACCCCTGCTCTCAAGCCAACCACTGCACAAGCACATGGTTGGGGATCAAACTTTGCATTTGGCTTGGCTCCACCAAGCCACATTCCCCACCCGTCCCAAGGAGGGCTCCTCAGCTCCTCACCCTCACTCAAGAATGAGCAGGGCATCACCCATAGGTGATTACGAGACTCACAGGGCTTCAGCATACCCAGGCTGCTTAACAGCCGCTTTAGGGCTTCTCAACTTAGCATCAGCACCAGCTTTTGCCACCTTAGTTGGCTTTTCTCCTCCACCTGGCCACTGGCATACACAGGCTGCTTTGGCCATCTAGGCCCACTGGCCACCCCCGATTCTCAAAAATAAACATAACCTGCTAAGGTCCTCCGCTTCTGGCGGATTGTCAGTCCAAATCATCAGTTAATCAGTCTATCAGTCCATTGGCCTCTCCCTGCTTCAGCAATGGCCTGCTGCCTCAGGGGTCATTGGCTGGTCCTTTCGGTGTCGTTGCTGGTCCTATCCGGTGTCGTTGGCTGGTCCTTTCCGGTGTCGTTGGCTGGTCTTTCGGGCGTCTCCTTCACGCCAGGTCTCATCCTGTAGCTCGTGGACGTATCCATCTTCTATACCGCCATGGTGCCTCCAGCGTCGTCACAGGCAAAGTCTGTCTCCTTAGTCCCTCCAGGTCTTCGGAGGGCTCCAATACCCGTCTGCATGGATCCTGCCGACTACGCCAATTGTAAGGGGCAGGAACGGCACAGTGCAGTTTTTCTGATCCATGCAGACCAGGTAAAGGAGGAGTCAGAGTCCTCAGTGGTTTTGCAGGTCTTTTATTTGGGGTTCACCAGGATATGGCAGGCAGGGGTGCTGGCTGGGGGCTGGGAGGCTGGCAGGCCTCCAGCCCCCAGCAAGTCTTCACTCTATCTGGGCTCTCTGGCGTTCTCTGCTTCTGCTTCGGCTTCTCCTTCAGGTTCTGCTGCTGCTGGCTGGGGCTGCTAGCGTCCCCCCGTGACGCCGCCCTTAAAAGCACAGTCTTAGCTCAGCTGAATCCCATCTACCTATGCCACCTATTCCAGGTGCCCGCCATCAGGCATGCATTCAGGACAAGGATCCATCATCTATCCTGATGGCGGAAGGCAGAAAAGCCTGACATTTTCTTTACCCTACAAGAGGATTCACCAGAAACAGAGTGGGGAACAGAATGGGCAGACTGACTGAATACACTGCTGAGGGGAGCAGCGGGCAAGACAGGAGAGGTCTCTGTGCCATGTGGGTCAGCTCCCTGGCCATCCGGGGATCTAACATGTGCTGCAGTGACTTCAGATAGCTTCATAGTTCTGAGACTTAACCCCTTGCGCCACCAGGGAGCCCTCTCTACGCACAATTATTGTATTAAAGATCTTACACATGGCAGCATCCCTTTAGACCGTGCATGTTTCAGGATCCTGGGTGTCCTTCATTCTGCCCACTAACATATTTACCTACTACAATTTCTATGTATATAGATCCACCCACCAGGATTATATAATCAGCTGTTTCCCACATGATGAGCCTGGAGACAGGGCCATGCATCTTATTTACTTTACTCTTGCAGCAGCTGGCTTCCATTAAATGTGGGAGGAACAGACACTTTTTTTTCAGTAGTGAGTATCACATGGTATGTCTGTCTTTGGATCAAAGTCCTAAGTGTTGGAAATTATAGTCGCAGCATTTTTGCTTCCCTGGCTGACATACTTCTCTTCATTTTCTTGTCCATTTGAAGAAACACATTGTTCACACCATCACATTGCTGGTGTCCAGGGGAATCTATCACTAAATACTAACTCTGGCAGCTGCAAAGCTGCCGCACCTGATGTGGTGTTGAGTATGGTAGGCAAAACATAGAAGGAGCATTCAGAGACTTGAAATTTCACCTTTCAAGCTCTGGCTCCCTGCCCTCTGCCCTCAGGCATCATTCAGAGCAGCACCTGTCCAATTCAGAGCCTTCCAGAGTATGGTGACGTGTATAGTGAGGCACAGTGAGTATTCACCAAACTATCATGACAGATTCATTTCTTACTTCCTTAGAAAATAATCCTCAGTGTCCGACTGAAATCAAAATTTCCTTTCCTTTTTTGTGCACAACTGTCTTTTATAAATTTTAGTGTGTTGGGGGCCTCCCTGGTGGCCTAGGGGTTAAGTCTCAGCAATATCACCATGATCGATCCCCAGCCAGGATGCTAACCCATGTATGGCGCAGCAGACCTGTTCTGTCTTGCCCGCTGCTCCCCTCAACAGTGTATTTCAGTCATTCCACCTGATCTGCTCCCCACTCTGTCGCTGGTGAATCCTCTCACCTCACCCCCCACACCTCTGGCCTACATCCCATTTCTTCTGCACAATAAATAAATAAAATCTTAAAAATAGATAATATATAAATTTTAGTTTGGTGATTTTAATAGCAATTACCTTGAAAAGAGTGGACCAGCAAGTTTGCCAAAGAGAATCTCTGTGTCTCTGTTCAAAGTGAATGATGTAAAGGTCAGGACTGTGAAAAGGAAGAAGCCCAAGACTGGGCCAAATCTCCAGGGTCTGTTTGGAGTATTGACAGGCCAAGCTTTTGGATTGTCTTACATGGATGCCAGCAAGAACAAAAAGAATCACCTGGGAGAGGAGATACTGATGAGTGTATGGAGACTCCGAAGACATATGTGCCTGGAACGAAAATGATGTTCAGGGCCTCCCTGGTGGCACAAGGGGTTAAGACACAACCTATGGAGCTATCTGTAGCCATTGCAGCATGAGTTTGATCCCCAGACAGGGAGCTACCCACATGGCACAGCAGACCTCTCCTGACTTGCCCGCTGCTCTCCTCAGCAGTGTACTTCAGTCAATCTGCCTGTTCTGCTCCCCAAGCTGTCTCTGGTGAATCCTCTCACCTCCTGCACCTCTGGCCTGTACCCCAGTTCTTGTATGCATAAATAAATAAATCTTTAAAAAAAAATGATGTTCATTGGCATTACGAAGCCAGAAAGGGCAGTGTTGACCGCTTATCTCAGAACAGCTACTAATGACTAATTGTGAGTGTTGCTTTATTTATTATGAAATGGAAATGTCTTGTGACTTCGTTAATGTGTACCAGGTTTGAATTGTTCTCATATACCAGAAATCAGATCATAAATGGCTGAAAGATTATTTTTGTTCAGTAGTCCTGATTTAAATAAGATTGGTCAGTGGTTAAATGATTATGATCAGTTGTTTGCATTTTGATAGCAATTTCAGTTCAGGAAGTGCAATGGCTTTTTCCCCCTTCTAAAGGTATATGCTTCAACTTGATTAGTAATGTTGAGCTTTTTAGAGATGGTGAATGTCATCTCAAAACATGTAGGAGATTGGTTTTTTGTATTTAGATTTATATAACTGGTTTCATTAATAGATTAAATACCCAGGAAATCCCTTTGCTGTCTCATACAACAGAACAATACTTGTGTATTCACTTGTACTCACTAGTCTGATATAGGTGATGGCTGAGGATAAGTTAGCAATGTCTACCTTATCTTTATGGTTCCAACTTTGCCAATTGAATCAGAATCTCCTTTATCTAACAAAAAAGAAATTTCTGGAGCCTCCGTGGTGGTGCAGGGGTTAAAGTCTCAGTGCTATCTAGCTATCACCAGCCACGCAGTATGAGTTGGATCCCAGGCCAGGGAGCTCACCCACATGATGCAGCAGACCTCTCTTGTCTAGCCTGCTGTTCCCCTCAGCAGTGTATTTCAGTCAATCCACCTGATCTGCTCCCCACTCTGTCTCTGGTGAATCCTCTCACTGCCCACCCAACCCCCAGCACCTCTGGCCCACATCCCAGTTCTTGTATGCATAAATAAATAAATCTTTACAAAAAAGAAATTTCTTCACATGAAAAAGTATGTTTAATATGCTACACTTTGAATCATGTGATATAAAGATATGGATATGTAATTGCTAAAACACTGACAGAATAATCGTGAGAAGGGTACATAGGAATGCCGTGAGAAAATCATACAGAAAATATATACAGAAACCCTATTGAAATCAGGTCAGAGAGCTAGAAGAAGTTCCTGTGCTGTACAAGTAGCAAATGATAGACCCCAATATACCTTGCATCTCTGAGGGGGTGTCCTCTTGCTTCCTCTGCTTTAGAGAAGTCCTCTTCACCTAGCAGCAGCAACCCACAGTACAGGTGTATAAAGGGGTGCTAGCTTTTGATCGGGGTGGGGGGGTGCACTCATCTCCACCACAAGACTGTACTTCTCACCTACATTTTTATTGTTGTTCTGGAATAAACCTATTCTGTTGGTGAAATGGGTTAAAAAAAAATAGCTGATTGCTTTTTGCTTAAGTTCAACCTGGGAACATTGGTAGTCCCAGGAGGGGAGTGGCTGTCTAGCAGGCAGGATGGAAAGATTTTTTACTTATACCCTTTGTCTCTTGTATTAAATCATTTTATAAATGACTTCACTTCCTTACACGCTAATAATTTTATTTATGTGTAACACTGTCAAGGGTTGTTCTTAGAGGCTTGTCAGGGGGATGTGGCAGGCAAATTAAGATGATTAAGGGAAAATAGAATCAAGTATGTGGTCAGCAGATGACATTGTCGACTGGGAGAGAGGAAGTTCAATGTGGTTCACTAACATCACTTATGTTTTACGGTCATTTCTATTTTTAAAATTCTTTCACTTTCTTCCTGATTCAATTAACACATTTTTTTTTTTTTCAGTGCCTGCTCTCAGCCCAGTGGTGTCCTAGGAAAGAAGTCTTCATAAAACAGTTTTTAATGTTCTTGCCAAGTGTGGGGATCACTGTGGAATGGGGTGGCTAGAAAGTTGTCTTGGAAGCAAGAGCCTTGAATTGAACCTTGGAGAGGAAAAGAAGGCTTAGACAAACTGGTGGGGGCAGGAGGTGCTACTGGCCAGGAGTAACAGCTGGATGGGGACATTCAGGGAGAAGAGAAAAAAAAGGATGGGTCAGAGAGACTTAAGCCAGTTTAGAATGGCCCTTAAAGTTCAGGCAGGAAAGCTGAGCCTGGGGGCCGGGGGTGGGTCCACTGAGAGTGATAAATCCTCTAATAGGTAAGCCCAGCATTAGCATGGAAAGAAGAAAGAACTAAGAATCAGATGCAAGGAGACCACCTTGTTGCAATAAGCAAGATATAAAATGAGGGTTTGGATTGGATTACAATGGCAGGGGCTGGGGTGGAGGAGCTGGGCCAGATCCAGAGTGAAATGAAAGAATTTTTAAGACATTTCACAGGAGGAAATATCAAGTCTTGATAGTCTGGAGATGAGAAAAGGAGAAGAGTCACACATATTTTCAATTTTTCTGGCTCAAAAGACCAAAAAGTGACTCACTTTCACATCTGTCTTTTTTTTTTTTTAAAGATTTATTTATTTATGCATACAAGAACTGGGGTACAGGCCAGAGGTATGGGGCGGGGGTGAGAGGATTCACGAGAGACAGTGTGGGGAACAGAACAGGCAGACTGACTGAAATACACTGCTAAAGGGAGCAGCCAGCGAGTCAGGAGAGGTCTGCTGCGCCATGTGGGTATCCCCTGGCCGGCAATCGAACTCGTGCTACAGTGGCTGCAGATAGCTTCAGGTTGCATCTTAACCCGTTGCACCATCAGGGAGGCCCTCACACCTGTCTTCTTTACACACACACACGCACACGCACGCACGCACGCGCGTGGCTCCTCTCATGGTATCTAGTTGAAATATCCAGTAGAACCAGAATTGAGCTATGGTTTCCATTAGAAACAGCAGACGAATCTTATTTGCCATAAACTACATTACCCAACTTGAATAATGCCGGCCGAGTTCCCCCAGCCCATTCATACCTCTGTGGGGACCCTCACCACTTAGGCCTTGTTGGATTATGTGCGTGAAGTGTGAGGTGTGCTTTATCACCCAGGAGCCCAGAAGCCAGGGCATCACGGCTTATTCATATAAGTTTTGTCAGTTATCGGAAGAAAGTGAGATTTCAGTGAAATGTAACATAAAAGTTTTCCAGAAATAACAGCATGAAAAAAAAATCATTAAAATGTACACAATAGGGCCTCCCTGGTGGCACAAGGGGTTAAGCACAGCACTATGAAGCAATGTGCAGCCTCTGCAGCGCGAGTTCGATCCCCAGCCGGCCAGGGAGCTACCCACATGGCGCAGCAGACCTCTCCTGCCTCACCTGATGCTCTCCTCAGCAGTGTATTTCAGTCAGTCTGCCTGTTCTGTTCCCCACTCTGTCTCTCATGAATCCTCTCACCCCAACCTCTGGCCTGTACCCCAGTTCTTGCATGCATAAATAAATCTTAAATTTTTTTTTTACACAATAAAACCTCTCGTCGAGGCACAAACCACAGCCCAGCAAAGAGCAATTTTGTAATGGTGTCAGGGTCGCACAGTTCGATTCCTGGGCTTAAGTGTTTCAATACACTAATAAAAACAATGCAGCGTGACTATAATCTGAAATAATAAACATTGCTAATAGGGCCCGGAATTAAAGCAAACACGTCAGGAATATTTTACACAGCTCACTGGACAGTGGTTATTATTATTCCCGTTTCACAAGGGAGAAAGCAGACACACAGAGATTAAGACCTTTGCATGAGGACATCCAGGTAGCAAATGTGGGCGCTGAGATTTGGAGGCAGACAGCTTCACTCTTGGGGTCCCCATCCTTAAACGCTCTATTCTGCATTGCAAATGCAGACAACCTTTTGAGACCCAGAGCTTATTTGCTATACAACATTTTTTGGGGGGAAGGGAATAGGGGCTTTTTCCATTCAGTACTAATCAGTGTTTTCCCTTTTCCAGAAGCTTCTATCCTTGGAGTTAAGCACGGAAGCGTATCTGAGTCGTGCTTGGGAATGCACAGGAGTAAACGAGCAATTCCAGCAACAACAGCATTTTGCAGACCAGTACCGACCCAGGAACAAAACCCTCTACCTGGAACCGACCCAACGTCGCCTGCCCCTCATTTTTATTAAAAGCCTTGCTTTATTTGGCAACTCCTAAAATAAGTGGTCATATGATTAAGGAAGCCGCGGCGCGCCCCCTCCCCGGCGGCCGGGCGCAGCTGTCCGCGCCTCCCCGCGCCTCCCCCGCCCCCGCCGCCCGCATTCCAACTCTCTGAGGTCACGGGCCGCCGCCTCCCCGGATCCGCCCGCCGGCCCAGGGGGAGGGACGCCGGTGCCTGCTCGCGGCTGCCCCGCTGCTCCCGCCGCGCGCCCCGTCCGCCCCGTCCGCCCTTCCGTCTGCCAGCGCCCCGGCCCCCGCGCGCTCGCTCCGCGCGGCGCCCCGAACGGCCGTGCCCCTCCCGGCCCGTCCACGCGCCGCGGCCGCCGCCGGGCCCCGCCCGGGGGATGGTCTGCGGGCCGAGTTTGGGGAGACAGGAAGTGAGGCCGGCGGGCCCCATGAGCGCGCCCCGGCGCGGGCAGGCGTGCGGGTGCGGCGGCCGCGCGGCGGGGCCCCGGAGGCGGACCGCTGAGCCGGGCGCGCGCCCCGAGGATGCGGGCGGGAGCAGGTGAGGGCGCTGGGTCCCGGCCGCCGAGGGGAGGGCGGGCGCCCCGCGGGGCGGTGGGGTGTGTCCGCCCGCGGGGAGCTCGGGGCGCGCCGGTGCGCCCCGGAGTCCTGGAGGCTGGATCGCGGCCGCCGGCCCGACGGCAGGAGCGTAACAAAGAAAAGGTTTCTCTGCCAGGCGCTCTCTGAGCTGCTTGAGGACTTTCTGGGGGTCTTGAACCTCTGAACTCCGGGGCTGCTATTTCGGCTTCAACCTGGATGAGGGTTTCCAGGCGCATTTGTGACTCTCGGAAGTAAGTGCGAAATTTGCCGGAGTACTTGGCGAAAAGGGGAGTAGGGAAGGGCTGTTGGGTGATGGCTGGTTTTGTTTTTGGAGTAAAGCGTGTTTACTCTAGAAAAAGGAATTCTTGGGTCTGCAAATTCCGATTTGGGATTGTTGCAAATCCTGATTAGATTGCACGCTCTTGGCATGCTAGTCATATTTTCTTTTTTTTTTTTTGCTGAGAAAGCCTTATAATAATAGCGTGTGCTCGCAAACACGTTGCAGACTCTCCGTGCGCTCCAAGTGACAACCGCTGTATGCCTAAGAGTTGCTGACAGATCTTTTTTTTTTGTTTGGGATGTGACAGCACTTTTACTCTGCAAGTAGTTTTTTTCATTGGCATTTTATTCTCCATCGAGTATCTACTCATGTTCTGTCCACGAGAAACTCAGGCTTGACTTAGTGTTAGAGATGTAGGTAGTACTCTAAAAATGTCATACATTCTCTCCTTTTAATGATTTTTTTTATTTTACAAAACGTCATTGGCAAAATTACATTTGCTGAGGACCTTAGCAACAAGGGGGAACTACAGGATTCAGAACTCAACTGAATTTGAAAAACTTTTGGAAGGGCATGTGAAGAGGAAAACATTAAAATTGACTCACAATATCTGGCTTTTGAAAAAGAACAATTTAATGTATTTTTTTTTATTACAAAACAAACATGTTGTAAAAAAACAAAGTATCTCTAAGCTTTCTCTTTCAAAAGCTATTTATGATATGATTCCTTTTCTAGTTAGGTAAGTTATAATTCCAGACCCAACTATCTTTCAAATTATTGCCCTGTATTTTACATCTGAAACACACCCTTCAGGAAACATCTTAAATTTCTACTCTTCTATTCATTCATTACTTTATGGCATCATTGGGTAGCTAATGCTGTACAAAGCTGAAAGTTAAGATGTGTAAATCATTGATTATGTTGTAAATTATTAAGCAGAACATTATAACACAGTAAGTTTTATACAAATAAGCAAAGCAAAGCTGTTCTTATGGCTAGCTCTTGAGCAAAAAATGCACTACACACACCCTTTAACTTTTTCAATTACATTCTAATAACCAATATGAAAAAAAACACTAATTTTTCTTTATCCCCATACTGTAAAACATTTCAAATATCATGGACAATTGAAAGTTTTACTTTGTGTCTGCTTAATCAGGGTTTAGGTTAATAATTAAGTTATATAGTGTAGTATCTACTGCCTTCCAGGCATAGCTCTATCTTTGTAGTGAAGATACTAGCATATATGAATACCCCTAATACAAATATTCATCTCTCTTCTATATGTATGCAGTATCTTGTCTCTTCATCTACACTAACTCTTCTGTTTCTCATCTTCAAAATTCTTGTATCAAATTGAAAGCCATCACTTCATCTCATGCAAGAGAATTTAGTGTATCTGGATGTATGGAATATAAACTTTTTAATTTATACAAACACAGCTGACTATTTTCTAGTTAAAAGCTTATTATTTAAGGTTTTCATGTCTTGATTTTTTTTTTCATTTTGACTTAACTATTTTAGCTTATATCATGACATAGCAAAGGGCACTGAAAACTCCAGGTGAAGATACTATCATTTCATATTTCCATTTCCATTCTTAGTTCGGTGTCTTCTCTTATAGAATGCACTCAGAAAATGCTATTAACATAGTGCTTTAGGAAGTTCCAGGGTTTTTTTTTCCCCCTCTCATCTTCCTTCTCCTGCTACTTGTTTTTAACGTTCACTTTATTTTCCTGATTATAACTAGAGATCTGAAAACCAAACCGAACCAAAACAAACCGACAAAACAAACCAAAAGACCAAGAGAATGCGGCGATTGGGGCCTTACTAGAGAGACAGCCCTTTATGTAATTATGGCATGCTTGTAATCTCCTTAAGGGCAGTGGCGGCTTAGGATCGGCTTAGATTTCCCACAACGCCTGCTACACAGCCTTGTACCTGGAGACGCAATACACTTTTGTGGAATGGAATTACAAAATATTGAGTTTGGCAGTCTAGGGCAAGAGCTCAATCCTATTCTCCAGCTCTGCCATTCGCCCACACCTGAGTGCCCATCACCTCGGGGCTGAGACGCAGTCTGGGGGCGGAGAGAGCAGAGGACCGCGAAGGAGGACTTTGGGGTCCCCTCTAGGGTAAAGCTGAGAGCCCCTTCTCGCCAGGCCTGGGATGTGCCTGGCGGACAACAGGGCTGGGGGCGAGATTATCTGCCCCAAGCAACTGCCACGGCCAAGCCTCCCCGTATAATTCTTGGGGGGGGGGCGGGCAAGGGGCCAGGGGTGCCCACTCTCTGCCCAGAGGAAAACAAGGTGGATCTGGACCTTTGTCGACTCGTTTGGAGGGGGAAATCCAGCCAATGTAAAAATCTCCAGCTGCCGCTCACCCTAGGTGAACTCTGCTCAGGAATTACCATCAACAAAGTGATTGAAAATGTAAATCTTGTATTTTGAGGGTCTCGAAGCTCCAAACCAGGAACGAGAGGCGCCGCACCCACCCCCTAGCCGCCGTGGCGCTCGAGTGGGCTCCTTTAAATGTTCCCTCCGGGAGCCTCGGGCTCGGTCCCTCGCGACCGCTTCCGTCTGGAAACGCGGCCACGCTGGAGGGTTCCGGCACTGGGAGGGTGCGCGTTGGCCTGGCAACGGCGCTACTCTTCTGGCGGGGGCGGGGCCGCGGGGCGGTCGGGGGTAGGGGGGGGGGTGAGGGGGGTGGGGCGCGGGAGGAGCCGGAGCCGGAGCCGGAGCTTTGCGCTCGGGGCTCGGCCTCGTGGGCTTGCGGAGTCGCGTTCGCCAGGTGTCAACTCAGGATGGCGATGCAAGCTTCGCTCGCCTCCCCTGCTGGGCCGCGGCCCTCTCAGGTGAAGACCCGCCGACTCTTTAGGCGCCCCAGCCCGAGAGGAGCCGGGCCACGCGTCCCAGAACTTCCTCGCCTCGCGCGGTGATCCGGTAACGAGCATTTGGAGGGTCTTTGCTGAGTCTGCCATTGATAGAGCGAATCGGTCGCGTGACTCGATGGAGACACCAGAAGGGGCGCTGCAGGGGCTTGTCAAGCGCTTGACCCCGGCTGAACCCCAGCGCTGCGGGTGTGGGGGGTCAGCCCCCCGCTGATGGCGCCGGGATCCGAGCGTGGGGCTCTTTCGCAGGTGTCTTGCAGTGATCTCACTTAAGGACTCAAGAACCCCGACATCTGGGGTATTGGGGAGCCAGAAAGAGTTAACTGAAGAAACCAAATTTAAAATAGAAAGAGGGTCCCTCATGGCAGCGGCCTTGGAGGCACGGGGCGTGCCAGCCCTCCCTGTGGAATCCCAGGGTAGCCTCAGGTGTTTGTTGTCACCTCCTGAGGGCTGGGTCTGACCTGGGGCCTCTGTCTTGGATGATAAACTTTCTCACAGCCCCCAGACCCTTTGATGCCAGCTTTTTCCAGAGGAGATTCCAGAGCAGAGGAGAGGGAAGGCTTATTTTTTGGCTGCTTTGTTGAGTTTTTATTTTTTAAAGAATATCCCCGAGTCGCTGTTGCCCAAGTCACCTGTGCCTCTCTTCCGCAGCTCTGGCGTGGGGTGCTCCCTTCACCTGGTCTTTGGAGACTCGGTTGTGTTTTAATGGCGGCAGCAGCTGCTGGGTAAGCAGCCTGAGACTGGATAGTGATCCCGAGCGGAGAAGAAGATCGCTCTCTCCCGCCGCCACCGCCGCTGGTTGTGTGGTGGTGCTCTTCGCTCTGTACTCCTCCACGTTTGAAGGGAGAAGAAGATGCCACTGCCATTTGGATTGAAACTAAAACGCACGCGGCGCTACACAGTGTCCAGCAAGAGCTGCCTGGTTGCCCGGATCCAGTTGCTCAATAATGAGTTTGTGGAGTTCACGCTGTCTGTGGAGAGCACAGGCCAGGAGAGCCTGGAGGCTGTGGCTCAAAGACTGGAGCTGCGAGAGGTAAGTGGCCAGGGAGGCTGCAGGTTTCTCTGGCCTGGTTTCGCTCCTGATTTACCAGCCACTTGGAAGGCATCTTATCTTGGCTGAGTCTTGTCAAAGGTCCATGCCCATGATACCTGAGTTGTACCTGCAAGCCTCCCTTCCCATGAGAAAGTCCAGTGATGCAGAGCAAGAGGTATTTCTTTGGGAGTGCCCCATTAGAGAATTAACAATGCTTGAGTTTGAAGACGTTTATGTGATCCCCCGAAATGAAACCTGAAAATACGAATGCATTTTGGATTATTCCAGTTCCCATTTTCTTTTCTTTTCTTTTCTTTTTTTTTTTAATATCCAAAACAGCAAGCTTATTATAAAAGGGAAAGAAGAATAAAGGACATTTCCCAGCAAAAGGGCTGCCTCATAAGGGAAAGGTTTGCTTAGAGAAAGGCCTGTGTGGTCTCAGGTGGGCGGCCTTGAGGAGAGCTGCCTTTGCAGAGGGAAGTTAGTGAAGAGAAGCCCCTGCATGGTACAGGTCATGGGCAAGTAGGAAGCTGCTGCCCTGCAGAGGGACCGAGAGTTGGCAAAAAGGAGCACCTGCATAGGCACAGGTGGGTAGAAGGGCTGCTGCCCCAAGTCCCCGTTTTCTTTTCTTTTTTTTTTAGATTTATTTTATTTATGCATTCAAGAACTGGGCACAGGCCAGAGGTGCGGGGTGAGAGGACCCACCAGAGACAGAGTGGGGAACAGAACAGGCAAATTGACCGAAATACACTGCTGAGGGGAGCAGCGGGCGAGCCAGGAGAGGTCTGCGCGCCATGTGGCCCGGGATGGAACCCGTGCTGCAGTGGCTGCGGATAGCTTCATAGGTTGTGGAGGCCCCCAAGTTCCCATATTCTAATATCTTACATGGATCTTCCTGACCTAGCAGTTTACTGACTTCATTCGTTCTTTGATTCACTCGCTCACTCAACATTGATTGACTCTTTTGCACAGTCCAGGCCAAGAGTGTAAAGACACATTGCCTGAGTTAGAATTCTGGATTCTTCACCAACTAGTTTCACTTTGGGCAGGTTTGTGATCTCTCTGAGCTCTGGTTGCCTCTTCTGAGCCATGGGGATAGCATTACCTAGCCCTCAGAGTGGTTGTGTTATTTAATGTGCATTCAAAACCATAGCCGTAACTCTAATAACTATTACAGCAATCATAGGGCGGTTTATCCTGGAAAAGCCCTAATCTAGGTGGGAGAAAGTTGGTGCAGTCCTCCAGTACCCACATAGTGTATTATATTTAAAATGTTACCTAAAATGATTGTGAAGGAAAGGGCTGTTATTAAACGTAGGACCCTTTCAGTCTTTGGCAGCCTAATTTGGGGTAAGAGAAAGGTGGAGAAACTAGTTATTTCATGTAAATGCCCATGTGATATTCCTCCCTGGAAATCCAAGTGATTATAGGAGTTCATAAAAAGTCAGGAATAGGTTGATCATTCAGCATTGAAAGACCTATTAAATGACAGGCACACATGTACTAGGAGTTCAGCCTGGTGTCGGTACTAATGAGAAAAAAGGCTCGATCTGTGCTATCATAGGGGAAGTAGAGGCTCTACAGACCACAGGGAGGGCCAGCCAGGGAAAATGCCCTGGCCCAGTAATCGGATCTGGGTTCTGAAGGAGGGGCTAGTGTGATCCTGTCCCGACTGAAAAGCCTGTGCTGCATGAGGCCAAAGATTTGGAGGCTTCTGATCTACCTGGAGCCTGCAGGTGGCAGATGAAAGTCTGAGAGCAGGGGCCACATAGTGAAGGGTTGTTTTTTTTTTTTAAAGATTTATTTTATTGATTTATGCATACAAGAACAGGGGTGTAGGCCAGAGGTGTGGGAGGGTGAGAGGATTCAAGAGAGACAGAGTGGGGAACAGAACAGGCAGATCTACTGAAATACACTGCTGAGGGGAGCAGTGGGCAAGACAGGAGAAGTCTGCTGTGCCATGTGGGTCAGCTCCCTGCCCAGGGATTGAACTCATGCTGCAGAGGCTGCGGATAGCGTGACAGCGCTGACTGACTTTCACCCCTGTGCCACCAGGGAGGTCCGAAAGGGTTTTTTTGACGGGTGTGGCACAATAAGATTGTTCTGTGAAGAGTGAGCCTCAGGAAAATGATTAGAAAGGTGTAGATTATGATCACCTGCATTTGGAGGGGGATGGAGAGAAGTGGTGGAATCTGGAGATATTTAGGATCTACCTACCAAGAGACACGGAAAGGCTAGCAGCAGTCTAGATTGATACTAGTTTCTATTGTAGAAACGATGGGAACTATACCTGAGAGAAGAAACATAAAAGAGCAGGTTGAGGGCATAAGGAGAGGTATGTGGTGAGTTCAGTTCCGGAAGCCCTGAGTTTAAGATGCTAATTGGAGAGGTTGAGCAGGCTGAGGGCTGTGTGGGTCTGGGCCTCAGGCAAGAGATCCAGGCTAGAGGGAACAGTTTCGGAATCATCAGCCAAGGTCAGTTCATCAAAGTTGGAGAAGCAGACTCCTCAGGCTTGAATAGAGGAGGGAAAACCTTGGCAGGAAACTAAGATGAAGCAGCCCAGGAGGGAGAAAAATAAGCCTGGACAGCTGACTTCAGTGACCGGTCCTGCTTACTTGTGTTTATTCCATCTTTTTTGCTTCATTTACCCATTTTTCCTATTTTGTTTCTTCCTGTAATTTTTTTCTTCATGCAAGGTCTGTCTCTAACCACTACAGAGTCAACTTCTTGAGGAACTGTGGCTAATTTATTTTTGTACCCACAGTACCAGGCTTGGAATGTGCATAGCGCACACAGTTTGTACTGAGCCACAAGGATTGCTGTTTCTGTTAGGCAAGAAGTCCAGCGAAGTTGCCATACCCTCATTTGAGGTTATCAGGCTCCAAGACAAGCAACTTCATTCAGCTGTGGGTATGACTGATTTTCAGCAGAAGGTAGAATGCTTTCAGTGCCTTGATCCCTAGAAAATGTCTTGCTTTTTTGGGCAGACCCTGTCCCTCCATTTCCAACATTTAACTGCAGTCCTGGTGAGAAAGTTAGTTTGTATAGTAAACTTTCCCTTTCAGAGCTCCAGAATTCCTGCTCTGCGGCATGTAAACAGAAGCTCCAAGCCTCAGGTCTAATCTTACCAAAGCCTGTTCATGATAATCTGAGTCAGGGCAACACCTGTTCTTAGTTTGTGTACATCACTGAATTCAGCCAGTGACACTGTTCTCTTCTTATCTTGCACAATCCTCCCATCAAGCAAACTCAGAATTATCAAAGCTGTAGATCAGACTGATAAGCTTTGCTGCTCTTCACATTTAAATTGAGAGGAGAAAGTCTTAACTTTCCTTCCTTAATTGAACACCTTTTCAATTCTATAATGACAATCATACGACCTACCTAATAATACCATTATAATCCTATATGTGGAGGCTGCAGTGATAATGATAATATTTGATTTCTTAAGCTGGATGTGTGCATATATGATGTTCATTAGTCTTCATATTTGGGGAATATTTTATAATACATTCAGAAATGAAACAAAAAAGTTAAAAAACAGTTAATATACTTTTATCCAATTTAATTAACTTAGATTGTTGACTGTTTTCCCTATATTCACCATATTGGAACTGTGGAAAGTGACTTTTAAAAATGAAGAAACAAAATCCCCACAGGAAAATATTACTGTTCAACAGCCTCTCAGAGCTGTTGAAATTCTTTACATGTCATTGAGTTTCACACTTTTCAAGAGAGGCTGGAAAAGACTTGATTGAATTTAAGGAAAATTAGAAGACATTCTCTCCAGCTCTGAAAGTATACGCTATGGAGACTGATGGAGGTGGTGAGACAAGAGGTGTCATCTGGGCCAACGCATTCCCATGGGGCAGTATCACCTTATTGGAATCAGCAGTCAGAAGTGAGGTGGTCAGACTTAAAACACCTGATGTCTCAGGAAGTGTGACCTGCATTTACCGAGCTTCCTGACAGTAATCTATAAAACCAGGATGCCAGCTTGGTGATTGGCAATGAGATATGGAACTTCCAAGGATCCCAAGTATGAGTACCCTCTGGTCAGGCCCTGAGTTCCCTGTAGGCCAGTCACATGGGAGCTAGAGCAGGCTGGAAATTGCTTGGTGAGGATGGAGTCTGAGAATGGAGATTGCCCCCAAAACCTTTTCATGTTTTCATAATGGGACTAACACTGCCTCCAGAACCAGACAATTACCTTTGAGTCTGGGTACCCTTTCTAGGCAGTCCTCAGGTGGGCATGGCCTCTGTTTGCTTCTTGAGAACACTTGCAATAGACGGGTTAGGACATTTGCCTGTTGAGTCAAAGGTCTGGGTTTGGATTCTATCTTGAGTAAAAGGGCTGGGTTTGGATTCTATCACTGCCACTTCCCACTTGTGTGACCTTGGGCTATTTAACTTCCCTAGTCTACAGTTTTCACCTGTAAATTGGGGATAATGATAGTATCTGCTTGATTGTGGCTGTGAGGATTAAATGTTACGTATCTAGCAGAGGACCTGTTATTTAGGAAACTCAATAAAAGTTCATTGCCACCCTGACTTCCATTTGAGTTACAGTGACTAAAGTCTCTTCAAATTAACTCTTCCTACTTTTGTCAGTATCTTTGTTTCTTCCATTTACTAGTAGGATGCATGCTTGTTTGTAAACTGTTCTTACATTACAGACAAGTACAGTCAGTAGCTGTTGGTAATCACACTTCATTTCTTGTTTTTTTTTTTTTTTTTAAACATTATTTATTTTGTAGAACTGGGTGGAGGTGGGTGTGTGTGTGTGGGGGTGGGGTGTGTGTGTGTGTGAAAGTATTCACCAGAGACAGAGTAGGGAACAGAACAGGCAGACTAACTGAAATACACTGCTAAGGGGAGCAGCAGGCGAGACAGAAGAGGTCTGTTGAGCCATATATGGTTTAGCTTCCTGGCTGGGGATTGAACTCAGGCCTGACGTGATAGTGCTGAGATAACCCTTAGGCCACCAGGGAGGCCCACAC